CCATCGACGAGAAGAAGATCATCACAGCACCGGTGCTCTTTCGCTAAAGGAGGTCCCAAAGAAGATGGTGTCATCGGTGGTGGAATCATCGGCTTGGAAATGGTAGATTTTATACATTCTTTACATGCCCGCATGGACATCACTAACATCTGTCATAGGCCTCTGTCTGGTCCAGGCTTGGCTCTGAAGTCACCGTTGTCGAGTTTCTCGGCCAAATCGGTGGCCCCGGCATGGACGCTGAGATCTCCAAACAGGCCCAGAAGCTCCTCGGCAAGCAGGGCATCAAGTTCCTTACCGGCACCAAGGTTGTCAGCGGTGATGACAGCGGCAGCACCGTTACCCTGAACGTCGAGGCCGCCAAGGGTGGAAAGGAAAAGACCCTCGATGCTGACGTCGTTCTCGTCGCCATTGGTCGACGACCATACACCGCTGGCCTCGGACTCGAGAACATCGGTATCGACATTGACGACAAGGGCAGACTCGTCATCGACCAGGAGTACAGAACCAAGTCTGAACACATCCGCGTCATCGGTGACTGCACTTTCGGCCCCATGCTTGCCCACAAGGCTGAGGAGGAGGCCGTCGCCGCCATCGAATACATCACCAAGGGCCACGGACACGTCAACTACGCCGCCATTCCCAGCGTCATGTACACCTACCCCGAAGTCGCCTGGGTTGGTCAGAACGAAGCTGAAGTCAAGGCCTCCGGTGTCGAGTACCGCGTCGGATCTTTCCCCTTCAGCGCCAACTCTCGTGCCAAGACCAACCTCGACAGCGAGGGTCAGGTTAAATTCATCGCCGATGCAAAGACCGACCGCATCCTCGGTGTCCACATCATCGGTCCCAACGCCGGTGAGATGATTGCTGAAGCCACCCTTGCCATCGAGTACGGCGCCAGCTCAGAGGACGTTGCTCGAACCTGCCACGCCCATCCTACTCTCGCTGAGGCCTTCAAAGAGGCTGCCATGGCCACCTACTCCAAGGCCATCCACTTCTAAACCTCTCGCCAATATCACAACAACACCCACTGAAACACAACGCGCCTTGCACTTCTGCTGACCATAAACCAAGCTTGATGTTTTGCTTTTTGTGTCCTTACGAGCTTATCCCATAAATCTTGCGCTTTTCGCCAGAATCAAAGAGTACCATCATCTTTTCCCGTCCTCCCTCTTTGCCCTTTCCCCCATATTCTACCTTCATCAGCCCCATTTACCCCTACTCAATACTCGGCTTGACCTGATGCCTCTGTCTATATATTCTCCTCCCGACAGGCGATACTGTGCTCTTTTACTTTTTGGCCATTCTGTAACCATAAACCGGACATGAAGCTAATTTAGAATAAAACTGTATTTCATAGTTGTTCCTTTTTATTAGCTTGAAATACTAATCATAGCAGACCATGCATGATACTATCATACTATGGATATACAGAACATGTTGCAAATTAACCACCTTAGAAAATGTCCCATTACAGGATGTCACGAGTTGTTTCGGGTGTACCAAGAATCGGAGAAGAGACACATGAACAAATTACCCCGGCCAATCAACACAATATACAGCTTCGACGTCGTTACTGCAGCAATCTAGGGATATGAATAGGTCGGGTGAATGTACCTGGCAATTGCCCGGCTGTCAAGCCAACTCCCTGACCCAGGATTTGCGGTGTCCTGGTCATGTTCAGCGCCTCTATCTGGTGGGCGCGAGATGTATAGCAGCATTCACATCCACATTGAGGACCAGCGTCCGTCGGCATGATAGCCGAAGGTAAGACCATGTCACCTCGCGCAGGCGCAGTGATTGCTTGCCGGCCCAGTGCCACAAGTGCTCCTCCACCCACTCCCGCAACTATTTGGCCTTGGAGTGGTTGCTGGCCTTCTATCTGGAGCATACTGTTCGATTGTGGCGGGTAGGCATTGGGTCCAGGGCCCCCAGACTGATGACAGATGACGAGATGATGGTGGTGAACTTCTTGACGGCTGGAGTCTGCACATCGACTACGGCCTGCTCGTCGACTACGACAGCAATCTCTGTGGCGACAGCGTCTGTTGCTATGGTGGTTGTCGCTGGCCCGGTGGATGGTTTCATCAGAGTCGGAGATACAGGTATAATCGTCCTCGCCCCTGTGAACCCACTTAATCTGCTGGCATTATATGACGGAAGAATATGGATAGCCAATCTGGCATCTTTACCTTGGTGTTCTATTTCTTGTGCGTCGGTATCGTCGTTCACGAATTCTCTGTCTTCGACGAGGCAGAGGCATGGCAAATTCTTCGTCGGATCCGTCGTAGTAGTCGTAATAGCCTTGTTCCATCATGTGGGAAATCCCATCCAGCCCATCTTGGTAGTAGTCTTCTAATTCATCAACGTAATACGGTGACATGGCGGTAAATTGCAGTCAAGAAGTATTAGAAAATCACTTGATTGTTCGATGGCGACTATTCACAGAGGTATAGAAATATATCGTTGAAGTACTGTGCCTGGGGAAACCCACGGTTTATAATGTCGTAAGGCCGGCCCTTTGTATAAATGTGATCAAAGAAGCAAGCATGTGAGAATGTAGGTATTCATTATACCAACCCACTATCTAAACGGCGCAAGATCAGCTTAGAAGAGGGCTGATGCAGATACCCGCGTACAAGCTAGTTTGCTTTCAGACCTAAGTGATCGGTCAGTTTAGGCATGAAGGGTACAAGGAACGAGAAACAGCACTCCAATAAGCCATCGTGATAGGCTCGATATGAAGGATACTGCGCTGAATAAAAGGCGGATTGATGGGTATTCTGATGCCAGGGCAAACTTTGCCCTGTGCAACCCCCAAACATATATACGCCTTGGGCTGCTGGGCTGAAAGAAGTCATACTCTCATACTAAAGACCACATGGCCTATATTTGGTAGGACAATGTTAATAAAAAGTATCAATAATTATGTTAGACCTCACCGAAGGCTATGTACGTTCTAGCAGGAGTGTCTGGCTATCCAAACTGGCGCCTTTGCCTCGTTAATCAAACTTGAAAATATGACCGGATGAAGTTGCCATGCTAGTGAAGTAGGTCATTGTTGGAGCATATGGTTTAATCCAACTTCCTAGGACGGCTGTCAACATATCACAAACTGCATCGATTGCATCTTTGCGAGAAGCACCACAGCTCTCAATATAAACTATTTTTGAAACATATTAGTCAGTGTGGTCTACATTATGGCAGACGGGTTAGGAAATAAACTGACTCTTAACTTTCGGCTCTGTACCTGAGCCTCGAATGGTAAATCGAACGCCTCGATGGGACCATATAGTGAGCATCTGACTAGCGGGATCAACGGGTAGCACTGGCCGTTTATCAGTAGTATCTGTATCATGACCTCTCGTCATATCCCTCCATCTATGAATAGGGAATGATCCTATCGTACTATTAGAGTCAAGTGTGTTTTTGCGGATACTTTCGAAAAGAGACGTCGTGGTTTTCGTATCTGGTGAGACGAAGTAGGTGTTGAGGTTTTCATGATATCCATACGTTTCGTAGAGCTGTTCGAGCTTCCCGAATGGAGTAAGGCCCTGCTCTTTCCATTTTGCTTCAGCAGCTAAAAATACCATGGCGGCCGTGAGCCCATCCTTATCATAGCAAACTTTGGTGAACATGTACCCCAGGGCCTCTTCAAATGCAAACGGCACCTCGTATCCTTGGTTTTCGAGCTGCCGCGCGACATTGCCCATCCACTTAAAGCCAGTCAAAGTCTCCTCAAAATGAAAGCCTTCTTTCTCTGCCATTTTGGATAACATGCTAGAAGAAACTGTAGAGCTTAACATAGCCATGGGTTTTCTTATCTTTTTATTTTTCCATGAATCTAGGAGATGCGATGCAAGGAGAACCCCTAGCTGATCACCTGTGAACCTAAACCAGGAACCACTTTAAACCTGTTAATAAGAGCTTTCGATTACGGGAACTTGAAAAACATACTTGACCTTCTGAGCAGCGGCAAATCGATCTGCATCGGGATCATTAGCAATGATAAGAGTTACACCAGACTTATCCGCGGTTTTCATGGCAAGGTCCAAAGCGCCATTTTCCTCCGGATTTGGGAATTTAACGGTTGAGAAGTCAGGATCCGGATGCTCCTGCTCGGGTACTGTTATTATCCCTTTAATCTTCAATGAATCACAAAGTTTAGACATGGTAGCATGGCCAACTCCGTGCATCGGCGTATAAACAAACTGGCTGGGCTGCCGCCAAGTATCTACAGTCGATATCTACAGTAGTCAGTATAACCTAAGATATTAATATACGACAGACTAGGGTAGCAACTAACGGCAAATCGAGTCACATCATCACAATAGAGGGTTGAGACCTCTGTATGCAATTTTGACTCTCGGATTTGGGGCCCATCAATCCCCCGCCAGGCATTGGGCCACGGAACCAAGTTAAGCTTGATTGAGTCCGCAATCTGGCCGTCAACTGGAGAGTTGATTTGAGCTCCATTTATGAAATAACTTTAATCACCGGTTAGTATAGTACTATAACTGGATTGCGGAATAGCTTCTAACACTTTATATCCTGTAATATAATGTCAGCCATGTAAATAGTCAGGCGTCAGGGCATATAAATTACCGTTATCCTGTGCCGGGTTCTATTTGATACGTTAGCTAATCATCAGGGAGAGTTCATCATTGGAAGATTCAGGTACATACATGGCTAGCCGTGACCATTACTCCGGCATTTGCCTTCTTCAATAAAATGGCAAAAGGCACAAAAGGAGTTGGATTAACATTGTCGTACCACCATACGTGTATACCCTCGGTTTCAAAGGCATTGGCAGCAAGAAAGGCGAATTTCCTAGAGTTATGTCGTGCATCACGCCCTATTACAACTGACGGCTGTTCTGTGCCTTGATGGGTTGCTTTGACAAACTTGGCTAATCCCTGAGATGCCTGGATGACAGTAAGCGAGTTCATGCATGAGAAGCCAGCCTGCATCCGGCCTCGTAGTCCAGCTGTGCCAAATTGGATGCCTATATATCCGTTAGAGATCTCATACGTTGAAATCTAGGTAGGTATATGGCACATACGGTCCCGGAGCCGCTTTTCAAGAGCGGCTTCATCATTGTCTACTCGGAGTTGCTCCATCTCCTTGCGAGTGGAGGGATCCTGATCCCATTCTAACCATCGCTGGATGAGGGTATCAAGTGGTTCCTATGTCAAGTTAACTACCACTCCAGTTATAGAACACAACATTCCTGCATATGATGTCCCGACGAGAAACCCACCATGATCGGTCGGTGGTGCCTAATTACGAACGTATCGGCTTCTATCATACGTCTATAGATATACATTAAGATGAAGGACGAAGTTGGGAGTTTCAGCGTCGAAATAAAAGTAGGCACTTGCGTGGCTTGGCACCGACGCTGCCTTAAAAGGGACTTCAAACTTCGTTCTCTTCTTCTCCTTGTCGGCTTTCCACGACCAAATATCACACCACCTTCGCTTGTGGCGTGTTTGTTATCTACGGTTATCTTCCGTCCTTCTCCTGCTTCAAGAATGCTCTGAGCTTGACACAATCCCTTAAGCCCTGGAACTTTCGCTGCTAGATTTCGTCGTGTACGGACAGACCTGCGAGCTTTCGGCTGACGACGACAATGGCGGCTTCACGCAAAGCCTCGGTCCTGACGAGACAGGAGATTGGGAAACAGATAGCAGATGGAAGACATATCGTCATCTTCGAAGGCAGAGTGCTCAAGCTAGATGCCTGGTTGCAATTCCATCCAGGAGGTGATAAAGCTATCAAGCATATGGTTGGCAGGGATGCTACCGACGAGATAAATGCGTATGTCCAGACCGTTCCCATCAATATTTAATGCTATGCGCAGGACACTAAGGTAGAAATGGGCTAATTCTTGCTGTAGGCTACACTCTGCCGCTGCAAAACAGCGGATGAAGTCCTTCCAAATCGGAAGAATCGAGGGCGCATGGGTCAACTTCCTCCCTCCAATCCAGGGAGGAGATTACACCGTATACAACACGCAGGACGTATCTGCCATTGAATCTGACGATAGCTCGTCTGGTAACGGGCAATCAATTCCCCCTTCGCCGCTGTTCGAACCGGTCGATAAAGAAAGATCTGGCATGAGACGACGAAGGTCCGTTTCCACATCTATTTCCTCCGTTGGAACATCTTCCCCAAAAAGGACGGATGCCGAAATTAGGCCTTTCTTTCTCGACGCCAGGACCCAGCAGGAAATCGCCTTTGACACGGCGAAATACCCACCTGTTACTGCCGCCGAACAAGAGCGCATCGTGCAGAAATACCGCCAACTCTACGATCGTCTCAGTGATGAAGGATTGTTTAATTGTAACTATTCGGCATACATGGTAGAAGTATCTCGCTATTTGTTACTCTTTGGGCTATTTCTTTATTTTTTGCGATGCGGCTGGTATGGCACGTCTGGCTTCTTCCTCGGATGTACATGGCACCAGCTGGTTTTTACCGTCCATGATGCTGGTCACATGGGCATCACTCACGGCTTCCACACTGATACAGTTATTGGGATTATCATTGCAGATTTTATCGGTGGACTTAGCATCGGCTGGTGGAAGAGAAACCACAATGTACACCACATCGTCACCAATTCGCCAGAACACGATCCAGATATCGAGCACATGCCATTCTTTGCCATCTCACATCGATTGTTCGACAGCCTTCGAAGTACGTACTATGATCGTGTTATGGAATACGATTCTGCGGCCAAATTCCTCATTAAATACCAACATTTACTCTACTATCCGCTTCTCTGCTTTGGTCGCTTTAATCTGTACCGTCTTAGCTGGGAGTACCTGATTCTTGGCCAGGGCCCTCGTAAAGGCGCCGCCTGGTGGCATCGCTGGCTTGAGATTACCGGTCATGTCTTTTTCTGGGCCTGGTTTGGCTATGGGGTCTTATACCTAAGTATTCCCGACTGGAAAAACCGGCTTCTCTTCGTCATGGTCAGCCATATGATTACTGCACCGCTACATGTACAAATCACCCTGTCGCATTTTGCCATGTCAACCTCCGACATGGGGGTCCATGAGTCGTTCCCACAAAAGATGCTTCGAACCACTATGGATGTTGATTGTCCACAGTGGCTAGACTTCTTCCATGGAGGCCTTCAGTTTCAAGCCGTGCACCATCTTTTCCCGCGGTTGCCCAGACACAACCTCCGCAAGGCGCAGAAACTGGTCGTGGAATTTTGCGAGGAAACGAAGATCCCGTACGCTATATTTTCGTTCCTAGACGGTAATAAGGAGGTTATCGGCCATTTGGGCGATGTTGCTAGGCAAGCTCGAATGCTGGCCGAGTGTCAAAAGTCAATTGCTGAAAAGGGAATATTTTCGGACCACCATCACTGAAAATAGATCCTTAATGCAGATACATTTCGTTGGATTCTTTTTTAGCCATGTGGCGGAGGGTTGCGATACCTATATATATTTTTAATATCGATATAACTTACTGTTTTGCTAGAGGGGCCAGTTATGAATGTCACTGGTATGAGAGTCTCGCTTTAAATGAGTTTGATGCGTCTCAATTTAATATTACGATTTTTACGTCTATTTTAACGCGGTCATAAAGTCATCCTTTCGTCAAGCCATGGCCTTTGGATACTGCGGCCGGCATACTTTCAACACTGTACTCATAGTTGAAAAATACAATATCACAGTCCGCCTCTCGCCATTTTTTTTGCTCTTTGGTTACGCCTGTTGTGATTCGCCCTCGAACCCTTGTTTTCATCCTTCCTTCGTCTTTCGATAGCTGACTCGGGACCAGCCGTAGCTCCCCCTCGGCCACCTCCTCCCCTACCACCCCGGCCATGGCCACGACCCCTGCTCCGAATTCCGTCACGGCCGTTGGAATCATCTCCAGAGCCATCATCGCCGGTGGGTCTTCTATATGCCGTAGACTGAAGCTCAGGTTGTTGATGTGCGCGTAAACCGGACAACGCAATATTCCGCTCTAACCTAGCTACTCGCTTTGGATCACGGGAGAGCATCAATGCCCATCCCTCAATGGATTCATCAGTCATTCCAGTCTCTTTGCGCAGGGCCATCCTATGCTGTGAACGGCGAGTCGTCTGGTCGCGCGCAAATGCCCCTGGGTTAGACTTATAGAGATCATAAAGCTTCATTTCAGCTGCCATGCCGCCTCCTTCTCGCGCTTCAGGTGTATCTCCATCTATTGCCGTTGGGCTGGTATCAACTGTTCCTCCAACATCAGCAAAGTCATAAGTATCATCCCGCTCATCATCGTCTGAATCAAAGGTTGCAAGAGCCGCCATTATAGCGGCCTTGTTCGTTGAGCCAGATTTATTGGCTAGCAGGTCATCCGCGGTAAGTTCAGCGTTGGCACGACCAATATGCAGCTTGGAAGGTGAAATTTCTAGTCGATCAAACTCGTCGTTATCAAACACATTTTTACGCTCAACGGGTGGTACGGCTGATATGGAATGCGGTGGGGTAGGCTGTTGCGCGATATCCGCCGTGCTTTGCTGTTCCTGGAGCTGGCTTCCGTGATCAAGGGATTTAAGATGCTCTGGCAAAGTGCCCTCTAAGAGGTTTGAGATGATAGTTTCGATATCGTCGTTGTAAAAATCAAGAAGTTGCACAATGAATCCAGAACCTAGGTCGGGAAATAGGTCCTGGACCTGTGTTACAAGGGACATTCGGTGAATGTGAATTTCATCATGAATATCCGTTGAAATATCTCGTCCTTTACCTTTGTCCACTTTTCTTGGACGTTGGTATGGCCTGTGCAGTGTCTTGCACTCGGAGCGGTACGTTTTAAGGGATAAGAGCAGCGTATCCCCTCGCTTCTGTTGTTGGTTTCCAACGAGTAGGTTCTCTAGTCGTTTAACAAAATTGGTGCTGCAAACAAGGGCTGAAAGCAAGGTCGGCTGGGTTCTGGGGCCTTTTGAGTCTACGTTTGCAGAGCTCCTTAATCCGTAGAGTTGGTCTAGGAGTATCGAGGTTGCGGGGGGGTTCACCTTCATCAGGGATATGAATGCAACATAAATGTGGGCTACCAGAGATTTTTGTAGGTGTTCATCTCTTGACTTGTGGAATGCTTCAAAGATTGCATCTATGTAGTCATCCCCAGCCATAAGCACCCTTCCTACCTCATATAAATTCGAGGATAGAAGTGTCAAAGGGCGCAATTTTTCCTCAATTCCGGCATACTGTTCACTATTGGAGGTGGATAATCGTTGTATCATCGTCGCCTTTGCTTTCTGAGCGCTGGAAACCAATGCTTCCGAATCTCTCTCCCATACCTCCAAGAGCAAATTCCGAAGTGGTAGAGAAGATGTGTACAAGTGGCAGAAATTTCCCAGGAAATCGACAGTCACAAGCTGTAACGGGGCATGGAGCCCAGTTAAGAGTATCCTTCGACTTAGCAGGAAACAGAGACGTTGGAGTAAACTGGCTGCCTTTGATGACGGTCCACGGGCACGAATAGAGCTGCTCCCTGAGAAGTATGAAATGAGAAACAGGCGTGCAGCTTCGTCCTCTGGAGCGGATATCTCAAATTCCTTGTCATTCAATCTCAGCCGAGCTTCAACTGATGTGATCCAGGCATCTAAACATGCTTTCCATTCACCATCTGGTATCAGCTTCACCACCGACTGTGGCGGCACGGGAGCCAGGGGCAGCAGAGTCTTATCCACCATCCCAGAGGTATCATCCAAGTTAGCTTGCAAATGCCACAAGACTATCAACAAAGAGATATCAGCCTTTCTTAAGAGTAAAAGAGTACCAAGCAAGCAGTTTGTTATCTTTGTTGTTTTTGCTGTTTCGATTCAGCTTTTTTGTATAAAAACTGCGGGACTCAATATGATGACTCAGCAAGATTAGTCACAATGAGTCACATGCCAGCTAGTTCTAAAAAAGTTAGTCTAGCCGACGTGCCAAGACTTCACCCACAAATTATTTTTAACATCAGAAAAAAAAAAGATCGCGAAGTCCAGAAACGGAAGAAAAGGAAGAAACAACGACGCAACGACGCAACGACGCAACGCCTTTCATCACATTACCGAACTTGAATTGTTCAGGTCTTGATTGGCATTTGCCCTCAGAATATTCGTGTAAGTGGTTGCTCCAGGTTTTCTCTCTCTGCGGTTTGGTTCCGTGTCTAACTTGTCGCAAAACAGAACCGACCAGAGTAGCTACACTTAGCTCCCAAATCCCAGCAAAGATGTCGTACCAGAAGCCCGAGAAGGAGTTTGGCGAAGGACCAGTACGTTCTTTGCATATTTGTTGATTGCGAGCAGGCATCGGGCACTACAGGTTGTCCAGCTTGACGTGGGCGCACCGGCTAATACAACGTCCGCGCAAATAGAAAATCCACAAGATCCGTATCACCTTGACCTCGCGCAAGGTCACTTCTTTGGAGAAGGTCTGCCAGGAGCTCATCGACCGTGCTCGCTCTAAGTCTCTCTATGTCAAGGGTCCTGTCCGCCTGCCAACCAAGACTCTCCGCATCTCCACCCGTAAGACTCCTAACGGTGAGGGTTCCAAGACCTGGGATCAGTTTGAGATGAGAATCCACAAGCGTTTGATCGAGTGCGTATTATATATCCTCTCTCCTGCCTCCCGCCCGGAAAAGTACTAACATATCATCTAGTCTCCACGCTCCAACCGAGATCGTCAAGCAGATCATCGTCAACATCGAGGCCGGTGTCGAGGTCGAGGTCACTATTGCTCAATAAATGGGTTGGGAAGGTCCTTGGATTGAATGATCTAGGTTTGGCCGACTCTTGTGATGCAGATAGTGTATATTCTATATGTATTCATTTAGCATTGCCTTGTTGGCCAGGTTATAGAATATCAAACAAAGCGTCCTACAACACGTACTTTTCTCCCACGTATTTTTGTCCCTTAAAAGTATATGCAAGCTGGCAGGCAACCCCAAGGCACAATGCTCGTTGCCAGTCGATAAAACAAAGATGATATATAGGGCCCCTTCCCAGAGTAGAAACATTAAACATCAGTCCCACCAACGCCATGCCTATGTAGCTAATCAACCTGGGAAAATATTGTTCAGATATCATATCTCGACCACTCTGGTTTAGGTGGTGCAGAAGGCAGCAAGCCATCCTTGAATGCTCCGTGTTCATGGGCGTATCTGTATGCTTCTTCTAGTGTCGGGGTATACTCCGCTGGTGTCGCTACCGAAAACTTAAAAGTCTCTACCTTTGGCGGCCCATCTGGGAAGAATATGTGAGCATAGAATTGCGGGTCGTCGGGGTGCTGATAACAGGGTTCATTCTCGATATATTGAACCGGTAGACCTTTCCATGCTGTGAGTCTTTTGGTCATTGGGTCATGCACAGTCTGTCCAGCCAGTTTGGGTAAAGGATTTAGGTTAGGGTTGGCCTTCTTCACCGGGGGTATGTCACCGCTAGGTGGAGGTGGATTTATTGGAGTGACCTGGGGTTGAGTGGTGGTTGTTGAGCCTTTGAATGGAGATGGTTGCCCAAATGGCGTAGAGGCTGATTGCTGCTGGGCTGGAGTGCCTGGTCCAAATGGGTTTCCCCCACCAAAACCTTGCTGTGGTTGTGTTGTATTCTGGAGCTGAGCAAATGGAGAACTTTGTTGGACCTGGCCACCAGCCTGGGGCTGTGGCTGGCCGAATGGATTCGCTGCCTGAGCAGCTTGAGCGAAAGGAGAGACTGAGGGTTTGCCAAAAGGATTTTGCTGCTGTTGGTTTGAAGCACTCGGTTGGCCGAAAGGAGAGCTTCCCGGCGCAGAATTTTGGTCCATGGTAGATTGTTGCCCAAAGGAAGGGGTACCGAAGGATGGAGTACCAAAGGATGGTTTACCAAAGGATGGAGCGCCGAAGGATGGAGTACCAAAAGTGGGTTGCTGTGGTTGTTGCTGGCCCAGCATTGACGGCTTCCCAAACGTGTTACCTAACCCCGTAGACTGTTGAGACAAACCTGGAGCTCCAAATGGCGAAGGCTGCACAGGAGTCTGTTGGGGAAATGTATTCTGCTGGTTTAGGACTGAGGCAACAGCCACTGACTTCCCATTTACAATATCCAGCCTGTTTGGGTGGTGGTTTTCTCCATCGACGACATATTGGATTGCAGCGTCTAGGTTGTTGATTATGTTCTTCATCTGAGCTTCGGTGGCAGCAAACAAGTTATTGGCATTCTGTATAGCCTCCTGTGGCTTGCCCTCGGCTACGGCGGCATAATGCAATGCTCGCATTTCTTCAAAACTTTGCTCTCTTTCCGGCCCCCCGAAAAGCTGGATAGGTGCATTCCTTCCGGGCCCGTAAGCGGAGAAAATCCATTGAGGTCGGCCTTGTCCATCCGTCAAGTCACTTTTTATATCTGCAGGGTTTAACGAATATCTATTTAACAGTTAACTTTGAATAAAACCAGAAAAGCATGGGGTGTGCACATACTTGTCCCTTGGGTCCTGCTTGTCGCCTATTTCGATCCAGAAAAGGGTATATAGTCAGTAAAGTGGTTTGAATACGCATAAGAATTTGCCATAACACTGCCAGGCGTAGAGCTTTTCAGACCCAATACTTGAGCATAGCAAATTAATCAAGCACAACACTGATACTGGGAAAGAGGCTATTTACCTCCAAACCCGCCACCCGGTTTGCTCCCGCCAGACTGGAGAACCCCGAATCTATTCCCAGTGGTAAATCCAAACTGGCCCTGGCCCTGGCCCTTTGGATGCTCATAGTTGCATTGATCTATATCGATGGTTAGTAATAAGCGCATAACCGATGGTATGAAGAATACAATAAGCCAACGCACCCCCAAATTTGCATCTTCCTTGTTGAAAATACGAGCAAATGGCCATCTTTGAAGAAGTTCAGGACCAACCCTCCCACAGCCTATAAGCAACTGCTGGCTTGGTAAAGTATCGCGTCCTGATCCCGGTCTGAGCTACTCGATAGCTAATCCGTTTGAATGACAGGCTGTTGTTCAAGTCTCATACGCAGTAATAGTTCTTTACTAGCGTCGCTCTTTGATGCCGAAGAATTTGCCTTTATATCAGTTGTTAGGTCCCATAATTGTTCTCTTTTGTTCAATTCTTGAGCTTTCTTGTCAATTTGAAGTCGACGTTTAAGAGTGATTATATAAGCAAAGATAATACTGGATAAAAATTGATCCGAAGCCGGGGTGCGGTTTTCCCCTGAAGCGCAGATGATTCTTGACTGGCTGTGAGCTAAAGGTTGATCTATTGTTTATGTTATTACAATTTAGCAAAAGTAGTCGTGAAGACCAGAGCTAGTTGTACATGATCCCTCCCTGTTGAACGCCGTAATTGCAACCCCAACGCCAAAAACGAGAGTGCCGTGTTATGATATCATAGATCATAGTGTATTAGGCTTCAACCGAACGGCTCGATTTTAGATTTCTCTTCAGGTCATCCCAGTTAAGGCCCTCCAACCTGCGCCCTCCAAGGGACTCCAATTCACTATCAAGGTTGTCCAGGCGGCCGGTGGCAACGCGCCTCATCATGACCGTATCCCGAGCGCCATGCAGATTCTTTGCGTTGCCGCGCAGTAGTAGCTCATTAAAACACTCTTCTTCAGCCTCGCTGAACGGTAGGTTTATCAGATCCATTGCCCTCTTTGCCCTCAGTTCTCCTGCTTTGGTTGATAGCACAAAGGTTATGAGCTGTTCCAGGAGTGGGGAGCTGCTCTCTTTGGGCTGCTGTCTTAGGAAATAGAACGCTTCCGGGACTCCTGTACGGCACAAGGTAGCAAAGTATGCGTTAAGAGCCTTGGGCGAAGCTAGTGGAGGTTGGACGGTTACATAGTATGCTATCGCGAGGCTATCATCCTGCTTTGACGATGCCGAGAGAACGTAAAGAATCTCATCAGAGAAGGTGGGTATAAGAGATGGCTCCGTGATATACTCCAAGGCGCGCTTTTTTGGAAAAAAAGAGAGAGTTAGAACGAGAAGGATTTGTCAGGCTGTTGGATAGGTTGCTTACTCGGAACTCTAGCTTGTCAAGGTACCATAGCCCGTCAATAAACAGTCTATACCTATCCGGCAAATAACATTTCCTTGCAAATTGCAGAGGGCCCGATTTATCGGTAGCTCCTCGACAGTCCTTCAGGATGTAGTATATCAATGATTGTTTGTGATGATTGGGTGACGTCGATGAGACTATCTGTTGGAAGAGAGACCGTAGATTCTGGTTTGATCGCGGGGGGTAAATCTTCGATGCTAAAATTTATGAATATCAGCCTTGCTCCAACTCTCAACGTCGTAAGTTCCAGAGGCATGATACCTCCTTCAATCCCGAGTATCTTCAGCAGACGGTCAACGAAGAGGACATGGTCGAGCACTCGTCGATTTGTGATTATTTGGTCCACTAGCTTGTGGTCATAGGAATGATCCCGTTTAAAGGCAAACGCGATATCGAACTCTTCCCAAGGCGCCATATTCCACTCCCGTCTCTCAGCTGTTAGTCTGCCGGCTTGACTGTGTCCGTCTTTTCTCTCTCTCTCTCGCGCGTTTGTCTTGATATAAAAAAAGGTCGTTGATATTGCCAAGACTTTAGATTATGTAATCTCTAGTGTTCTGCTTCTTTAGGCAAAACATAAACAACATCAACATGAAGAGAAGAGAAGAAAAGAAGAAGACAGCACAGAAGTTCGATCTTTTCGCCTCGTCGCGATAACTGCAGCGCCCGGTGAAGATGGCATCGAGATCGTCGCGACCGCGCCGGTCGGTTAGCCGGAAAAGTTTTGTTATCGAGGAAAGCTCAGAAGATGAACCGGCTTCTGGGCGCGTTACGCCCAGCATCCCTAGCAATGACGACGAGGAGGACGATGAGGAGGATTACACACCTGTTCCAAAGCGCAGAGTATCGCGGAGGGTCTCGAAGCCGCCTGTGGAAGAGCCAACTACGCCGACTCCAGCAACGAGACGCTCCAGCCGCCGCCATTCGAGAATGAGCGGGAGGGAGTCTACGATATCAACGACAGAAGAGAGCGTTCTCTCGGTGGAGGAAGAGCCCGAATTGCCGTCAAGACGCACATCGAAAGCTAGGCAGAGTGTTCCTAGGAGCCAAAGCAGTCGACAGTCATCTATAGAGGTTTCCTCACTTCCAACCCCCGCACAGTCTCAATCTCCAGAAACTGATCGTGCACAGCCAAGAAGACCCAGCGGGACGCCGCTCGCAGATATTACCGAAAATGCCGTTAATCAGACCCCCTCGGACGCTCCTGATATAGAGAAATCTGTCATCGATAGAATTGACCCGACAACCAGCGTGCTAGAGCGACCTATGGATATCATGCTCAAATCTCGATCGGCGCCCCAGGTAGCAGAGGAGGAGCCTTCAGGTCCCAAGCAGAGAATGGTTATCACCCACCTTGTTCTCACTAATTTTAAAAGCTATGCCGGACAGCAATTCGTCGGGCCTTTCCACGCTTCCTTCTCTTCTGTTGTTGGACCTAACGGCTCGGGCAAATCCAACGTTATTGACTCTCTGCTGTTTGTTTTTGGGTTTAGAGCCAGTAAAATGCGCCAGGGGAAGATATCAGCACTGATACACAACTCAGCGAACTTCCCCAACCTACCATTTTGTGAGGTCGAGGTTCATTTTCAGGAGATTATAGATTTACCCGATGGAGGTCATGAAGTTGTGCCAGGCTCGCAGCTGGTCGTTTCCCGGCGAGCTTTCAGGAATAACACCAGCAAATATTATATGAATAAAAAAGAGGCAAATTTCACAACTGTTACTGAATTTTTGAAAGGCCGAGGGATTGATCTGGACCACAAGCGTTTCCTCATTTTGCAAGGTGAAGTTGAATCAATTGCTCAGATGAAAGCCAAAGCTGCAAATGAACACGATGATGGTCTGCTTGAATACCTTGAAGATATTATTGGAACGTCAAAATACAAAACGCCAATCGACGAGGCAGCAGCGGAGGTTGAAGTTCTGAATGAAACCTGCAATGAAAAGAACAATCGAGTTCAACACGTTGAGAAGGAAAAGGCCAGCCTCGAAGATAAGAAAAACAAAGCGCTTGCGTACATCAAGGACGAGAATGAACTGGTTGAAAAGCAATCCGCCCTTTATCAAATATATATTGACGAATGCAACGATAATACAAATGTCACCCAAGAAGCAATTTTACAGAACCAGGAGCTACTCAACCTGGAGCTTGAAAAGCACCAAGGCAACGAAGATGAAATTAAGCAACTTCAACGAGCGTATAAAAAGACCGCGAAAGAATATGAGGTCATGGAAAAGGAAACCCAAGGCATAATGAAAGAAATGGCGAAATATGATAAAGAATCAGTCAAGCTTGAAGAGAAGCGGAAATTCTTAAACACCAAGCTAAAGAAACTAGAGAAGACGATGAACGCGAGTCGCCTTGCTGCTTCTGAATGTGCCAGCTTGGTTGAGAGGCATAACGACGACTTCGAAAAGAAATCCGCAGAGATCGCAGCCCTCGAAAAGGAGATGAAGGAGGAGGAGAAGGAGCTTGCGGCCATCCGCGAAAGCCTTAAAGGAAAAACACAGGGGCTCTCAGAACAAATTGCTGCTAAGCAGACGTCCCTAGAGCCATGGAAAGAGAAAATTAATGAAAAACAGTCCGCCGCAGCTGTTGCTCAGAGTGAACTGGATATTCTTCGTGAGAAAAGCAATGCTGGTGCGGTTGCATTGGAAGAAGCGCAAGCTAAAATTGTATCTATCAAAGAAGAAATGGCTGCGAAGGCATCCGAACTCGAGCAATGCCGAGCTGAAAAGACCAATCTTGAGCATGAAGTCGCTGCTTGCGAAGCTAACGTGAAAAAGTTTGCTGAGAAAGAACCCGAATACCGTTCAAGGCTGTCTCACCTGAGACAGAAGGCAGACGAGGCTAGAGCCAGTTTATCAAGCACTCAAACCCAGGGGAATGTTCTATCAGGCCTAATGAGACTCAAGGAATCCGGGCGTATTGAAGGATTCCATGGTCGACTCGGCAATCTGGGAACAATCGACGAGAAATACGATGTGGCCATATCGACAGCTTGCCCGGCACTTGATAATTTGGTTGTTGATACCGTGGAAGTCGGCCAGCAATGCATTGACTATCTCCGTAAAAACAACTTGGGCCGCGCAAACTTCATATTACTTGACAGGTTACCACGGAGAGACATGTCCTCTGTTTTTACTCCTGACAGTGTTCCCCGTTTATTTGACCTTGTCAAACCTGCGGACGAGAAATTCAAGGCTGCATTTTACAGTGTGCTCCAAAACACCCTGGTAGCGAAGGACTTGCAGCAAGCTAACAAGATTGCATACGGTGCACGAAGATGGAGAGTGGTGACACTAGATGGACAGCTCATTGATGTTTCCGGTACGATGAGCGGTGGAGGAACTCGAGTTGCTAGAGGAGGAATGTCCTCTAAGCCTGTGGCTGAAGTTTCAAGGGAACAAGTTGCTAAGCTTGATGCCGATCGAGACGCAATGGAGAAAAAATTCCAGGCATTTCAAGAAAGGCAAAGGGAGCTGGAGTCAGAACTGAAAACAACTAAAGATTCTATTCCCAAAGTTGAGACGGCCATCCAAAAACTTCAACTTGAGATTGACAGCTCAAAGCGAAATCTTGTGGATACCCAACGCCGGGTGAAAGAGTTGTCAGAAGAGCACAAACCATCTTCTACCGATGAGAAACGGGAGGCCAGTCTTGAAAAGACTATCATGGCTCTAGAGAAAGAGGTTGAGAACTTGCGGTCCGAAATGGCTGGAGTAGAAGAGGAAATTCAGACCCTCCAAGATAAAATCATGGAGGTTGGCGGTGTCAGACTCAGAGGCCAGAAAGCCAAAGTTGATGGTCTGAAGGAACAAGTGCTACTTCTTACAGAAGAAGTATCCAATGCTGAGGTGTCGAAGTCTAAGAACGAGAAGCTTCACATTAAACATGAGAAATCTCGTGCTGACGCAGAGTCCGAACTCGAACATGTTCGGGAAGACATTGAAAGGCTGGATGAGGAAGCTAGAAGCCAAGCTAAGGCAGTATCTGGAATTAAGCAAAAGACAGAGGAAGCAGAAGAGGTAAGTAATGAATGGAATTCATTGAATAATAGCCCTATGTTAACACATCAATATAGGCATTGCAGACCAAACAAGAGGAGTTAACAGCCCTCAAGTCAGAGCTAGATGAAAAAACAGCAGAGTTAAACGAGACCCGGGCCGTCGAGATTGAGATGCGAAACAAGCTTGAGGAAAGCCAGAAGGCCTTGCTAGAGAACGAGAAGCGGGCAAAATACTGGCACGATAAATTCTCGAAGCTCTCCCTACAAAATATCAGTGACCTCGGTGAGGAAGAAGCAGTAGACAACTTACAAATATATAGCAAGGATGAACTGGCAGAGATGAACAAAGAGTCCCTGAAGGCTATGATTGCTGCTCTTGAGGAGAAGACGCAAAATACTTCTGTCGATTTATCTGTTCTAGGCGAATACCGTCGCCGTGTCGCCGAACATGAGACCCGTTCGGCAGACCTGGCAGCGGCTCTTGCTAGCCGTGACGCTGCCAAATCGCGCCTTGATACTCTACGTTCCCTCCGCCTCACTGGCTTCATGGAAGGATTCAGCACGATATCTCTCCGCCTAAAAGAAATGTACCAGATGATCACAATGGGCGGTAACGCTGAGCTGGAACTCGTCGACTCTCTGGATCCATTCTCCGAAGGTATCTTGTTCTCAGTCATGCCTCCGAAGAAAAGCTGGAAAAATATCAGCAACCTGTCTGGAGGAGAGAAAACACTCTCCAGTTTGGCTCTTGTCTTCGCTTTGCACCACTACCGTCCCACACCGCTGTACGTAATGGACGAGATTGACGCCGCATTAGATTTCAGAAATGTAAGTTGGGATACCCTATGAAAATTTGTCATTGTGTTAACTGACCATTTGATATGTAGGTCTCAATCGTGGCATCTTATATCAAGGAGAGAACCAAGAATGCGCAATTCATCGTCATCTCGTTGCGAAACAACATGGTATGTCGCTGAGACGCTGCTCTGGAGATATCAAGCATTAACTAATACTTTCTTCAGTTTGAGCTCGCCTCTCGCCTTGTAGGTGTCTATAAAGTGAACCATATGACAAAGAGCGTCACAATCGAAAATAGAGATTACATCGAAGGAAGAAATTGAATCATGTTTCGCGTATGTTTCTCTTTGCTCGTTTTTCATGCATAGTCCCTTGAGCATTGGGCATCTTTTGGATATGGTAGGCGGTGCTTGTTATTTGGGTTGGCACATCGAGGGAGGCCTGGTGATGATATATAAACGAGCCACGTCTAATGTCGATATGTTTGGCTTCTCGCTTCATTGATGAATATAATTTTTTATCTTCCATCACACACTAATTACCATCAATATATACCATTCAAAATTACTGGTATCGAATTTTCCCGAGAAAGGACGGTCAGCACACGACTCCAAGTTCGCTGCATCACACAGTAAGGTGCACTGACGAAACGTGTACCCGTATAGACCCTCAGAGAAGACCTTCATAGACTGGGTATCGAGCTTGCCCTTGGTGCTAGGCAATGGCTAGGTAGTGTACCATTAAATGCCACAACAGGTTTGCGGTTAGTGCATCATAGGATATCGCAAAGTGTATTCCAACGGTCACCCCTTGTTCATATTACTCCAAACCCAGAAAGATCCGTTGTGAAGTCACCAAAGAGAAAATCCCAGTCTCCAAATGTCTATAGCAGCTGTCAGTACGTTTCTTTATAGCCCTGAATGCGGAGGGGGGGAATAAAAAAGAAAAAGAAAACGAAGAAAGAAGGAGAAATCTAAAGCACACTCACTCCGAAATCTGCTATCTCGCTAGAGTTGGAGTATATATGGTCGGTGGGCAAATGGGGAGGTGGTATAGGCATGGGAGCCATGTTCCCTGAGCTATCTCCTGCTGCTTCTGGCACCTATACATTACAAGGTTAATCAAGTGAGTTCAAGGAGAGATTGGGGTTTACTTGCTTTTGAGGAATCATCGTCTTGGCTTCTAGTGCTGGTGCTCCGAGATAAGATGCTATAACACATGCGGCTAATGTGATCAACTGCCCGCCTTTGATGCGATATAGTCGACTCGGGCCAACGCTTCGACTTCACCAGCGAAATAATCACGCAGAAAAAGCAGTACTCCCTCATGCCCTTCTCCAGGATGAGGAACTTGCTCTCCAGGTGTGGTAGTGTTTTTTCAACCAAGGTTATAAGTGACTCTGTTATTGCCGGCACAGTCGCTTGGATGATGTATGAGGCTATCATATTGAAAACCGGTTAGCGTTGAAACAAGGGTTAATTTGTGTGGCAGGCCTTGGGAGAAGAACTAACCGAATCCACGATCAGACCTGCACATGTAGTGACATATGGTCAGCGCTGCCTGAAAGGTAATGTCTGTAAGAGCAGGCCATGCCAGTCTACCCAGGTGCTCTACCAGTTGCTGCTGCTGGCAGAGCATTTCCATAGCAACCTCGAGTCTAGCTCTCCAAGAATAATTGAAGACAGACCCTTGTAGATCACTCAAGGCACAGCATGAGTGCAAGCACAGCTGGCTGCGTCTTAGCTGGATCTCTATTAAGGCCCTCCAGAGCATCACTCGCTGCCTCTGTCGTAAATCTGTAGACTCAAAACTTTCCCAGGTTCGAGGGACTTCTGAGAGGTGTCGAGTTATCTCATCGTCTATTTCCGACAACTGGGATGCAGAAATAGTAACCCGAGGAGCGTTAACAAGGCCACAAATACGCAACCGTAAGTCAACCGATCTGGATAATGTGACTTGAAAGGAAGAATCGGTCAGTACCTGCCAGGGTTTCGGTTCTGGATGGTGGGTAGCCGACTCTAGTAAGTCTTCATCATTGATGTTTATAGGAGGGGAGGTGTCATAATCTGTAGCTTGAATGGTAGGCGGCATCCCTCGATCGAAGGATGCATTAAGGTCCAATTCCACGATTGTCGACCAAATCCTCCGTCGCATCTCCCTGTCGAAATGGGATATTTTTGCGTCAGGCCCCAGTTCTCGATGGTAGCCTGCCGACATAGCCAGCTTTACGGTTGTTCCCGTAGCAGCCCAAGCCTGGTTCTTGCGTGTATAGTTGGCCTCTTTTGCAAGGACGAGAAGACAACGGGTCTGTAAGAGGGCCATGTTCGGTCGCTTTATTCCCGAATGGTAAAGCCAGGCATCGCCCCAGTATATCCACTCCATGGCCATGCCGTGGGTGACTTCCTTGTTGCTTGAAGGGGTTACTGACTCGGGTGCATCTACACTCCATACTATGGACAGGACGAGGAGTAACTGTATGACGAACGACGCCGAGACAAGCTGAGGCTGCTGGTAAAGATCCTGCAGACGGTCATAAAACGTCTGTTTGTGCAGGACATGGTATGTGCTGCTTGAAAAGGCAAAGTAGTACTGGACCAGATTGTAGGTCACAGACCGTGCCGGGAGCAGTCCGCTGAGAAAGACCGCATCAAGAGACAGCTCCCCAGAGGGCGGCTCCTTAGAACGGGTATCTTTGAGTGCCTTCAGATCATGATGTACCCTGGCCAATGCAGGAAACCCACTCCTCAGGTCTTTGAGATAGGCGTGGAGGTCACCAAACTACGCACGTTATAAGCCAGATGAAGAAATTTGAAAACTGAGCACAAACAACAAAAAAAAAAAAAAAAACCGACCTCGGTTATTAGGCTTGCTACATTACTAGATCCGTAGAAGCGAGTTCTATTACCTCTGCCTCCGAGATGCGACCTATTGGGGGCATCTATCCTGGCAGCGGTTGAAGTAGAAGCAGAAGCAGCAACACAACCCGAACCGGCCTCATCACGAGAATGCTGAGTCGAATGCGGCGAAGGAGTATGTTGGTGCAGCTCCAGATCCCCAGTCGCAGCCCTGGACGGCAATCTTCCCAGCATCCCTTGCTTTGCATAGGCCTGCGATTGGGCAAAGCTGAGGACCACACGCTCGAGCTCGCGTATCCTCTGCTCTTCACTCAGTCGCGGACTCGCGGCGTCGCCGCGAGCATCACGAACACCTGCATCTGCGCGAGACCTTGCCTGCTCGCTCGAGAGAGGCCGTGAGGCAGACAGAGAGCTGGGGTTGTTCCATGCAGGCCCAGGGTTCTCATAGACACAGGCATCCGGCCACGGTCCCTTTGCGCAGCGGCCACAGGAAGGAAACTCGAGGTCGCATTTGACCTTCCGGTTCCGGCACTGGAGACATGCGATGGTTCTTCTCTTCCTCTTCTTCTTTGGCTCTTTTCCTTGCTCCTGTTCAAGTTCATCTTCTCGTTGTTGCGGGCGTTGATGGTGCTCTTCGTCTTCCTGCTGCTGCTCTTTCTCGACCCCCTCCGCAATCCCTGAGGCCTGCGCGCCTTCGCCCATGATGCTGATGAAGGTCGACCGTGTATCTTCTCCCCTTCTCCGTCCTTTTCCCGTCTTCTCGTTTTCTCTGTTTGCTCCGTCGTTTTTTTCATCTTCGACGTTCAAGAAAAAAGAAAGACGTCGGAGTTCCGGAGATAAACCGTGCAACCTCTGCGGCTCAACCGATAACGCCGAAGCCTCTTTTTTCCTTTTTCTTTCATTTGTTTATTATTCGACGTTTGATGTTTGATATTCGACGGCGACGACAGTAATAGGACGATGATGGCCTAGCATGGCTTTGATGCTACATGGGGTGCACGCAGGATGCCGGGGATAAACTGCAGGCAGCACTATTTCCCCTACCCCTGCGCTTCTAGAGGATATAAAGGATGGTATCGCCAGCCAGGACCAGAGCTGATCGTTGTCAGATACACGCAAGATGCTGAGTTCGATCTTCTCTCGTGCAAGAGAGGCCTGGTCGGAGCCTGAGAGAAGGGAGGGCAGCTCCACGGACAGCCCGCGAGGATACATATTCCCTACGGTTGACCCGGACGTCGACGGTGAAGACTGTGACCGTGACTGCGCCAACTGCACCATTCGATACCCGTCCAGATTCAAGGTCGAGGAGGACGGGAAGTTGTACGGCAAGGTCAAGCCGGTCACCAACCATGTCCTCGTTGCGACGGGGAAGTCGGATTGGATACCCAAGGTGGAGAACGAAAGGGGATCCCTGATGGAGGCCTTCAACAAGAACTCGTCTCAGGCCAAGGGAGAGGTGAGTGCTGTCCGTCCCGTGTTATATTCATCAATGTTGACGTATTTCTCTAGCGAACAGTGGTGTTGGCATCAAATATATCAGTTGATCCGGGGAAACAGGGAGATGCATCTTCGACCGTGCTTCTCCTGCCGGCATTCTTGTACATCGACCGTGTATCGACAGCAGACATACCTGAGCTCAATGCTCGTTTCATCAGCACCGACAGCTCAGGTCAATCGCCAACTTCTGATGCCAACGGCCATCTCCAGTCTCGTCCTTGCCAGCGCGACTATATCGTCCTGCTCTGCTCCCACAGAACCCGGGACGCCCGGTGTGGCATATCAGCACCACTGATAAAACGGGAACTGGAGCGTCACCTCCGTCCTCTCGGCCTGCTGCGTGACGAGGACGACCAGCGCCCGGGTGGTGTGAATATATTCTTCGTCTCGCACGTTGGTGGCCATAAGTTTGCGGCCAACGTTCTGATATACAGGAAAGAAGACCAACAGATGATCTGGCTAGCAAGGATCCGGCCAGAGCATTGCGAGGGCATTGTCAAGCATACGATAGTGAACGGCAAGGTCATTCACCCGGAGACCCGGCTGAGGGGCGGGTTTGACAGGAAGAAGGGGCTGACCAGCTGGTGACTATACTCTACATTGTGTTTATACTAAATTCTGTTCATGACTCAGATCTAATTCAATTGACTTTATTTATGCTGCCATGGCATCAACCTCCACCTCGACCATCATATCACGATTAATAAAGCCATTCTGAACAACCAGCATCGTCGCCGCAGTCCCGATCTCAGCATCGCTATTGTTGGCATTGCTCTTCCGGTCACCAAATATCTCTGTGAACGCTTCACCCACTGCACCGCAGTCTTCGTGTCTGCCGACAAACATGCGTACTCGCACAACGCTCTGCACCCCGTTGCCCCCCAGGCTGTCGACGGCGCGCAGACACTCTCTAAAGGCTGCGATGGTCTGTTTCTTTGCGTCTCCGGGGAAGAGAACTTGCGGTGGCTCGGCGGCGGACGAAGCCTTGTTGGGATTGACGGCCGTGGTGCCGGAGATGAAGATATGCTGGCCGTGGCGGACGCCTCGATAGTAGCCGATTATCTGTTCGAAATGAGACGGCGTTTTGTAGAAGGTCTTTTGGCTGGTGGGAGACGGTTTGGACACCGCCCCTGATGGTTGTTGTGCCTCCATGCTGTCGATGTGATATTAGATGTATGTACGAAGAAGATGGATGGAAACCAGCTTTTATCCACCTACTGGTGACTCACGGTTTGTTTACATGTGTCTGTGGATACAGAAGAGCGAATGCAATTCGTCTGAAATATGTAAATAGTAAACTCAATTGCTCGTATCTATAACACTCTATTATCCCTTTGCAAAAACATCAACAACATTCTTAAACAGAGTGTCAACGCTAGGCAAGGCAAACGATGGCCCGATATCAAATACATCAGCCAGGCTCTTCTTCTCCACGCCGGTCATGGCTTGACCCTCCGGTGGCTGGTCAGTTGCCCCCTTGGAGAGCAGTCGGTATGAGCCAAAGATGTCCTCCAACCCGCTCTTGAGAGGGAGACTGGACTCGGCGAAGGTCAAATCCGGCTGGAAAGATGCTGCGCCGGACGTCATTCGGAATATGCAGGCGGACGAATCGATGATTATGTACTCGCCTGTTTTGGTGTCAGACAGCAGGGCAAGGGGGCCGTGTTCCAGGGGAGACTGGAAAATCGGCGATGGCGACTCGAGGCCAAAGACAGCGAGCTGGTGTTTCGCTTCTTTCTCTGTTTTTGACGTTTGGCTGCCGTGCTCGACCGAGGCGCGGGAGAGACAGGTTGCAAAAGTGCGGCTGCGGGGGTTGATGGCCAGGAAGGACTGAAATTTGCCCTTGACAGCTCCCAGGCGGATGCAGGAGAGGACTCGGTCAGACACCGTATCCCAGACACAAACAGCATCAGAGACAATTACCAGGTGTCGGTCGAGGAAGCCACAGCCTTGTGGAGAGTCTGTGTAGAGACCTTGACGCGAAAAGTGGATGCGGCCCGATTCAGGGTCGACGAGATGGACGACTCCGCCGCGAGAGGCGCTTGACCAGCATACTGCAAGAGCAGAACCGTCTTCAGAAAAGCTGAGAGAGGCCGCAGGCTGGCTGGGGGGTGTCTCTAGCGGTATGGCATGCAAACACCGCCAGGACTTGACCTGTACGCTGCCTGCACCACGGCTGTTCATTTTCCGTGAGCTCTTGTTATCCGGAGCCCAGATTCTTACGAAGCCGTCTGAAGCTATGGAAGCGAACATGTAGCCCTGGGGGTGAGTAGCAAGGTCAAGTACCGTCACAGCGTCACCTGAAGTAGCCGTATGCGGCGAGTTGACACGAGACACAAGCTCCCATTCTGCAGAGTGCTCGTTCCAGCGCCAGAATTTGAGGCAGACCTCCCTCCTGGGCTCACGGTCTCTCTGCTCGACACTGGGATACAGGACCTTCACCTCGTCTGGGTATTGCTGCCATTCGTCAATAGAGGCAAGCCATGCGCCATCAGCAGATATTCGAATAAACTTGATATCCGGAGTAGTGAGCAGAGTCCCCTGTGGACCTATGTTGAGAACAGATACGTTGGTACGAGCTAGGGCTTGACGGTAGACCTGTTGGTTGGAGCGCATGTCGAACGTTTGGAGGTACGAAGATACGGGCGTATCACGTCCCGCCGACGTTGAGACAGTGAGAAGCAGGTGGTTGTTATATAACGGGTGGACGAGCGCTGACAGTCGACCGGCCAGGAGATTAGCTTCAGAACCCTTGCGCTTCTGCCGTCTACTTTCTGCAAGCTCGGCTGAGGCACCCGCGGGAATCTGTAGCCCGTTCATGCTCGCTACGGGCTTCAGCTCAGAGGTGGTCAAGACCATGGCGGAGTTGTCATGTAGCTTGACAGCATAACTGCTGCCCTTGGGGGAGACCACTATGTTGCATATCGGAGAGGAGAGATGAGGCAAGAACTGTTTCCTTCCAGTGTCAAGCTGCCAGAGGACTAGGACGGTCTCTAGGCCGCCAGAGATGAGATAGTTTCCTAGCCGCTTCAGTTAGTAAACGAAAACCACCAGCTTGGTAAGAAAGAAATACCGTCTTTTGACCATCGAACCGTCTTGACAGGTCCACGGTGCCAATGAAGTTTATGCGACGAGAGACCAGGCTCAGCCATCTTGTGATTCTCCAGCCCCTGAAGCGTATTCAATACATCGTTGTATACGATGATAGCTCCCTCATCCTGGCCCACGGCCATATCGATAACCGTTTTTCTGTCCTCCTTCGTAGTAGACGATGTCTCATCGGGCTCACGTATGTCGAAACAGGTGGGAGTAACCGGCAACCGCACTTCATGCCATGTATACAGCTCACTCTCTGCATCACCTCCGGTCCGTTGACCGATGACGAGAATGCTGCTAGCCACTGCTACAATCACAGCACCGCCCGCAGCGAGCCTAAAGTCGTTTATAGGTGTGGAAGTCGACAGGATAACGGAATGGCGCCCCGGGCTTTGTCTCGAGCTATGCTTCCCCGACGGATTGAAGGAGTTGATCGATATTTCACGCTTTCCTCCGCTCCGCCTAACAAGCGCAAAGACAGCAGTCTCCCTGATAATGTCCTCGTCTTCAACCGCCTGTGCATGTCCTTGCCCTACCCTGATAGCTAGTAGGGCTGAGCCTAAAAGGAGCATGGTTCGCTGGCTCTGCCCCGTCATCCAGTTCCACTCCGTCACTTCGCCGCCGGAGGTAGAGACATACGCTATCTCGTCGTCGACCTGAGAGAGCACGCAGCTCGAGATACGAGTGCCATCGCTAGATGGAAGAGCGCGGATGGCACGAGAGGTTGACATAGAGTAGACTTGGACGGCCGACTCGAGGCCTAGGATTATATGGCTAAGGTGAAGTTAGCGTGCTGAAGAGCAAATAACGGTATTGCCACGAGAGCTTACTTCTCATCTCTCGAGAACACAGGGTCCAGGTCCAGTAGACGGCCACCTGTTTTAGGAGACAGTCGCCAGCCGTTCAATTCTTTCTTTTGCACGATTGCTTGTTCCTGGGTCGGTTTTCCCACGGCTGTCTTGTCTGCCTTTGCAACCGCATTCTTTTCCTTCTTCTTGGGTGACTTCGTCTTTGGAGACTGCAAAGCCGTCTTTGAGGATCTCTCGGTAGGTGTGTCTATCGCTTTCTCTGCGGAGTTCTCTAGAGCTTTCTCTATAGCTTCGTCTGTAGGCTTCTTTGACTCGTGAGGGACCTCGTCGACTCTGCGGCGTTTGATACGGTGTCGTTCTCGGGCTGGTTTCTCACTCTGCGCCTCGTCAGGCCGTCTTGTCCTCTTTTCTGTCATCTTGAAGACAGCAATTGGGTATATCTCGACCTTTTCTCTCTCTCGACCGTCTCTATCTTTTCTTCTTCTTCTTTTCTTGTATAAAAAATAAAAAATATAAAAACCTTATCATTATTATGTAATCCGAATAAACGTTTATAATATGACTAAGCAGAAGGCCGAAAGGGGAAAAGCGTGATCTCGTGACTTCTTTTTTTCTGCTTCAAAAAAAAAGGCGAAGAAGAAGTTGACGGACGTTGAAGGACGGCGGATCTACGACTTCTACGGGGGTGGTTCTATTCTGTATATTACAAAAAGGAGCTCGTCAACATGATTATCCCAGTCCGGTGTTTCTCGTGTGGAAAGGTAGGCAGGGCAAGCTAAGGCGCATATGAAACCGCGGCGAGGGAGAGCTTCAATTGACGAGATGGTTGATATCTAGGTGGTTGGAGACCTGTGGGAGCGGTATCTGAGGCTTCTGGACGACGGTGTCCCCGACGGGTATGCAGGACTGTATTCCGAGATATACAAATCCTCAGGCTAATGGAGGATAGGGACGCGATGGACCAGCTGGGCTGCAAGCGGTACTGCTGCCGAAGAATGCTGATGACACACGTCGACCTGATCGAGAAGCTTCTCCGGTATGCTCGACTGCTCCGTCTGCTGCGGTAACTGCAGGTTGAATGCTGACTGGATGGTATAGATACAACCCGGCCGAGCGAGACCGAGCAAAGACCAACCTGTAGACTAGTAATGACGAAAAGGGAGCATGACACAGGAAAGAAAAAAAAAAGGGACAATCAATTGGGCCCGCGCCAGGACTGGGGAGGCGTGGAAGCAGCTTCAGGACGAGGATACAAACTGTACGAGGATGGGAGTTGGCTATGGGGCGGAGGGAGAGGACATGCGCGGGCCTGACAGTGCCAACACAGACTTGAGATCTCGAATGGCGACGCAAGACTTAGACACCATGGCAGGCGCTTAACTGTACGGGCGAGTCAACTGCCATCCATTCTATCAATAGATATCAACCATGAATGCAGCAGCTTTTTGCTCTTGTCAACCTGCCCACTTACTATGGCCATCCCTGCAGCTAACATCCTCGCAAAGCCCAACCAGGATCGCAGGAAGTCCCCGATTGATATACACATTCGTACTAACGCGCGGAAGACGCAGAAAAAGAAAAGAAGAAGAAGAGTAAAAAGCAGAAGAAGCAGAAGAAGCTGACCTTCTGCCAGCCAGTCAGCGTGCAGCCCTATTGATGCAAGAAGCGCAAGAGGATGCGACCTTTTTTTTTTCCTGCCCAGCGCCTAGCCCAACCTGTTGCTTATTGACTGACAGAGAGACGATGATATGTTGATATGTTGATGTGACAGAGCAGTTCGACCGTCAGTTAACCTGTCGATGTCGAGGAGTTGTTTATGTTGGTTATCAACACATCACCATCGCAATCCCAGTGCGCGCATCGCTGTTACATTCAACTAAATAGTTGTCCGCCGGCCCCCACGAACCCCATAATAAAGAAGTCTTCTCGATAAAGCCATCGTAGAGGGTAACTAGGCCCGTCTTTATGAAGAAGAAACGGTAGAGGTTTGACCGCTCTGCTTTGTTGTGAGTCTCTGCTTCTTCCTCCCGCCTGGCTTGTCCTCCTCTAATGCTTCTTTAGAACTCCCATCTCTCCTCGATTTTTATCGTTACCTCTTTATATCTGTTTGTCTGCTTGCTATATATACTCGATAATTGATAAGAGACGTCGACTTGCTATGATTGCTGTCCAAAGTCAGGCCTCCGTGTCGCCTCGATCAACCGCCATCTTTTCGTCCGATGCCTCTGTTCCACTGAGATCAAACCAGAGATCTCCCCTCATGTGTGTTCATACCGTTCATACTGTTCATACTGTTGATATCTGCTGCTGCTGCTGCTACTGCGGATCACTGACTGTTCTCTCTCCTCTGCTAGGCCTGTCTCCAATTCCCCCTCACACGACCCGTCTCAGACGGAAGACCACGAAGAGCAGGGCAAACCCAAGCCCAAGTCACGGTCAAACACACCCAGCAGCCTCAATCTCACCAATGGGAACGGCAGACGGAGTCTCAGTGGCAGTCCTGCCAGCTTGAGGAAGGCCTCCCCTCGTGCGGAAGAGACCAGAGACCTGAGTGTACATGCCACTGCTCCCTTCAGCTTGCACCGACCGTGTACTGATAAGTTCTCTAGCTCCAGACAAGAGAGGAAGACCTGCGGAGGGATGACTTGGAAGACGATGAGCCCGAGCCTCAATCAGTCATCCACGCTCCAGCCGGCTTTGATGGATTCGTACGTTATACCTTGTCGTTCATCATGGCTCCGTGCTAACACATGTCAGACTGTGGAGTCGCCCGCGCCGTCGACAACATCGTCAACCCAGAGATCGGACGTGACCATCACCGTCCCTCGAGCTGAATCAAGGGTGAGAGCTCGTTCACTTGGTCGTGATCGTGGTCGTTCGACTAACAGGCCTAATAGAAATCTGGAGCAAGCCCCATCTCGCCTCCTCCGATAACCACCTCCGTTGCTCCATCCGGACACTACGAGCTAAACACTCCCAGAGCACAAACACTGCAGGAGATAGAGAACTTCAAAAGAACACCCCATCAAGCAAACCTAGATGGTGAGCACTGTCTCCGTTTCTCCTCCTTGGTTCCGGGACTGCAGCTAACACGCACTCCAGACATACCAGAAAGTTCAGACACAGAACATAGCCAGGATGGTCACTATGACGACGGTGAGCAGTCAAGAGATGCCTGGTCCAAGACCAGGTCGGCTCTGCCTGACAACGACGGGGAAATCAGTGCACTCCGGACCGCCTTGTCGGAGTGCTGGACGCTCTGCAACACCCTCGCCAGCCTAAGCTACAACCACCGAGAACGCCTGTTCAGCTTTGGCGGAAAAGACGACATGCAGGAACAGGCCTGGAAGACGTGCTGGAAGCTATGCCAGAACCTGTACGAGACCCGTGATGACGACCACTCAACCCAGGTCCGGCCCACGCTCGACATGTGTCGGGACTTCTGCCAGGCGCTGTTCGAGGTACGGCTGAAGGAGAACGAGGTCGCCGACTCTGTCCTCAGGGTGAGCTTCGAGCTGAACAACCACCTGTACAACACCCACGACCGGAATCTTCCCGAAGCCTTTCGAGAACGCACCCTGGACTTCTACATCACCCTCTGCCACCGATTGATGAAGCAGCGGACCCGGCTGACGGAGGAAACCGACTCCCTGCTGCGGGCATGCTGGTCTCTGGCGGAGATGCTCTTCAGTCTACGGCAGGGGAAACGCGAGGGCAAGGCTCCTGACGAGGAGCTGCTCGGGTCTGCCGTCCAGGCCTGCTGGGAGCTATGCGACCTCTTCCGCGAGGGATGGACACAGGTCCGTCCTGACCGCGGCACCCCCCGTCCCAGCCAGACCACCTTCACCCAGGCCTTCTACCAGGCCAAACGCGCAGAGTATCCCGTCGAAGACACCGACACCGACACCGACAGTCTCCTTGGCCTGCAGAACCCAGAGACTCCCACCACCATCTTTGACGACAGCGCCACCACCGTATCGCCAGACCAAGCTCCCATACCAAACATCATGGTCCTGGGCTTCGATAACCCGCCGCACCACCCTCGCTGGTCCAGCAACTCCTCTACCCTGTCCGGCTACTCGCGCACATCCAGCCAGACGGCCTCGTCCACGCACACGGTCAAGTCACCGGGCGAGGACCAGAACCTGACCGCTCTGAAACTTCTTCTTGTCCGTGCAGCGATGAACAGCGGCTTCCAGCGCGGTGGCTCTGAGAGCCTGCCCACCTTCGTCAAGACCCTTTCGTCGGACTCCTTTGGCTCCTTGCCTTGGCAGATGTCGTTGCTGGTCAACTATAAGAAGCTGATCACCAGCGACCCGGCCTTCAGGTCCGTCCCTCCGCCAACCAGGGCAAGCGCCATAGACGTTGCTAGCGCCGTGCAGGCCATGGTCCAGTATAACAGCCAGTACGAGTGGCTGTTGGACCTGTACCGTCTTGTCTTTGGCTTTTATACTGACGATGCCGTCAACGCGACCGGCATGATCATTCAGTCGTGATCTATATCTTATTGTCTTAATACTCGTTGGTCCTTGGTCTCTTGTTGACTTGGTAGCGTTTTTTATCTTACTTCTTGGCTCGTTATCTGTCTGCTCCCTTTTTTTGGTTATCTGCTTTTAATACCCTTTTTATACGGAGTATATATATTTCTACTGGTTCATGCCGCTCTCTCATCTATCTCAGCTACTCTCTCATTACATCTATGCGTTTCTTCAGTCATCGCTTTCCATCATTTACCCACCTTCCGCCGGACAGACTGGAGGTGGAGGTCTGACTATGTACTTTACAAGCTCCGCATCAAATTTCCCATCCCTTCCGCATCGCCTCCTACCACTCCACAGTGCGCTCCTACATGCATATGTACGGCTGTCCACCTCTGCTCCATACAGGCGCCCTTCGTCTATTTTCATATGCATATTAATCAGTGTCTGTGGGCTCTCTCCACCGTCCTATGATCCATCTTGCATCCACCGGACTACATAGTACACATAGTACTTTTCTATCATACTGATCTACTGTCAGGGCTATTATCTTAACTATCATTTATTACTTCCAACTACCATCATCAACATCAACTTCCAGAGGCTCAGAATAAACACTTTTTAGTTTCGGCTTTGGGGCTGAAAAGGGGCAAAAGACAAAAAGCTTGATGTGATGTCATAAAAAAAACTCTGCGGCTGGCGGCACCACGAATGTTACTACAGCATGTAAGATCGAAAATCAACTTTAATTCTTATTATTTCTTATTTCTCTGGGTGGAAGATTATTAACAGGGTCCTAGGGGAAAAAATATGTTCATCGCTGGAGATTGCTTGGACGCTTTCAACTTATCACAGGCGGCCAACAACGTCATGCTTCTCCACAGCCCGAATATCAGAGAACCACACACATGTTGTGCGGAGTACTTTCTATGGATAATGGATGCACATTTTTTCTTCTGTGGGCACCTACTATGTAACCAGAAAAGAGGAAGAAAAAGAGAAAGAGGCCGGAGTTCGCATTCCTGACCGAGGTTTAGCATGGAAGCATAGAAGACGGATGATTCAAAGACGTACCATAGTGGACAGTGCAAGGGAAACGGAGAATCCCCGTCCTGGATTTTCAAGCTCATGGATCACTCCAGCTCGGCACTTGCTGTGCTGATCATTGTTACAGACGAGACTGTCCCCGTTCACCTGCTGCTTTGCTTGGTTTCTTTTTAGCATGGAAGCATAAGAGTCGGCAGTTCGTACCTTGCTTTCTAACCAGATACCACACAACTACTCCGTACGGAGATAGAGTCTTCTGAACTAGTAGTTCACTGCTCCCTCGCCACACACCATCGACAGCTCTTGGCGATGCGTATGGACTCCAAATACCATGCAGGCCCAGTAAAATGCGCGCTGTTGCAAGGTACCTGTGGGATCCGTGGTTCCGCCCATAGCTTCCGGTGGAGAAGTAAGGGGACGTCCCATAGTTTGACCTCCGCTGACAAAGATGCAGTCCCAATCTCGAAATCCATATATAAAAGATGGGGATCTATCCGTTGATCTTTTGAATTTGTGTTTTGAACAATTTATCCTCACGGCCCTCTCTTCCTGACGACCCTTGATTCGTGACCTATCCTTCTAATGATAGATAGATAGAAGTCATTGCTTATCTGAATCTGCCAAACATGGCGGAGGTACCAACGTTCGGAGGAATGTCCGGAAAGACGCTGTCGCGAAGTATATCTTCCATCGCGACTTGTGGCTTCTTGCTGTTCGGATACGATCGTGAGTGACCTCCCAATTTTCGGTATATCACTTACAGCACTTTGCTAACAGAGACCTCAACAGAGGGAGTGATGGCCGGGATCATCAGTGCCGTGCCATTCAACACCGTCTTCCCGGAGACCAAAGACAATCCAACAAACCAAGGATTTGTCACTGCCATCTATGAAATAGGTATGATTGACCACCTTGAATATTGTTCAATGGAGCATATGCCGACTCAAATGCTATAGGATGTCTTTTGGGTGCCGTCTGTATAATATGGGGTGGCGACATGCTCGGGCGTCGCAAGTCCATTATCCTTGGAGCTATCATCATGGCAATCGGCGCTATCATCCAAGTCACCAGTTTCGTTGGGCATCAGCCATATGCTCAGTTCATCATCGGTCGAATTATTACTGGTGTCGGAAACGGAATCAACACTTCCACCATCCCAACCTATCAGGCTGAGTGCTCCCATACCTCAAACAGAGGCCTCCTCATCTGTATTGAGGGGGCAACCATTGCATTCGGTACCTTGATCGCCTACTGGATCGACTATGGAGCCTCTTTCGGCTCAGGCAGCTTCTCCTGGAGGTTCCCTATTTCTTTCCAAATTGTGTTTTCTATCGTCATAACCCTTGGTATGATTTGGCTCCCTGAGTCTCCTCGTTGGCTATGTATGAGAGATCGCTCGGATGAAGGTGAGAAGGTCATCGCTGCGCTCCATGGAGTGGAAGTCAACAGCCCCTTGGTCCAGGCTGAGAAGGCTGCTGTCATGGAATCTATCAGAGCGTCTGGCGAAGTTGGAAAGCCCACCCCCTTGTCTGTCGTGTTCACGGGTGGAAAGACGCAGCATCGTCGCCGCATGTTCCTCGGTGTTTTCGGTCAACTCGCCCAGCAGCTATCAGGTAATAATGTCCCTTGGCTTTTCTTTGCAATTTTTTTAAACAGCCGCTAACTTTCAAATGTGATTAGGCTGCAATGCAATCATTTACTTCTTCCCGGTCCTTTTTGAAAAATCCATTGGTGTGGATCACAACATGGCAACCTTGCTCGGTGGCGTCAATATGATCGTGTACTCCATCTTTGCAACCACTTCCTGGTTCTTGATCGAGCGAGCTGGACGACGAAAGCTCTTCCTATACGGTGCTGCCGGCCAAGCAATATCTATGACGATCACTTTTGCATGTCTGATCCCGAACACTCCCTCTACCGCCAAGGGTGCTGCCGTCGGTCTGTTCACGTACATTGCCAGCTTCGGCGCCACATGGCTCCCACTGCCATGGCTATATGCTGCAGAGATCTCTCCTATCAAGACCCGTGCAAAGGCAAACGCACTTTCGACATGTTCCAACTGGCTGTTCAACTTCTTCATCGTCATGATTACGCCCGTTATGCTCGCTGGTATCGGCTGGGGAACCTATCTGTTCTTCGCCATCATCAACGTCTGCTTCCTCCCCATCATCTACTTCTTCTACCCCGAGACCGCCAAACGAAGCCTCGAGGAGATTGACATCATCTTTGCCAAGGGTTACTGCGAGAACAAGAACTATGTCCAGGCCGCTAAAGAGCTGCCTTATCTCACCGAGGAGGAAATCAGCCGGATGGACGCAGAGTATGGACATGAAAAGGGCCCTGGTAGCGAATCCCCGTCGAATGAGAAGGCCAGCGATTCCGAGCAGTAGAAGGGCCGTACGAAGATAGTCAGGCACTGGTCTCGTGGTCTATCCCTGGCGGAAGACATGGGTATTGGTTTTATATTGGGCTTGTAAACAAAAGTCAGCATTCCATCGATATTTCCCTCCTGTTATCCGGTTTTCAGGTATAGATATGAGTCTTTCAGTTAAAACTGAAATGATGTATGTTGTGATTAGCATGATAATTATTCGGATAGACCAAAAGAACCAGCCTTTCAAAAATAATACGCAGCCATATCAGTACTATGTATGTCTTAATATTCTTCTTCCTCGGCAACTCTTCGGTGTTTCGTATTCCTTCTTGACCCCACATAACATCATCGCTGAGCTCGTATAGATAAATCTAGAGTATTCAAATTCATGTACTATATGAAACGCATTCGGCATCAACGAGCGTGTCCGTAAGTAGATAGAGAAAAGAGCCATAGACAGATACACCATGTCCTTTGATTCGATTCCGATCCTCGATCTCTCCGCAGCTCAAGATCCTGCAACGAAGGCTGGCTTCCTCAATGATTTGCGCCATGCGCTGCTAGAAGTTGGCTTCCTCTATATCAAGAACACAGGGATCGATGACAAACTGATCGAGGATGTTATTGCCGAAGGGAAGAAGTTCTTTGACTTGCCTATGGAAAAGAAGCTGGAGGTAGAGATGAAGAATGCCCCCAGCTTTCTCGGTATGCCTTTGATAGAATCGACGGCACAGTCCCATCAAGGAGATCGTTTCAATCCTGTGGCTTTATCTCATCTGAAGACCTCCTGGTAATACGGTCAGCTCATCACTAACTATGTATGTAGGATATAGCAGACTGGGTGGTGAAATCACCCGCTTCAAGACCGACTGGAGAGAACAGATAGATCTCTCTACCAACCATCCCGTTCCTGGCCCATCTGATCCTCTTTATCATAACCTGCTAGCACCGAATCAGTGGCCAGAGGAATCATCCATACCTCGTTTCCGTCCAGTATACGAAGAATACATGAAGAAAATGGGGGCCATCAGCATGGAATTCATCTCGCTGGTTGCAGAAGCAATCGGTCTACCAGCCAATGCATTTGACAAGTTCTTTGATAAACACCAACAACACAAGCTGAAGATAGTCAAGTATCCTGACCTAGAAGAGCTAGGGGTCGAGGGTGAAGCTCAGGGCGTTGGCCCCCATAAGGACAGCATGCTCACAAGCTATCTCCTCCAGGCGACGGAGCATCGTGGACTGCAGGTTCAAAACCACCGAGGAGAATGGATCGATTGTCCTCCTATAAACGGTACGCTTGTTGTAGCTATAGGTCAAGGGCTGGAGGCTATCACTCAGGGAGTTTGTCAGAGGTAAGTACATGTTTATACGGAGTATTCAATGAGATATCCATATCCTGACAATTAATATCAAGCACAACTCATCGAGTGTTGAGTCCAGCCCGGGGAACAGGAGCGCGATTCAGCGTTCCCTTTTTCCAGGGCGTAAGCTACGATGCCACCTTTGAAAGCATGGATGTCCCCGATCAGGTCAAAAGACTCCGGCAGGAAGTCATCGAGAAGAATGGCATCCGTCAAGATGATGTTGAATTCACATTCTCCAAAGGCCGTTGGGGCCATTTGGGCGAAGCTACGCTGATGAACCGCATAAAGAGCCATCCAGATGTAGGAAAACGTTTTGTGAGTCTCCATGTGCCCCTGATCTCCCATTATCTGCATTGTTCAGTCTAACCCGGGGACATTTAGTATCCCACACTTCTACAGCAGATTCGGGACGAACAGTCACGGAACAATCAAATAACAGAAGCACCGCAGGGGCTCAAGGTTCAATCATGATCCATTATTCTAGCTGGAACTTTTCCAAAGCCATAACATTGCGTATTTATTGTAGATAATTCTGGGACTTCCTTTTTCCATATATAATCCTTTGAACCGTCTAAATCTTAATAGTTGGAAACGCACCTACTCCCTCTTCAGTCCAATTTTGCCAATACTTCTTAAGCCCCATAGACTTAATCCAACAATCATTACTGCAGCTCCAAAGGAGATCCAGTAGGTGACTCGGTATCCCTTGAGCAAGGCAGTATGCCTGTCTGAGTGTGGTAAATTATGCTCCACAACAGAGTTAGCGGCGACGGCAGTTATGGCGAGACCAACGGACATGCCGATTTGAGATATAGTGTTGAACACTCCACCGGCCAGGCCATGGGTTTTTGGAGGAAACGCAGAGGTAATCACAAGGTTCGACACAGTAAAAAGTGTGTCAGCAGAGATGGGGATGAGAATAGTAGCGAAAAATGGTGCTGTCCAGTAATTCCATTCCGGCTTGGCAAGAGCCATAAGTAAGGGTGCAATTGAAGACGCTACGGCTGCACAAGTGCAGAGTATGTCAGCTGAAACGCGCTTGACGAGGAATCCAGTGACGATATTAGTGACGAGGCCTGATATAACCATGGGAATAAACCGGATAGAGGCCATCAGGGCTGAGCTTCCTTGGAGTTGCTGAAAGTAGAGAGTGGTAAAGAACTGGAAGGAGTTGAAAAAGGCCCAGGTGAAAAAAACCGAGATGCAGACACAGGTGAAGTTCCGGGCTCGACGGGGAGCATTGACCGAGGACTTGAAGAGATTTGGAGGGACCATGGCAACGCGCCCGAGTCGCTCTTGACGATGGATCCAGTAAACGAATCCTACTAAACAGATGGCGGAGAGAGCTAGGGTGACGGAGTTGCCTGGCTTAGCCAACTCGCGGATTGATACGCTGATAGTTCTATAGCATTAATTAGCAGCAGACCCAATACCTGGAGGTGATAAGAATGTTTACATACGACAATGCATAGGAGAATAGCCCCAGGGATGCACTAATCAGAAGGGTTCCAACCCAGTCAATCTCGGTTTTTAGTCTCCTCCATGTTACGGGAACAACTTTTCGAGGATCCGCAGGAATCTGCCAGTACGCAACAATGAGGATCAGGACATTGACACCGGCACCGATGAAATACCCATATCTCCAGCCAATACTGGCAATTAGAACGCCACCCAGGACTATTCCGAGCGAGAACCCCACAGGCTGCGCTGCACCCAGACATGCAAAGGCTATATTCCTTCTACCACCCGGCGCAAATGCAGCGGTGATGATGCTCACAGCACTAGGCAGACACAAAGACATGGCGATCCCAGATATGGCGCGGAACATAATAAGCTGGATACCAGTCTTTACAAGGCCACACCCTAATGTAAAGGCAGATAGGATTCCACACCCAGCAAGGTATACTGGCCGACTACCAACTACATCCGCAATAGATCCGGACAAGAGAAGGGTACATCCGCAGGTCAATCCATAAACCGACGCCGGCCTAAAGTTACAACAAATCAGGAATCCCGGTAACTCTGCATCGGAGAAGCAGGTAAAGGAGGAACGTACCATAGAAGCAAGCTATCCGCAAGTCCAATATCAGCTGCAATGACTGGTAGCCCCACGGTTAGTATACCAGTCAACACGGAGTTCATCAGAACCATGCTCGAGGCTGAAGCAATAATAACTGCTGCCTTTCCCTTGGAGACAACCGGTACAGTAAACGTGCTGACTACCTCTTCATCACTACTATCATCCGGATCCCGATGGACGCCATGGCTGGTGACATTCTCTGTACTGCGAGTTCCTAAGGCCGGTATAACCAGATGTGAAGATTTGGGAGTATCATGGACCGCAGCTGGAGCAATCAACTCTATAGCTGTCTGCGACATGCTAACCGATTTTAATCTGGGAGCTTATTGGACTGGTTCCCTTGGTAGTGAAACAATTATACGTAGAAGATTTCGTATAATATAGAGGTATAAGAAAGTCCAGAAGAGGAGTGAGGAGTGAGTATTGTTCTGTTCTACCAAATCATGAAAGCCTTCAATAAGTAAAACAAAAAAGCTACTTATTGGCGGGAGCTCCAGACAGTATAAGAAAAATGCGAGGGATCAAGCCCCACGCCGTAATAATAAGAATATGTAACGGAATATGCCAGTCTAGAATATTGGCACGCTATATTTCCCGGCTTCTCGGCTGTCATAAGGCGTTGGTTGTTGGCTCCACTGTAGGGTGTTTATCGTAAATATCCGGGCTATTCAGTGGCGAGGAAGTGCAGAAAGGACCTCTGTGGTTTCAATTCTTGCTGGACTCATCATATATTCATGTCAGGGGCGTGTATGTTCGCTGTTTATATGTCTCGATGCTGGTTGATATCATGCAAGAGAAATAATAAAGAACAAAAGAAGTTGAAGTTTTTTCTTTTCTTTTTTCTTCTTTCGGAACTTCCGCTGTGTCATGTGATCCACGTCATGTGACACTGGTGACGTTATGTCATATGCCCTAAGCCCTAGTTTTGACGCTTTGGACGCGTCGCGTCTTTGCTTAATTGGATATTGCATCGACGACGAAAGAACAAGTCGACAGAACATCGGTCCATTGCCTGGCTTTTATCCCTTCACAAGACGCATTCATGGAGGACAAGGATGACGAGGTGCTGCCGGATGTCCCCCGGTCAGACGATATCCAACCAAAGCTAGATGATGGAGCCGCCGAAGGCGCGCAGAACGACGCGAAGGGAAATGCCAGCCTAGAGGATATACTATTCAAAGACGATGATGATGACGATGACGTTGTCAAGAAGCAGAAGGAGGAGGACGATACGGAAACAAAAAAGGGTGTCAAGCTAGAGGACATGTTTGATGATGATGAAGATGAAGATTTTCCAGATTCAGACGCTATACAGATACCAAAGTAAGGGAGTCTCCAACACATTGAATATTCCGGTGCTGACATCTAGGTGGTAGCCAGCCTGCAGTTCCATCCACTCAAGTCGACCCGGAGTCGATGTCTGCCTTTTACCAACGCCTATTCCCATTCAAATACCTTTTCCAGTGGCTTAACCACGGAGTGAAACCTTCTACAGACTTTGGCAACCGAGAATTCGCTTTCACACTTCCTAATGATGCTTATTTGCGATACCAATCTTTTCAGACAGCGGACACGTACGTTATTATCTTTGTATACCAATACCTGCTTCGATGGCTGACCCTTTCGCATAGGCTTCACAAAGACGTTATGCGATTAAACCCCTCTCGTTTTGAAATCGGCCCTGTCTACAGTACAAACCCACGAGACCGCAAATCTCTACGAAAACCTGGTGCCTTCAAACCCATCTCGAAAGAGCTAGTCTTTGACATCGATTTGACAGATTACGATGATATCAGAACATGCTGTAGCAAGGCTAATATATGCGAGAAGTGCTGGGCGTTTGTCACGATGTCCATCAAGGTGATCGATGCAGCTCTGCGGGAGGACTTTGGATTTGAACATATCCTGTGGGTGTACTCTGGGCGTAGAGGAGCACACGCCTGGGTTTGTGATAAAAAGGCACGCAATCTTCCAGACGACAGGCGAAGGGCCATCGCCGGGTATCTGGAAGTGGTTCGCGGAGGCAGTCAGAGTGGAAAACGTGTCAACCTCAGGCGGCCGCTACATCCACATATCACACGGAGCCTCGACACGCTGCGGGAATATTTCGCATCTACCGTCCTGGTGGACCAGGACCCATTCAGCAGGCCGGACCAAGCCAGCAGACTCCTCGAGTTACTCCCAGATAAAACATTAAGGACAGCCTTGCAAAAGAAATGGGATTCTTCACCTGGACGGCATAGCCGTAACAAGTGGGCGGATATTGACGCCGTGGCAAAGACAAACTGTCGCGGCCTAGACACAAAAGCATTGCTAGAAGCGAAACAAGACATCGTTCTAGAATATACATATCCACGACTCGATGCCGAAGTCAGTAAGAAGCTGATTCATTTGCTGAAGAGTCCGTTTGTTGTCCACCCGGGCACTGGCAGAGTATGTGTTCCGATTAATATTCAAAAGGTGGACAAGTTCAACCCCTTGAAAACTCCCACTCTGGCACAACTCTTAGACGAGATCAACTCTTGGAATCCCTCACAGGCGAACCAACAGGATCAGATGCCAGCGTCTGATGGCGGAAGCGGCCAGGACGAGACTGATGCTGGCCCTAAACCGAAGAAAATCCAGGATTATGAGAAAACGAGCCTGAAGCCATATATCGATTATTTCCGCTCATTTGTTGCAAAATTGAACAATGATGAACGACCAGCCAAGAGAGAACGACCAGGAGAAGGCTCAAATGCTATGGAGTTTTAGTTTTAGTTTTTTTTTCTCCTCATGATAGTTGGGAGTAAGGCTGGTCGGTTTCAATAACGATTTAATATTTTCAACGTCAATGTGTTTTTCGGGCTTTCACCTTATCACAGGGTATAAGGGTAAATATACAAGCTGCACGTATTTATTAAATGCAGGCTAATAGCTACTGTTACTAGAATGGTAGCCACTGTTGAGAGTCATAATACAGGAGTCGACATTGATATTATTTATATGTTACAGGTGAATTTCTTTTTCGTATCTCGGCTCCAACCTCAACTCCAGCAGCCCCATGCCTACCAACCGGACGAACGAAGAATGTAGAGATATTACATTATAGCGAGAGACTAGGTTTAGTTGTTTCCAACAAAACCCTTGAGGTCTGCAGGGGATGTTAGCACGTCGTAATGAAGGAAAGGTTGAAAAAAGGAGGAGAGAGTAAACGTACTTCCAAGCCAGCGGACGTATTCCCTCTGTTCCTTGAAGTCAATGTAGTCTGGAACGAAGGATGCAAGAGCGGTATCGATACCTCTCTCGTCGAGATAGCGCTCAACGAGGGTCTGGAGCTCCTCGTCCAAGTTTCCAAATGGTGGGCCGGCATACAGGCTCTGTCGCTCCCATTCCTTTTCGGGAGTCTTAGCGTTGGCAAGCTCGGGGTTAGAGAAGTACGAGACGTTCTCGATCTGGATCAAACCGTCACGGGCAACGGCATCGATGTGCATGGCACCCTTGCCTGGCTTCTCGATGGTAACATCGACACGGGCAAGATATCCGGGTTCCAGAGGCTGTTCATCCATATTTTCTTCCGGGACAGCGTCCTTGTTGGATCGAGATGCGTCCATGTCGAGCTCATCTTGAAGAGCACTGTCGCCGAAGTCTTCTTCGGGGTTGATGTTCTGCAGGTCGGCAATCGTAAACGAGACACGAATACTATAACGATTAGTATACAGTATACCTAAGATATGACAGCATAATTGACAGTTGTAGACGTACTTTTCATCACCAAACTTCCTAGTTAAGACAACCTCTTCTTCTCCGGCCTTGTCGATGATCTAATCCACTGTTAGTAGGATCTTCATAGAAAAGTCACTTCAAGCTCTTACCTCAAATGGGCCATTGTCTAGGAAGTACTTGACCGACTCAGGAAGCTCCTCGGTCTCTCCGCTCTCGGTCTCTAAAGCAAGCTCTTCCTGGAACTTGGCCGCAAGCTCAACATCAACTATACACCCGTCAGCAACAAACAACAAATAATACGGACGATGGATTCTGCATAAGGAAGACATTACCCTGGCCAGCAGCCTCGAATCGAGGCCTTGAAGTAGAGAAGGCAGCGTATGAAGGGCGAGACATGAGCTTCCATGTTGGCTGGAAGAGAGATGATCGCTGCAGAGGTCTGAGGGACGAGGTGGTGATGGATCTGGAGAGGGTTCGGGGAACCGATCTGGTCAATGAGCGTATCGAGAACATTGTGATGACGGGTTTATGGAGCGATGGGCGCAATAAAATGATTGTTCTGCTGTTGGTGGTTGACTTTTTGATGTTTTGATGTTTTTGCTGAAGAAGTTTTTTTTTTAAAGTCTCCGCCAAGACTTTTCCTGGTCTTGAGTTAAACCAAACGAGACATCAAAGATTTACTTACTAGAACGCCAGAGTGTTGATGAAATATACTTGTAAAGATGGTATATCGATGAGGGTGTTCAAATATGATACTTACGGCTCACTGCCCTGTTCCCTCTTGTTTTTGTCCCTGCTCCTCCGAAGTGAGCCTATCGTCTCTTTCGATGCACCATGACGGGCCATAGACCTGTTCCCGGTTCTTGTTGCGGACGCCATCAACTGTATACCCTGATGCCTGAGAGTTGGATCTGGACGGTGGAGGGCTTAGGGCGTTCGTGAGGTTGGAGACGATGGGCAACACTCTACCTGGTGGCTTCGAAGCGCTCCCGCAGGCCGTAAGCTTGGCTACAACTTGGGTCATCCTGCCAAAGGCGTATCCTGAAGCAAGGGAACCCTCTCATGAATTGTACATCGTGGGTGAAAGGAAGAAGTGACTTCAGTCGTCGAAGCAATAAGCTAGGATATATATATATATATGCACAACCCGAGAGCCGTTGCATGGACATACATCGTTTACGAAGAAAAAGTAACAAGAACAACAGCGAAGAACTTCTGCTCGACTATCTACTTTGGTTGGTGCAGGCATTTCCCATTACATGTCCCTGAAGCACAACATTTCCCTTCGTTGTCCGTCCCCCTGGCACAGCACTCATCGTTGAACTCCCCGGCGCCACACTGCTTTGGATCGACACCACAGCCTTCACCAACTCCGGTCCAACAGTGGCATTTGCCGTCATGCCCCTTCACGCCGGATCCGCAGCAACTCCTTCCCTTTAGCTCCTCTCCGCAGGGAGCACACGGCTCGCGGAGACACTTACCCGCAATGCAGTTTAGATGGTTCGCAACGTCGCACCCTAAGATACAGTCGCATGGGGCGTTGTCGACCAGAGTAACCCCTCTACAGAAGCCCTCTAGACATTGCGATTGAATAGGTATCGTGATCTTGCCATTATCCGCATGAGCACTGCACTCGGCCTTTGTAGGCCGCCTGCAGTCGGATTTGACTTTGCATGGATCGCCAACTGCAAAGCATTGCGCACTGTTTGGGATGCCACGGCCGGGTGGGAGGTTGATGACCCGGATAGCTGGTGCTTCGGTTGGAACCTGGCAGTTCTCGGGGAATTTGGGCGGATCAATTGGTGATAGCGCAAGGGAGCATCCAAAGGCCCCAGCAAGGACAAGCGCCCTGACGAGAGATGGCATGGTGGGCTGGCTAGAAATTGATCTGTTGATATTGGGATGTAGGCGTGTATATAGTATGCAGTAGAATGAATACTGGAGATGATACGGTATCCTCCGTTTATATACTATTTTGTGCCCGCCCTCCGCCATGTCCAGCCCAACACCGTTCCCCAAAAAAATGGAGCCTTCATAAGGCCGCGCAGCACGCCGTGTGGCTGTCAATCCACATCAATATTCGGTCATTTGCACACAACAAAATGAGATATGGGAGAGAGAAAAAGCAATGGTTGGAAACCCGCCCAAACCAAAGGAAATAACCAAGAATAAAATACTCTGAGCACGCACCATATAAGGGGAAAGTTCATGAAGAGGACGAGTACAGATATGCTGACCTTGGTATATGCTGTTGCTTCCATCCTATTACATGGTTAATATATTGATATATACTCCGTACGCCTACATGGCGGAAGGGTAGCCCCTTTTTGATCCGCCACAGATGCTCATCCTAGTTCGTTAATCTGGCTTTAATTGAAAGCTTTTTGCTTCGATTAATAAGATTAATCTCGCGATGTGAAGACTTATGGAACTTTACCCTTTGAGTTATGTGCCCGAACTGGACTGCATATACGGAGTATTATTTACACCATCTGCTATCAGCAAATAAAACGGGCCAACCAGACTCCGCCTATCCTCCGCCACCACCTCCACCCTCAACTATGTAGCAGGGAAGCAAGGACACTTGTGATGGTGCAGAGATACAAGGGCAGAGAGAGCTGCACCGACAGAATCCAAGAAGTTGAGAGGAAGCGAGGAAGGCGATGGAACAATAGAACTTGCAACACATATGGGTCGGCCACGCTGGAGCAAATACAATATTCTACGCATTATAACAGCTATGCTAGGAGATAACTCATTATGATTCCATCACAGAAAATAGTACGTGGTTCTTCCTTATACGCTCTAATGTAGGCTGTTGTACATATATGCAACCGGCAACGACATCGTAAAGTCATCATTTCGTGTCAAAGATCAAGAAAAATACGGAATTTGGTATAATTGTGGCAACGGAGTGACTGAGAGGGCGGCTTCATGAAAGCCCCTTGGGTGGAAACGACGACGGCCGTTTCTCTCCAGCCTTGGTAAGTCTGACAAACTTGAGGTTGCTCATGGCAGACCACTCCTCGTTCCAGTTTCGCAGTCGCCGCAGGCTGTCCTCGGACTCTAAGTCTGGCATCCAGAACCCTGTCTCGTATTCCTTTGCTTCCGTCTCGATCTTCTCTGTCAGGACCTCCTGGCGCTTGCTTGGGGGCCTGCCTTTGCGCCTGGCTTCCTGCTGTTCTTGTAGTTCGGGCTTGAGGCGGTCTAGGTACCTATAACCAGGCCAGTTAGCATTATATGCTTTCTGTCTCCATCCAATTGACCAACTGGCGGGGTAGGATGTTAACATACTGCTGGAGTAAGCTGACAACGCCCTCTGATGTTAGGGGAGTCTCAAGGTCCTTTGTGCAATCTCTAAAGTAGGCTACTCTATCCACTATCACTGCGAGTCAGCACAACAGGAACCCTGGATATAAAGGCGCGCAGAGCACGTACAACTCACCATATGTCTGTCTTCCCTTCATTGTCGTCGCTGCTGCTCGGGCTAACTTCTCCTCCCTCCCGCCAGCTCGTCGCAGGCGAACCGCATCTCTGCTCTTCTCATGGAGAGAGTCCAGTTTTCCCTTCTTCTTGGAAAGCTTCTTGGTGATCTTATTCAGGTTTTTTGTCATCCTGTCTGCCTGTTCCAAGCTGCTTCTCTTCCCACCAATTTTGTTTCTCCAATAAATTTTTATTTTTTTTATCTTCAAAAAGATAACGGCAGAAAATAAAGGCGGTAACTATCTTCTGCTGAGTCATCATCACGTGAATTATATAAAAACCTTCAACTTCAGACGAAAACAAGAAGAAGAAGAAGACGATGATGATATCAAACTATTCAACAAGATGATATGTTCTTCTTCTTGCTTAAACATGCTGTACTGTTCGTATGTTTTAGTGCCCTGAGCATAGTTTTTCAATGGCAGTTAGTAATGACCCATAAATGTATCCCCATATATTCTCCGTGTATATACATCAAAGTGGAACGACCACGACGTAGACGAACAGGATATCTTCTTCCTCGCCGTCTCGATCAGTAAAATCAAATGTGCATCTTCAATAGTCGTAAAAGTTCAAAGTTGTTGATGGTCAAGCCCCTTCCACGTGACCACATAGGAAACCGCGTCTTTTCAGCGCGTCGAGGTTGCTAACAGAAAGAAGACTTGGATGTTGCCGGTGCAACTCGACCACTTCTTTCTCTCTCCCCGAGTTGCTCCCTGGGGTTTCTTGTCTGCTGTTTACTGCTTCGACTTAGCTGCTATCCATGGATCATAGCAGTGAAAGGTTTACCACTTCTTGACCGATCTGGGAGCAGTCAAAATCTAGAGGAGTGGATGCTGTGACGCTAACCATGGGAATTACGGGTAAGTGGTGATGGCATCTACTCACATCTACGCATTAAACCACGGCTAATCCTCTTTTTAGGGCTCCACGGGCTTCTAAAGTCGATACAGAAGCCCTGTAATGTGAAGAAATTCGCCGGTCAGACCCTTGGAGTGGACGCATATGGGTGGTTACATAGAGGGACAGCTGCCTGTGCGTACGAAATAGCACTCGGCAGGCCTACCACAAAGTAGGCTTATATCCAACAGATATTACCGCTTATGAGGGTTAGATGCTGATCCGTTGTGTAGATATGTTGATTTTACTATCGGTCGTCTGCGGATGCTACAGCACTATGGAATCACCCCATACATCGTGTTTGATGGGGGGATGCTTCCCAGCAAAGAGGCGATAGAGGCCTCCAGGGCTGCCAGACGAGAGGAGAGTAGGAAGCTGGGCGAAGAGCATATGCGGAGAGGCAGGACTGCGGAAGCGTATCAGGAATTTCAAAAGGCAGTTGACGTCACGCCCTACATGGCTCGTGTCTTGATTGAAGAGCTGAAGAAGCACAAAATAAAATATCTGGTCGCTCCGTATGAGGCTGACCCCCAGTTGGTATACCTGGAGAAACAGGGCATCATCAATGGCATCATCTCAGAGGACTCGGATATGCTTGTCTTCGGTGCAAAACGTCTTCTTTCCAAGCTTGACAAAAACGGTGACTGTATCGAAATTAACCGGGGTGACTTTGCTGCCTGTCGGGATATCAGTCTGATAGGCTGGACCGATGAGAATTTCCGGCACATGTGCATTCTCAGCGGATGTGACTACCTTACTAACATCCCCAGGATGGGATTGAAAACAGCATACCGTAGTATCAGGAAGCACAAGTCGGTGGATCGGGTAGTCAAAATGGTTCAGTTTGATGGGTCGAGTCGTGTTCCGCCGGGTTATCTTGAAAGCTTCAAACGAGCGGAACTTACTTTCCTGCACCAGCGGGTGTTTTGCCCCACCGCCAAATGCTTGGTCATGCTTAATCCGCTTCCAGACGGCGGGAATGGAGAAGACATGCCGTTCGTTGGTGCCATCCTGGACCCCGATGTGGCTATTGCGATCGCCTGCGGTGACCTTGATCCGATGACCAAGGAGCCGATTGAGATAAAGCCGTCATACCCAGAACGAGAAAGGCTGGTTCGGACGGGACGACAGTCCATAACCTCGTCTGATGAGAAGAAACCAGCACGAGAGATACATGAATTCTTTACGCCAAAGCGCGTTCCACTCTCTGAGCTGGACCCGAATTCAATGACTCCCTCACCAGGACCCAATCGACCATTGGTGAGCCGGCAGAATCGGTATTCTCTGGCCGCGAACCGGGTATCGACCCCTCCCAGTATTACCAGGAGTGCGGCCTCGATACCAAATACCCCAACCGACCGGGCACGACGAACAGAAGCATTTCTCAGATCCGCCTCCGAATTACCGCCGCCTCAAGTTCAGAAGAGACAGCGCCTCTGTTCGGACTCTGACGAGGAGAGTGTAGCAGGAAACATGGCCGAAGTGAGTCGCTTCTTCGCTGGCCCCGGAGAAACAACGACAACTCGCAAGGACACAACGAGCAAGAAGCGCAAGAGTAGCAAGCTCCATGTCTTTTCAGACCAGGAGGCCGCTTTATCTCCTGGTCAAGCAATAACCAAGCAGCACACAGCTACCAATGATCCTACAAAACCGCTCCCATCAGGTCGCCCTCTTCCTCCTCTTTTCCTTGAGGAGCCTATTTCAAACACCAGCACACAGGAATCAGCCGTTACTTTACCAACACCATCACTACCGACCGTAGCTGACAGCCGATCTGTAGATGCCAACTCCGACCCATCCCTGTTCGAGAGCGTGCTGGACTACAACGTAAAGCGCCATAACTTGAAATTGCGGGAGAAGTATGCTTTCAACCCTTCTGAGCAAAGCGAGACCGCCCAGAGCAACAGAGACGACATTCCAACCGCACCCACCCGTAGTTCTTTGCCAGGACGATGTGTGAAGCGGACACTGTCCTCCCAGATACGACCAAGCCCGTTACAACGGCTAAAACAAAGCGCACTTGCTCGATCAAAATCCATGACCAGTCTCCAGCCACGGAAGCTTGTCGATAAGCCGGAAGACACTCCCACAGCTACTGCAGACGAAGCAGCCGATCACCTCCTCCCACCAAGAAACGTCTCGCACGGTGGAAGCGAGGACATGATCACACCAAACAGCGACAACTCAGCCGACGAAAAGGACGACAGCCAGGAAGTCGCCTATTCCTTCGACTTCTCCCAGTATGCATTCAAGAAGGCGTAAAGCAATGGGGCTCGTTTGGCTTTTTTTGAACCTTTTGAATACATTTTTTAGAGAGTATGTCTTGTTTCTGGGATATAAAATAACAACAGGAGCTTTTATGGGAGGGAGTCCGGAGTTTATCCTGCTGACGCTGTGCTGATGAATGTATTGACCTACTGGGCCAGAAGGCTTTGGGAGTTTTTGGGGATAAAACACATGGAGTTATGCCACTGTTTATGTATTTCCTCTTTCGCACGTTTTATGCACTTGTTCCCCTGGCGCAAACCCTGCCACCGTCCTAGTCCCGATGAGGCTAGCGCGCCCCACGTGGTTCCTGACGGGCGGGAAGTTCTGCCAAGGGCGGTGAGCTGGCGTTGCCTCGGCAACCAGGGCGAGTAAACAAAGCCGCCTCGTTGGCCCAGCCACGGACTTTTGGATACATCGACATCCAACGGCGAAAAGGATACCCATCCAGCCACCGCATCTCGAGCAAGTCACTCTCTATCTTCTCTTTGCCGCCAAGTGACTTCTCTCTCTCTTCTTTCTTCCCTCTTTCACTCTCCTCTTCACTGTCTTCCGACGAAAAAAGACATCGTGTGAAGATACACACACTCAATCTCGACCGTTTACCGGTGATTTTTTGGTCCTTCGTTCGCCACAAGTCCATCAGGGACTTGGAACGGGCTGTTGGATTGCTTTCTCTCATAGCTACGAGCTTTACCATCTTCTCTTCTTCCTTCACTTGCATGCACCATACACACGCTGATCTACCTCACCTATCTCTCCTCTTCCGCCCGCCAGCAAGCTACCGTGCTCGAGGCTCCTAACCATCTCCTAGTTGACCTGTCGAGATCCTCCGGCCGCGAGACTACGATTTTTTTAAAAAAAAAAAAAAAAAAAAAAAAAACGCTTCAAGTTACAGCAGCCTTCGTAAGGCTGTCAGCCCGTACAGCTGGGTCGGAGTACCAGGCTCCTCGTTTGGTCGGATTAGCTGGTCAGCCCTCCGAGACCCTAAGGGGCAGGAGTCGGAACTCTCTGGGAGGGCCTAGCACGGGAGATTGGGAAAAGGAAGGCCGGATAGTGAGGTGGATTTAGTTCAAGATGGCGGAGATGCGGTTTATGTCCGGCATAGCCCGTACGTGGTTCAGCCTCCATAAGAAAGATTGAATGGTTAGGCAAAAGCTGACAGTTTATCGTCTGTTTAGGGTTCATTCCTGCGGTGGGATATCACCATGTTCTCATGTTATTCATTGCGCTCTCCATTCTACTACTATGTGAGTAACGTTAACACGGCGAACCCACTTGGACCGTTGCTAACAAGGTGCAAAAGCTCTATTACTTGCCGGATGCTCGTCATCGTCTCCACAGATTCCCAGCATTTTCCTAATATCGATGTTCTACGAGAAATACCCAGCCGTCATGAGTACTGCGCAGGCGGACCCTGGACTCGTACCGACAATCGCAAACATAGTCGGAGGTGCTCACTTGGAAGTCCGGGTAGGGTACTTTGGAATCTGCATCCAGCGAAACGGGGGTGGTTTCCTCTGCAACCAGAACGCGACTATCCTGGCCGAGTCCCTTGGTGTCGAAAGTGATCCCTTAAATCTGATCTGGGTCGCATCAACATTCAAGGATGCGGTGGTATTTCCATATCTCATGTGAGTATTCCTTTTCAATACCCCCCGTTAAAGAGTGTGGTGGCATGGACTGATTTTGTGCGCTTAGCATCGTCGCGTTAATCTTCGCATTCCTCTCCTTCCTCCTCCTGGCGACTTTCCCCGGCTGGCATGAAGAACTCAACCAACAAGGCTCGGACATCGAAGTAAAGCCGTTCCCATCCCGGCCTGTATCGCAAGTCGCCCTCGCACTGATCTTCGTTGCGTCCGTCTTCATCCTGGTGTCGGTCCTCTGGCAACACACGGCGTCGGTGGCAGCCAGTACAATAGCGCAAGACCTGGGGAACGGCAGCGTGAAGAGTGGCGTCGGCACGTCTGCCATGCTTCTGGGCTGGTTTGGCTTCGCCTTCTTCATCATCGTCTCCATTGGCTTGCTCTGCATGATCTTGAGTATCAGCTACTTCTCACAGATAACAGATGATTAAAGATCTGTCTTCTTCTTCTTTCTTATCTCTTGTCTTGATATCTATTCCTCCCCCCTTTACGCCCAAGTATATGCCCCTCCGTTATGTGTTTTTTTTTGTTCCTCACGATCTACTATTATAATGGGTTTGGGGATCTGGGTACGGGACATTAACGTGCATTTAGACATAAACGAGCTTCCCTGACGGCCAAAAGCCTCTTCTTCGACCACACTTTGACTCCCCCGATGTTTGGCATGCCTTTTTTCTTCCCTCTTCCTCTGATTTACTTTTCTTGACGCTCTGTATATGAAATATTTCCTTCGCGGTGGTGTTGGGAGTTTTCACTCTGGAGGGATTCGTCTATTAATCAACTTTGCCACGGCCAAGTTATACGCCGTGTCCTTGATACTTAATGCGAATACTGATTAAAAACAATTTGAATGATACAAGTATACTGTTCTATTCTCCTTGGTGCAGTCTGTGTGTTGGTCCAGCTACTGTGTTTTCTACATAACAGCACTTGGCTGTGGAAGGAGAACCCCAAGGTATAGATTGATAATGCTGGTGAATAGTCTATAAAAGCCCACACCATGACCATCTCAAGAGCATGCGTATTACGCCCTCAAAGCACCGATGTATCTCGCCGTACCGTAGTCTGACCCAGATGTTTTCCCGGTAGTCAGCAGCAGCTACCAACAGCCACCAAGTGGAAATAATAACATACGGATTTGACCATCTCAAGGCCTATAAAGGGCCAGCTGCTCTTGAACATATAATCCGGCAGTCTATCATGCAATCTCAAAAGGTCAAGACTTCATCCCAAGCCCCCTTGGCTTCCTTACAGTCACCCGACGAATATCATTAACAGCATCCTGTCAGAATCTGCCATTCGGCCAAAAAGGTGAGCCCAATTGGTGGCAGGGAGACTGGTTATATTCGACACATTCCCTTCATTCAAATTATTACAGTTAAAGACGGTGCATATCTTTTCTTTAGCATGGCCAGTAGCTGGGTTCTTTTTGAGATAAAGAGGAGGTAGCCCAGGCAGTGCACGACTCCAACATGCTCCGGATACTGCCATGAGTCTTTGACCATAGACAACGCCCAAGGGCTGGCGGTACATGTTGAAGGCTCTCCTCGTTGATGGCGGCCTCATAACCTCGTCTATCAGTTCGAAGGTTTTGCTATAGTAGAAGAGAGCTGTTGACTGTAGGATATAATGGATGGAGGATGGCAAGAGAAGAGGATTTCTTCCCTGCTATATAGTCTTCTAGCCTGGCATTCCATTCACTTCTCTACTTCGTGAAGGAGGCCGTCTACTTCGCGGCATATACGTGAAGGAAGTTGTCTAATTCACGGGCTTACGTGAATAGAACTAGCAGTGAAGAATGCCGTGGGAGAATAGTCAAGCGTGATGCAGGCATGTATTGATTAGAGAAACACATATCAGAGGCATCAGCAACGCCAGCACAACTCCAACAGAGATGGAAAAAAATACACAGTAGTCATGATACAGCCCTAGAACACAAACAAGAAGAAGCAAGGAGAAAACCTGGGCGATATCTGGCGAGAAATGAAAGGAAATCAACTAGTAGTTCATCACCGGGCCTCCGCCGGGTCCCCTGGCAGGACCTCTGTTGTCCATTGAGCGGTCATGGCCGCCGCCGGCAACATGGTCATCCAACGACCTGTATCTTGATCCGTGGCCGTCCCCCCTACCCCCACCAGCGCCACGGCCACGTCCTCGGCCGCCTCTTCCCCCTCGTCCCCCCCTACCACGGTTCCCACGGAAGGGTGGCTGTGGCCCATTATTATAATGGCGGTTATAGTAATGTGGCCTCCCGCCAGAATACTCAGGGGCAGCTGGTCGATGCTGCTGCATGTCACGATAATCCCGTGGAGAGGACTCCGTCTCATCTCGGCTGTCCGGCTGGACTCTCTTCTTGCCGCCTCGGCCAGCGACGCCGTTCCGTCCTACATTCCGTTCCTGCACACGCAGGATGGTCTTCTCCCCGATTACCGTGTCAAACACTAGAGAGTCATCCTTCGTAACTGGGTTCCAGTTACGGATCTTGGCCGCATCTGTCGGCCGCACGCCTTTGCGCATACCGAGCACGATCATAGGCTCTGGGTTGTCAGTGTGGATAGTCTCTGAGCTATCCAGCGGACTGACCCGTGCAGCCCATACCTTGTGTTCGTGCGTGCCCGTGTCTGTGACACGCCAGCGGACGACCTTCCCAAGGCCCCCAACCTTGTCAAGTATGGGTTTGGGAGACGATCGCGGTGTGATCATGATGCTGTTCGACATGAACTTAATTTCACTCGTGTCAGCGACGCTGGATGATATTAGTGGAAGGAAAATGTTTTCTATCAGCCGAGCGGTGTCAGCATTTGACAGGATGTATCCTGTGTAGAATGTAGTCTTTGAAAGCTCAAGTCTGCCATAGGGTGACTTGGTGAGATTTGCCGCTGGATTACCCAGTGATGCATTGTGAGAGTTGATCATGCGTTGGATCTCGGCTGCCTCTGTGACTGGAGACAAATACTTAGCCAGCTCAGCCACTTGGATCACCTCAGCGGTGATGGGCTTTCGGGTGGCCGATGGGCCCGCTGCCAAAGCATCTTTATTGAACTGCTCAAAAAAGTCACGGAAGCCTTTGACACTGTTTGTTGTGAGTGGTTATAAGAAACTTTCATCCCTCCCAAGAGGGTTTGGCCATGGTAGAAAGCGCGCACTACTTACTGATTTACACGGTCCTCGTAGACTCGGATTTCTTCAGCCTCTTTATACGTACGCATTAGGTCATCTAGAAAGCATTGCTTGAATTTCATTGTAGATGCGAAACGCTGGTTGTTCGGGCCAACCTCTGGTTTCAGGCAGACAAGATCAAATGCCAACTGTTTACTCTTGATCATGCGTCCGATAAGCTCGGCAAAACCACCTTCAGACCTTCCAGTTAGCAGGACGGTGAGGGCATCTTTCTGTTTCATACTCAGTTGAACCAATTGGGCCTTCGTATCATGTCAGTCGGTGGGTGAGCCACGGTGATATACCACGGATCGACGGGTATCGTACTATCTGTTCATTCCACCACCCTGCCCAGGCGCGGGCTTCTTCAACTTCGATCCCATCGCCTGTTGATCCAAGGATGTTCGAATCATGCCACCAGCCGCCTTTTGCAAAGCATTCATATGACTGCAGAAACCCAATTGTTGGCCCATTCCATAACTGTGGGTTGGGTAAGGGGCTTAGAAAAACTTGGTATTCGGTCAGTCATCACGGTCGAGAATACGAAGCGTAACTTTGGGGGTGTCTCCGTACGAGTGTTGTCAAAATCATAGACGTGAATAGCTTTGATATTCGGAATGGCTAGAAATGTGTCCATGTTAGCTTCCGTTCATACAACACCCAAATCGACCCACGAGAAACAAATAGAAAAAGACAGGTATGATGGTGGCCAGTTTTTTCAATCGTAAACCCACAGGGAAGGACGCCTTCATTAAGGCACGACCATCGTTTCAACGCGGTTGTCGAGTAGGCTGTAGACCTCTGGGGGTTAAACCGCGTTGCGCTGTTGGCTATAGCTGGCGCCATCTGTGCGTAAGCAGCTGCGAGTCTCGGGAATCTGAGTGCCTTAAGCATATGAGAGCATTATCTATCGTATATCACAGACAAGTCGAGTCGTCAACTTGTCATGCCGCAAGTCTTTCAGTCCCTCGAGATCTTGAAATCTTTCAAAGTCTTTCAAGCTTGCATTCAATTTGCTTTTTTCCCTTCTTCAATTTTGTTATTACATAAGCGAATATAATATCACGTGATATGCATATCGAAATCCCAAAGAGGAAATTCTCGACTTCGACTTCAGCTTTTCCCATGTTTTACTCGAGTGTTTGCGCTTGATATGCATGCCAGATGGCCCGGGATGTGGAGGGGAGTCAGGATGTACTTTGCAAGATGATAGCAGATGTCCATCGGGACGACCAAGGCGAGCCATGCGTGATCTGCCTGGACAAGGTCGAAAAAGCCGGCACTGCGATCCCATGTAAACACGCCAATTTCGACCTGCAGTGTCTTTTGATATGGCTGGGACAACGCCCTGCTTGTCCGCTGTGTAAGTGCTGATACTGCCTATGCTGCGGGTATGCTAGGCTCATTGTCTGTATAGGTCAAGCGGCCGTGACTGGAGTGAAGTACGAGGAGAAGATAGTCTGGATACCAACTTCTCCGCCTGCTGCTAGTAAAGAAGGGGGCCCCAGCCTTAGACATATACGCAGACAGCGAATACAGCACTCTGGCCCCCGTGCCCGTGTAGAGGTGGACTCTGCACTGTTGCGTCGCCGACATGTATACCGCCATCAACTGTATAGCCTACGGGTGGGTTCGAACAGATACTCCCGGTATCGTGAGCTCACGCCTCGGATGATTGACCGGGATGGCAACCTGCTCTCCCGGGCTCGGAGATGGATCCGGCGTGAGCTGCAGGTGTTTACCTTTTTAAACCAGCCGGATCAAGATAGAGAGAGAGCTGGTGTAAGGATTGGAAACCCAGAGTACCTGCTCGAGTACATCATTGCCCTTATACGCACGGTTGACATGAAGGGCAGCGCAGGACAGGCAGAAGAGCTGTTACGAGACTTCCTGGGCAGGGAGTATGCCTCACTGTTCCTACATGAGCTGCAGTCCTGGATGAGGAGTCCGTTTGAGACTCCGCGGGAGTGGGATGCAACTATTCAGTATGATGAACGTGGAATATCATGATAATTGATTTAGGATTATCCTAGACAACCATGGTTGATGCTATATACGGAATAAATAGTTCTATCTAATCGTTGAATCATTCAGGGTCATTAATTATATAAAGCAAGAAACAGCCAATTTCATCGCCTGCCGAACCGGCCTCCACCCTTCTGGCCGCCCCGACTTCGTATCTTCAAGGAGCGGTAGTTGGCATGTGCTTCCGCCTTGATCCTTCTTAGCTTCTTCTCTGGTTTCTTCTCTACCAAACTAGGCTTGGCTTGTTTTGCGCGGCTCTTCTTGGGGATATACACCTCGTCTGCATCGGGATTATCGCTAGAACCATCGTCTCCTGCAGGATCGGCTGTTTCAGTAGCAGCGAGCTCATCATCGCTGTCATCGACAAGCGATTCCCACCGAGGCTGAGCGACCGGTTTGACCCGAGAGGGCCTGAGACGGGATAGCTTGGTGGTCCGTTTCTGGCCCTTCTTCTTATAAGACTTATATGTTTTTGAGGGAGATCTGTGAACATCGGCTTCACCGTGGGTGTTGCCATCGACCTGATGATCCGAAAAGATCTGTGTCTCCTCAACCCGATCCTCTGGCTCTTCAACTGGGTCTTCCTTCTGTCCCTCCTGTAGCCGTTTGGCGAACGAGCTTATTCCCTTCCCAAATAGCCTCTGCGGCATGCGCACGGACACGGGCACAGGGCTATGCATAACGGGTGAAAGAGCGCCCTTCCTCGCAGTAGGAGAAAAGAGGTTCTTCCGTCGTAGAAAGGAGGGTGTCTCTGACGCGAGACCTCCACGCGCGCCGTCATCGACACCATCCTCCTCGGGGATGGTCGCACATCGAGTCGCCGTTGGCGTGGCGAAGAAGCTCGATAGATAGAACTTGCGTGCGGAAGACAGCGGGGTTGATGCATATCTCTGTCTTCGCGCAGTGGCCGTGGCACTTCCACCCGTCGATGGCGTAGCGGGCACCTTTTTGCGAGAGGGGGTCTGCACCATCGCCCCGCCGGCAACTACATGCCTGTCAGCCCTCGGGGTGTTCCGACTCGGCGGGTCCAGCAGATCAAATAGGCCCAGAGCTTTCCCGTCACGCTGCGGAGTAGGCCCTATGGCCTCGTAGAGAGGAAGAGGCGATTCTCGCGGGCCGTTTAGTCTGCGGATGTTGGATGGAGAGTCGTATGGATCGATTCGCGAAGGGTGTAGTGGGTTCACTACAGCGTTCCTGCTGGGGGTGCGCAGCTTCGTAGGTGTTTTGGTAGCCCCCTCGACGTCATCGTCATCTTCAAATGGGCAATTTCTCTTCGTTCGTCTCTTCGGTGTTTGGTGCTCTGTCTGGCGGGTATCTGCTGCCGCCGAATTTGCTGCCTTTGCAGGCTTCTGAGAGCCGTCTGACCGCAGCCGTGCATACTCCTTGTACTTTTCAGCTATGTATCATTAGATCGGTCGGTGTATATGCCATCTTCAGGTGCCTTGGTTACCAACATACCGATGGCTGGATTGTTCTTTATATCCTCGCGACCTGGCTTCCGGGAGGTCTGCAGAGTAAACGTCTTCTCCCACTGCTTCAGCTCTGCCCGGAGCAAGGAAGCCTTTCCATCTGCACTTGTATCTGCCATCTTCGCTGTCCGTCGCCCTCTATCTTTCTTCCTGTCTCTCTCTCTGCTTTCTCTGCTTTCTCTTTGCTTCTTCGCGTCGTTAAATAGAAAAAAAGTCGCGTCACGTCAAGCTTAGTCATCAACCAATGAGAAAAGCGACGTTTTTGTTTACAAAGCTGAAGAAGTCGACGATATAAAAGAGGAAGACGGGAGGAAGAGGAGAAAAAGATACTCATAAGACGTTAATTCTATTGTTATTTATGCTGCTGTATCGGTTTCACTTGATAGCAACAGTGCTGATGGTCGAGGTTGCTTATTGTTGTACATAGGGAAAACGAACATGAGATATTGAAACAGACATATGAAATGTGATATGATTTGCCAAAGATCAGAATTTACAGGTTGAAGTCGGTGGATATAGGATGATGATATGCACGGGAGGATGGGTTGGGTGAGGGTAGAGGTGTGAAGGATGGTCTCGGTTTAGCCGAGGAGCATGCGGCGAGGGTCTTCGATGTATTCTTTGACCTTGACCAAGAAGGTGACGGCCTCCCTTCCGTCGAGGGAGTCTGTGGTCGTAGGTGAGGGCGAGATACATCATCTACGGAGAGTGTTAGCAGATCTGATTCTCTAGAGTTGGCAAAGACCGCTGGAGGAGGATGCTTACGGGTCTGATTTCGATCTTGCCGTTGACGACGACGGGCTTGTCCTTGATGGCGTGTAGGCCGAGGACACCGGTCTGTGGCAGGTTGATGATGGGAGTTCCCATGAGAGAGCCAAAGACACCTCCCTGTTCGCCTTGTCAGCCTGGGTTTCTATCACTGGGGTAAAGTGGAAGAGACTTACGTTGCTGATAGTGAAAGTACCGCCGGCCATATCCTCAATGGTCAACTTGTTGTCGCGGGCCTGTCATTTCTGTTAGTTTTAAACTATGCCACGGTAAAGAAAAAGATAAATGACATGCCTTCTTGCCTAGATCAGCGATAGACTGCTCGATCTCTACGAGCCCCATGGTCTCGACGTTGCGGACGACGGGGGTGACCAGACCCTTCTCAGTGGCGACGGCAACACTGATATCGACGTAGTCCCGGTAGACGATGGTGTCACCACCGTTGGGGCCCTCGATGGAGGCATTGACGGCGGGCACGTCCTTCATGGCGAGCACGCAGGCGCGGGAGAAGGCGCTCATGAATCCGAGCTTAACGCCCGTCTTCTTGAGGATGTCATCCTTGTAGAGCTTGCGGAATTCCATGAGCGAGGACATGTCGACTTCGTTGAAGGTGGTGAGGGAGGCGGCGGTGTTCTGGGACTGCTTGAGACGCTCGGCAATACGCAGGCGCATGCGGTTCATTTTCACCTATCAACCCCGTTAGGCTGTATGACTTTACAAAAAAGTAGAAAATAACGTACCCTGCGCTCATCTCTGTTTCCGGGAGTGGCTTTGGCAGCAGCAGGCTCTGGAGCAGCGGCCTTCTCCTTCTTGGAGGCGGACGGTGCTGGAGCAGACTCAGACTTGGCCGGAGTAGACGTAGGAGCAGGAGCCTCCTCCTTCTTCGGCTGTTCCTTGGGCTGCTCTGGCTTGGACTCCTCCTTGGGCTGTTCGGATTCAGCAGGCTTCTCGGCCTTCTCAGCCTTTGCGCCCTCTGGAGCGGCACCGAGCTCGAGGCGGACGAGATCCTGGCCGACGGTGACGGTGTCTTCTTCGGCAGCGAGGAATTCACGGATGATACCAGCCTCGGTAGCATTGACAGTTACGTCGATCTGCACTGTTAGCGTTCATCTTTGGACCAATACAAGGAGTGTGTCTACCTTGTCGGTTTCAATGGTGGCCAGCTCCTCGTCCTGCTCGACGTAGTCACCGATCTCTACGAGCCGTTAGTACGATGTCGCAGTATGAAGAGAGACATCAAACCCACCCTTGGAGAACTGCTTGAGGGTTCCCTCTGAGATAGACTCGGCCATCTGGGGCACCTTTACCATGGCATCGGCTGTACAACTGTCAGATCTATATATCTCGTCGTCCATGTGTATATGTCTAGCCTACCGTATGTGCGTATCTGGCCGATAGATCGAGGGAGGACATATCTACCACCGTCAGCCACGCCCACGAGACAACACTCCAGATGAACCAACAAGGAGACTTACTGTGACCGCAGCGAGTCAAGACGGTAGAGAGACGAAGTAGAGGCGAGGGAGGCTGGTCTGCTGGCGGTGCGTATGGACGAGAAGCAGCGACAGCTCTGGGGACGGACGACGGCTGGCGTCTGGCGCAAGGCACCGGCCAATTGGGATATTCTCCTTGATGCCATGGTAGCGAGCAGCGTGTGAATTAGATATTAACAGAGAGAGGCTTGACAAAGGGTAGTTGTCGGTGGCAGAAGTTTTTTCGAGCTGGCGATGTTTTATGTTTTGGAGATGCGGAAAGCGGACGAAACCGGAATATCCATGTTCCAGGATGGACTTTGCAGAGATGAGAAGAAGAGAAGAGACAGGGAAGAAGAAGAGAAGAAGAGAAGAGACAGAGAGAAGCAATTGAGACGACAGAGGGAGAAGACGAAGAGACAGAAGAAGAGTCCGTCTGGATATATCTTGCCACGCTATTCTCCTTGAGGACGAGACCATGTCAACCCGCCATCCAGCCCTGTGAGTCCGCTTGTTCTCTTTGAGTCTCTGCTTTATATATTCTACGGAATTGACACTGACGACGAGACAGAGTGCTGTACAAGCGCGCCCTGAAGCTGTCTCTGGACTGGGCAGTGCACCGAAACCTCTGGCGCGGCCAGGCAGTCTACATCCGCTCCCTCTTCGATGCGAACAAACATGTGCGAAACCCGCGAGAGCAGCAGGTGTGTTCACCTTATCCTATATATATACATACATACTGACGGGCAAAGGTCCTGCTGCAAGAGACAGAGAAGCTGCTGGAGAAGTGGAAGCATCCTGACCCTTACCGGGCCCCAACCGCGCCTGGCGGTATGTCGTCTCCCTATCCTCTGCCGTATATCCTCTGCCGTACGCCGTGCTAACCGCCTGCAGGATCCAAGTGGGAGCGCAACCTCGAGGCTCCCATCCTGAACCGTACGTCTCTGCCATCTTTATACGTATACGTGTGTACTAACTGCTGGCAGCCCCCCAACCGCAACATCTGGCCAAGGTCGAGAACTGATAGACTGTACATCAATGCAATTACTTTTATATCTTTTACTCTTTACATTTTACTACGTTACTCGGTTGAAGAACGATTGAGACAGACGTCACTTGCATGTATTAATATACACCATCGTTATTGTGAAGTAAAAAGTGTGAAAAAGTGAACCACGTAGACCATCCTATCCCACCCCGAACGGAACCATGCGCCATTGTAACATAAGATAGACAGTAGAAGAAAGAGAAAGAAGGGGAACTACAACTCCTGGGACGACTTGTGCCGGCCTTGGGGTGTTCTTGGGGAGCAGGTTGGGTGGATGTAGGGCATGACACCGCCCTGGGCGATGATGACGTGACCGAGCAGCTTGTTGAGTTCCTCGTCGTTGCGGATGGCCAGCTCGAGATGGCGAGGGATGATACGGGTCTTCTTGTTGTCGCGGGCAGCGTTGCCAGCCAACTCGAGCACTTCAGCGGCGAGATACTCCAGCACAGCGGCAAGATAGACAGGGGCAACTACCACATCTTAGTACGGACTCTATAATCGCAGAGGATAATAATATAAACATACCAGCACCGACACGCTGAGCGTAGTTGCCCTTGCGGAGGAGACGGTGGACACGACCGACTGGGAACGCGAGACCAGCCTTGGAAGAGCGACTAGGACGTGTTAGATTCATCATCATCATCAGTAGAGACATAAGAGACGTACGACTGAGAAGTCTTGGTGCCAGAGGCCTTGCCGCCAGATTTTCCGCCAGTCATTTTGATAGAGTACTGAGTACTGAGTACTGAGGACTTAAGAGTAGAGTAGAGTAGAGTAGAGTAGAGTAGAGTGGTAGTGGTGGTGGTCGTTGTGGTTGAGAAGAAGAAGAGAGCGAAAGCCTTCTTTATAGCAGAAAAGACGCAAGGAAGATCAACTTTTTCGCCCCTCAGATCAATAATACCGATACGGTAAGTTACAGAGTCGCGTCCCGCCGCTGCCCGCGCGCCCCGTCCTCTAATCATACAGATCATACGCCAGCGTTACCCGTATTGAAATTCTCGCTCGAATCACGCAAAAACAAGATCACGCCCGCCTTTTTCTGCCGCTTCCTCCTTATAAAGTCGCGAGGTTCGTCTTCTTCTCTTCTTCTTCTTGCAACCACCCAAGCTACATCTGCCTCTTGACGTTGACTTGCGCCTGATAGCCTGCTCTACTACTCTTCTCTACTCTCTACCACTCTTCTACGTCGCAATGGCACCAAAAGCTGCTGAGAAGAAGCCCTCCACCGCCGGCAAGGCCCCGGCTGGCAAGGCGCCCGCTGAGAAGAAGGAGGCCGGCAAGAAGACTGCCTCTGCCGCCTCTGGAGACAAGAAGAAGCGCACCAAGGCCAGAAAGGAGACCTACTCCTCCTACATCTTCAAGGGTGAGTCCCGATCCAGTCTTTGGGATCTGTTCTGGTTGATGCATGGCTAACGCATGTCCAGTCCTCAAGCAAGTCCACCCCGACACCGGTATCTCCAAGCGCGCCATGTCCACCCTCAACTCTTTCGTCAACGGTATGTTCTGTCTGTATATATATATATATATATATAAATATAAATATGTATGAACCACTCTAACGACATGCAGACATCTTCGAGCGTGTTGCCACCGAGGCCTCCAAGCTCGCTGCCTACAACAAGAAGTCCACCATCTCCACCAGAGAGATTCAGACCTCCGTCCGTCTCATCCTCCCCGGTGAGCTGGCCAAGCACGCCGTCTCCGAGGGCACCAAGGCCGTCACCAAGTACTCTTCCTCTGCCCGATAAACGACTTCCCTCTCTCTCTTTCTTTTTATCTTCCTGTTCATGGCTGAGGTGGGCTCTGGGTGTTTCGTGGGTTGTCTTTATTACTCTTTAACTGGGATCGGATGGTCGTTTCTCTCTATTTCTTAGTCGAGTCTGTTTATTTCTCGATAGTGCTATGTTAATGTCATGATATGGCCTGTACCATAACCCTTCACTTCCAGTGCATATATCATGGTGTAGTCATTATATGCGATATCACGCGCAAGTCATAGATTGTGGAAGTCCTTGATGTGGAAGTGATATTGATTATGGATGTAAGTGTTATATGGAAGCCCTGATATGAAGTCATGTAATGTCAAAACTCGTCAAAAGATTCGACTTCCTCTTCAGCGCCCTCCCGCTCGCAGCCAGCCTCCCGAGCACTCCCCTCGTCGTCAAAGATGTGGATGATGCCCGCCTTGCCGCCCGTCCGCCGTATCCGCCCCTTCAGGTCCTCCCAGTCGCCCTCGTCACGCACCAGGAACCCGATCAGCATGCTCGGGTCCATCTCCCGGATGTGTAGCCGCCGCAGACGCCGTGTGTGGTACGTCGACAGCTCCCCAGGGCTGTACACGTCTTCCCCGGCCGTGCGTGGCGGCAGACTCGGCCGCGTCTGGTGCGGATCCAGGTAGAAGAACGTGTCCCCTTGTGTAGCGATAAAGTAGTGTGACGACGACGGCCGGCCACTGCATTATGTCAGTACTAGTATATATATATTATATAAGTAAAAAACTCACCCTGCAATGCCGACGGACTGAGGAAAGCGGATGACTTCCTTGAGGGACTCCCAGTACACGGGCGTCACCCGGTCGATCCCCAGCCTCACTCCAAGCAGTATCAGCGTCGGCTTGATGCTGTCGTCTTCTCCGTCTTCTCCAAGGCCCCGGCACGCAATCTCACGGAACTGTCGCTCGTAGATGTCAGACCCGTCGCTGGTGATGTACACGTTCAGCCCGGCCTGCGGGTGCCCGTTTGCCAGCGCCTGTATGCACTGTGCCGCCGCCGCGGGGCCAAACCACTCGCCAGGACACTTGCCACAGGCTGTTGCCCCGTGCTGCACGAACCGGTGGATCGAGAAGGGAGCTCGCGGATGGTCTGCAAACAGAGACAGCAGCTCGCTTTCTTCCTGCTCTTGGCTGCCCCGTCGCCATCCTACGCCCAGTTAGTTAGCGTACATAACGTTATGTGTGTAGTATTTACAACTGCGTGGGTGTACGGGCAGACATACCTCGTCCCAGCCGGAGGAAGAGAAGGGTGTTGGCAAGCAGGCTTTGGCCAGACCGGATCATGCACCCCCATCCGGTGTCTGAGGTGAAGCCCTGCGTGTCGATGAGCTGGCTGCGCAGGCGCACGCCCAGGGGCATCGACGAGCTGCTGCTCCCGCCTGTCTTGGGTATCGGCGGGAAGTGGGATCGGTACGTTATCCACAGTCTCGATTCAAAGTCGTCTAGGAAGAGCGGTGGCCACGCCGGTGTGGCAGCTTCTGCTGACCCCGATCCCGCCGGCGTCGAGAGGTGAACGAACGAGGATATGGCTGAGCTGGGTGTCGTTGGTCTGTTGTCGTCCGTCGACGTCCGTCTCTCACCAGGCTTCCCATATGAACGCCGTTCCTGGGTCTCGTTCTTCTTGCTGACGCTGTCCGCTTCCGAGGGCCGTTCCGAGGGCCGTTCTGACGACAGTTCCTGGGAGGCATGATGTGATTCTGGCTCTAGTATCTGTGTAGAAGCCTGTGAAGATGCTGCCGGCTGCTGGTACTCGCATCCCAGACACCAGATGGGAAGGCCGCTGTCATCGTTCTTCGGTTCTGGGTCCCAGAAGAACTGGATGATCTTCTTGTACTGGTTTCCGAGGTCGACGTTGTTCATCTCTGCACAGTCAGTATATATCTATATCTATGTCTCCATATATATGTGTGCTGCCTCTCTCACTGTATATATATCGGTCTCGTATACTAAGGCTGGAGCTGCGCCTGATATGCTTCTTGCAACCCCAGGGATCAAAGGCCAGTCATTTGTTCACGCTGAACCAGGCACTGTAGTAATATAAGATAACCGACGGAGCAAACTGTCATAAACAGATAAATAATCTGCTACAAATAAGCAAAATGACAAAGGGATGAAGATGAAGTTGGTCTTTCTGGCCGCGTGAACATCATCGATACAAGATGGAGCAACACAAAATAGCCTCATGTGGGGGTGTTTGCTTCTTTTGCCTGAGCTTCACCTTTTGTCACTTCAAAACTTCGACCTTTTTTTCTGATACAAAACAACAAGGAGAAGGAGAAGAAGCTGTTGACAAGTTGATTGCTAGTAGCAAGCAAGATGCCGGTTAGGCGGCACGGGAAGCACAGAGGTGAAGTTCCATAAGGTCTCTAACAGCTTTGTTTCACGCCTTTTACTGACGCGTTGGGTGACAGGCAGCAGAAGGGCCCATGAAAAACCCCCCGGTACGCTGATGAGAGAAGAAGACAGCCTGGATGCAGGCAGGCAGTATAGAGATGCAGGCTAATCCGTCATAGACGCGTCCGGTGAGGAGCATCAGTTTACTCTCAGCCAGGAAGCTCGCAACACGGAACGCCACTTCTTTCAGCGCAGCAACCGCCAGCTCCGCTATCAGACCGTCCAGTTCGTCAGCGGTGGACAAAAGGAGCCGGACGACCCTTCTGTCCTCAGGAATCTAGATAATCTCGCCCTGGACCAGCCTGGCCAGCCTGCTCGGCCTGAGGATGTCGATATCGACGTCGACACCGTCGTTGAGGAGTTACATGTGACTGCCTCCAGGGAAGAGCCCACGGATGACCTCTTCTCCATCGATGCAGACGGTGACAAGACCACTCCCAAACCTACATTCCCGAAACCCGTTATCAACTGTGATTCCTCTGATTCCAGCGAAGACGAGGTTGTCTTTAAAGGCAGAAGGCCAGCCTGGGGATACTGGAGTCAACATGTGTCCCCCATAGTCATCAACGACCCTCCAGCCACGGCCAGGGCTCAAGATACGCATCCCAGACGCAGTAACCAGACCGGCCGCCACGAAAATCCCGGGTACCAAGGGTGGACCGGCGTGACTGAAGCTTCGGCGCCACACAAGGTGGTGCTGGAGTTCGGGAACGACTCGGCTGATTCTGATGCCGTTGCAGACTACATTGCCAATATCGATCAAGATGACGCGTCTGGCAGCTCTACAGATGACGAACAGCCAGGCAGAGCCGCTACTCCCAAAACTCCGCACATGTCAGGCCCAGACGGTGTTGAGAATATAGACAGTTCCGACGAAGGGGAAGACGACGATGATGACAATGACGGCTCTGATCTTGAAGAGATAATTGACGAGGACATGCAGTGGATGTCTGACGAACAGCTTGCTCACCTCCTCGACAACCGCGACATCCCCGACATGGACGCGGACGAGATCGACTTTTTCACCACGAACGGGTTCGCCAGATCCGCTGCAACAACTACGTCGGGTTTGAAGAAGAAAAAGAAGAACAAGAAGAAGAGTGCACAGCTACGAGAACCCGTGTCGGCTTCCAAACTCGCCGATATGTTCGAAGAGGACCCCTACGGCGTCTTTGATGTCATGGACCGCAACCGTGCTAGCGTGATGGGTAAGAAGGCAAGAGGGAAGATTCCGGACTTCAACCTGTCCGACAGCGAGCTCGAATCCAACATCCAGGCTTCCTGGGAGGCTGATCGGGAGAAGAAGAAGGCCAAGAAGCTTGAACGGGAGGAACTGCGCGCACAGGGGCTGCTGGGCAGATTTGGCAAGTCTCAGCCACAGGGGAACTCCCCCAATGACGTTCGTGATGAGATCCGTTCGTTTATGATGTCCCGGACACAGACGTAAGTTTTATACTCGCTTTCTCCCTCTCGCTAGCTTCCCCCTCTTAACGTTGACAATCCTTGCAGCCTCCACCTCCCACCAATGACCAAAAAGGACCGCAGGATCGTCCATGAGATAGCCAACGCGCTCTCGCTCAAATCCATCTCCCGTGGTAAAGGCAACGACCGCTTCCCCATCCTCACAAAGACCCAGGGCACTCCTGTCTTCTACCCTGACGAGACCGCGAAACTCGACGCCCTCGTTTTCCGCCACCGGATCACACGATACTCTGAGAGACGGCGGACAGAAGCAGGCGCACGCCCCGCCAAGTCCAGCGGCGAGGCCAAAGCAGCCTCGTACAGGGACGGAGATGTCGTGGGAGCATGGGCGCCAGAGATCGGTGCTGATAACCGGGGCAGGGTCATGCTGGAGAAGATGGGCTGGAATACCGGCATGTCTCTCGGCGCGGCCAACAACAAGGGAATCCTACAGCCTATTACCCATGTTGTCAAGACTACAAAGGCAGGTCTGGGATAAGGACTGTTTACTCACCACCTGGTGTCATCTCTGTGTTATGGCGTTTCTCTACGGCCGTGGTTATGAAAAGTATGTTAGAGTAATGGGTAAAGGAAGGGATGGTTATTAAGGGTAGTCATTATCTGCGCATACCGCATAATAAATACTGTTCAACGCAAGCATATCTGTTTCTAGTACATGATGTATGAGTATCTCTGGCTTGTCTGCTCATGATTCTACATGAATACATGTTTTAATGTGTGGTTGTTGTATATTTCTGTGTTTTTGTAGAAAATTGGTCGAATTTAACTAATTTATAAAAATGTCAAAATATATAAAATATTTATTCAAATAGCCAAAACATGTACAAACATCAACGTCGAGGCCTCCTAGCGCCGGGAACATGCTCTATACCACGTAGATACATCGTCTATAGTTATTATCGGTAAATATTTACCCTGATTACGGTCTAACCGTGCTGTTGTCCATGGAGGGTGAGCTACATGCATCCATGGATGATACGCCTTCAACACGCTCAAATCCACAAGCAATCCAAGGCCACGTCTGTCAGTGTTATATGTGATATAGAATATAGAGTCTAATGTCATATTTCAATATATAATGCTCGTCGTGTAAAGTTGGAGTGTTATATTTCAATTGATATCAACATCACAGCTTCAACCGTTATCATATATCAAATATAGTAATTTCCACAGTATGGCATGATAAAACTATATTTTTTCTAAGATGATTTACACTGCAAATATACGTGGATTGATGAAGACACCTCAATAACTGGTCTACTCGCTTTATATGCACAAGAAACATATGGATACGTAAGTCGTTAAACATCAATTGATCATCACTGGAAGAGAAACAGTTCACTTCCTCTTCTTCTTCGAAGACTGCTGTTTCTGGGCCGTCGGGGGCTGAGCATGGTCTAGTTCCCTTAGATGGGTGAACAGTTTACTTCTGGATGTAAAGGACTCGCGGCAAACGGCGCAGACAAACTGCTCAGCCGCTGTCTCGGCTGCTGCTGCTGCCTTTTTGGCGCGCTTCTGCTTCGCCTTGCCTGGTTTCTTGACGGGGGCTGAGTCGTCCTCGTCTGGTTGAGCCGTGGAGAGAGAAGATAGCTTCTCCGTGACAGAGTCCGTGTCAGGGTGGTCTCCCAGTACGTGTTTTCGGATCTCTTCTTCGTCAACCTCCTCGTCATCGGGATCTTCCGTACCTGCATCACCCGGTTGGTTTGCATTAGACACACCCTCGTCTGAACCGTCAGCGGGTTCCGGTGCTGGTAGTTCCTGTTCTGATACTGGGGTCTGTGACCCTGTCAGCTCATTTTCATCAGCGTCATCGGACATTGGCTCGATCTCCCCGGGCTCTACCGCGTCTAGGTTAAGATGCCTGTCCTCAATCTGCATCTCGCGCTGCAGCTGCTTCAGCGCTTTGACATGCTTCTTGCTCCGCTCATGGGCTTCAAACTGCTTCTCGCTCTTGAAATTCTTATTACATATCACGCATTCAAAGTGATTCTGCTCCGACTCGGATTCGCTGGGGAACTCATCCTCGACCTCTTCCGCCTGGGCCCATTCGGGAAGTGTAAAGTCCCTTAGTTTGGCCTCGTTAGCCTGGCGAGACCGGGCAGCCTGGGCGGCCGCAGAGTCACGGAGGATCTTTTGGCGATCAGCCTCGCTCTGGACCGTAGCCTTGTAGCGAGGGTCTCGTTTTCGTGCAAAGGCGACCAGCGAGCGGACTGCGTCGTTGAAGCCCCGAATGCCATCTTCGCGTAGACGTCTGTTTTCCTTCTCCATCAGCCGGCGCACGCGGCGGTCAGGGGCCTCGGAGTACTTGTACAGATCCTTCCACGCGTAGGACTTTTTTGTGGCAAAGCTGCTCCATGCAGAGTAGAATCTGCGGACGGAATCAGGGGGATCGTCCTTGCGGCCAAAGGAGGGGTAGTGGACGGGTTCTAAATCATCCCACCGGCATGCGACCAGCTCTTCGCTCGCGAGCCGGTTGAATGTGTCGTTGAGCCCACCGAAGAAGCCCGAGGGTGCGTCAGAGAACTCCATGCGAGGGTTGAACTTCATGATGAGCGACATGACATCAGCGGCCGCCGTGAACCTCGAGTTCTCCGGCCCTTGCGCACCGGTATCACCGCTGCCTGCATCCTTATGCGAGTCATACCAGGCGCGTTCTTGGGGGTCTGATAAGATCTCATACGCTGACTGCACCTCTGCAAAGAGCGCTGTGGCCTCCTCGACGTTCCCATAGTTCTTGTCCGGGTGTAGTTCCAACGCCTTTCGTCGATATGCTTTTTTTATCCTGAGAAGAAGAAAGCGTCAGCTATCGTCCACCAAACCGCGATGACTAGCTCGAAAAGGAAAATGCGTACTCCTCCGCCGTAGCCGTCCGTTCCACCTCTAGAATCGCGTAAAAGTCTCTCTCGAAAGCATCGCGCGGTTCATCTGGTGCACCCTGGCGGGAGGAAGACTGACCTTGACCCATTAGTAGCGACAAAAAAACAAACACCAACTGCTTCTTATTTTCGTGGTGGAGGAGTTTATCGTGAGATCAACCCGCCACTAGTGCACGAGATCATATATAACTCCGTGTCGTATAAGGACTAAATATTATCGAATTAGCAAACTGTGTGTTTTTTTTTTCTGATTTCTCAAAAATTTGTCTCATCGAAATAATTCGATATCAACATCACGTGATATATCGTGAGGTCGCGTTTCGATGTTGAAAAGGAAGAAGAAGAAGAAGAACGACAAAGAGATGGCGATTCGAGCTGCAGATGACAGCAGCCAGGCGTAGCATGTATGTAAAGAGCACGGCGCCCTGCAATAAGAAAAGAGAGGGAGAGAAAAAGCAACCTGTAGCCAAATCGTACGTGTTAGAAGTGCGTTTCGAGCAAAAAGGAGACACGGGAAAAAAGCACTGAAAACCTCACGAGATGCGGTTGTTTGCAATTGGCCTGGCTTGAGGCTGCAGTTTGCCCCGTCATGAAGATGCGCCGCAAGAGAGGCTGTCATCTTGTCTTAGGGGCGGGAGAAGATGGGAGTTGCGCGCGCCGCAGGTTGGCCGTTTGACTCCTCTTTCACGCAGCCAACAGGCGGTTAGTGCATATAAACTATTGGAATATCAGAGGATGGAGGTGAGGCATCCGTTATCGTCCAGAGGATATATCAGTTATAAAGGGGAGCCGGTTGGTGGGTAGTAAGAAGTGAAGAGAAGAAGAGTCAGTTGGTTATTAGTTACTTGCTACAACATCAACATACGAACAACATCATGAAGCAGACAAACGCCTGGAGAAAGGCTGGAGCTGCCCTGCCAGCCTGCAGTGAGGCAGACGTCTGCGACGAAGAGACGAGACGGGATGTCGACCTGATGATACTGGACTACATCGTCTGCGCGGCCATCACGTCCATACTGCATGAGCGCATCGCTGAGAGACAAGGCACCGAGCCACAGGGAATCCACGGCTGCGACAGATGGCTCGAGATATCAGAGGGTGAGTCCGGTTGATCTGTGGCTGAATTGTATATAGATGTGATGCTGATGGACGGTAGCTACGCTGCATCTGTTCAAGGCGAACAACCCTGGAGAGACACTGTCGGAAGACATCAAATTCAAGATACAGACTCTCAACTTCGCAAACCTCTTCTTCAGACGGTTCAAGCGGACGGCATATCTGCCCTCTCGCTCAGCTCTGGCGGCCCAGCGTAAGAAGAGCTCCGAGAGGGCCAGACGATGGCTGGAGGACGGTGGGTTCACGCAGACAAGCGACACTCTCGACCGGGCGTTTGAGAGGTTGCGGCCGGTAATATCGCCGTCCTGGATAGACGAGAATCGACGGACGTTCCTTGCTCACATGGCAGTGAAGGAGACGGAGGAGTACGAGTTTGACCAGGACACTTCGGTGACGCTGCTCGATATCCTGCCTGAGCTGATGGAGCTTTGCGACTCAGCCCCTGAAGCCGTGAGCGAGGACGTCTGCACTGTTGCCGTCTCGTTCATGCTGCATGCGGCTATAGAACAGGGCCTGCTCTTTGGCCGGACGGGGCCGCAGGTCATCGACGAAGCGTTTGCATGGGGGGACGAAGGCGATGACCAGAGCTGGACGGAGACCAGAGACGGGTACCGGCTGTCTCTCTGTCCGGCCGAAGAGGATGATGCAGACGACTACGGCGAGCAGCTAAAGAGGATCATATACGAGCATCCTCCGTTCGACTTTGAGGGCGAAGTCCTGCAGATGATAAAACGCCTGCAGCAGACGTGGGAAACGCCCGTCCTCAACCAGCTGGAGCAAGGCAAATTATTCTCATTAGACACAGACGAAGTCGCAGCCTTTAAACGGCGCGTGATATTTACTCATTTGGGGAGCTGAGAAGTATAAGATGATAAAACAGCCCGAAAACAAGGAGCAATAGAGGAGAAAGAATAAAAAGAATACAGAGGGGAGTTTGTGGTATGTAGAATATCGAACGCCCCCAGTCCCAAGTCCGGAATCCAATATTAAAGCAAACCCAAAGAATGAAAAGATAAGACAAAAAGATCATAAGATGTCGTGTCCTCGTTATGGTTCGTTAATGTTTTTTTTTTTCTCTTATTATTATTATTATTATTTTTTTTTTTGGTGCTTTTCTTTTCCAGGCGATGAGATGTTGAGATTGAGCTGACTAGTCGTCAGGATATTCATCGCGGATGTTGCTCACGAAGCGACGGGTTTCGATGTCGTATCGTTTGAAGTATTTCCCTGCAAAGTGGAAGAAAGCGTCCGGGATCTCAGACGCTTCAAGCTCGCAGACTTCGATGTTTTCTTCCGCGACATAGCGGACGCTTTTATCCTCTACCCTGCATGGGAGGTTAGGTGACATTCTAAGAAAGAGAGACAGAAGGATTCAACTTACAGGACATGGTAGAAGGACTGATGGCGACCGGCATGGAGACGGTCAACGCCCATCCTCTCCATCCACTGCTCGCCAGCACCGCATTCGGGGTCCCACCCTGTTACCAAGCCGATGTATTCATACCGCTTGTGCCGGAAGAGCTGGCCGACCTTGTACTTGACGTTGCCGTTGGCCGCGCTCCTTCGCCGGACCTGCTTTGGTATCTCGTCGCTGGCCTTCATCACACTGACGCTCTCGCGCAGGTGCTCGTATTCGGGCAAGCTGCGGAAGAGTGGGATGAGGTACTGTTCGATCAGATACACGTCAGCCGGGAAGTCGGTTGCAAAGTGCTCCATCAGGGACGGCAGGTGACGGCGGAGAGGGAGGTGTTCGGCTCGTCGGCGTTCGGGCCCCTGGGGGGTGTTCTGGCTGTCTGGGTTGGCGTATTTGGCAAAGAGCATGGATGCCCAGAGGGCGGCATACTTGACGTTGACGATGTCGAGGGAGGTTTGGCGGAAGTGCGGCGTCTGGAGAACGGAGTTTAGAATGTTCTTGCCGCACCGGAGAACGATCTCGGCCGTGAAGGACTCGCGAAGGAAAGTCGACTGGGAGAGGGTGAGGGCTCCGAGGAAATTCAGCTGGCTCTGCAACTCGGAGACGGGAGTCTCGCTGGTGGAGCGGAAGGGGTCCATGTACATGAAGTCACCCTCTTCCCCGTCCGGAAGACGGTTGCCGGCGAGGTCGTGGTTGGGTTCGGGGCGGATGATAACGTGGACGTGGAAGGGGAAGCCGCAGGGATGGGCGTCCAGGCCGAGTCTCTGGGCAACATAGCAGTATATGGCGGCCGATATCAGGGGGAGAGAGTTGTGCCGTTCACTGGTGAGAGCCGCGCCCAGGAAGTTGTGTTCGATGTTGTAGAACTCTCTGCCGGACTCGATGCCGGTGAGGTTGTTCTCTCGCAGGAACTCAGCCGTCATCACGGCCCGTTCTCGGGGGGTATATTCGGAGATATTTGGGTACTGCCGTTTCATCCGTCCGACTATATTGTCCAAGCTTCGAGAGATCTATGTCTGTTAGCTATCTGTACGCTGGTAAGGAATGTATGCCGATAATGCATGGGTCAAACGCACGTCGTCAAAGTCTCCGGTCCCAGAGTCGAGGATGAACATGTCAAACGCGCCCAGAGCGTACTCGAGGGACACCTCCTCGCCGTTTCTCAGCCTGTTCCACGTGGGAATGGCCAGGGTGCGGTGCAGACAGCCGAGTATGGCGTTGCTGTAATACCTGTAGACCCAGTCAGTATGTTGGGAGATGCGTCGCTGCTATGGAGCACCCACCGTCGTGCCAGGTAGTCGTCATGGTCCTGGCCGGCATCTGCGTGCCGAATCAGCGTATCCTTAGCATCGTACCCGAAGCTGACGATGCGGTGTATCTTCTCTATGCGTCCGGTCTGGCAGGCGAGGATGCTGTCGAGTATCTCCGTCGTCGAGCGGTCGATCTGGTGCCTCAGCTTGTACAGCTGCTTCCACTCCACGCTCTTTGCGGGCCTGGCAAACTTGTCGGCGATGCCATGACGCTTGTCCCAGAAGCGGAACGAGGTCTTGCAGTAGCCAGCCCAGAGCAGGGGGGCGTTGGTGATGTGTGAGAAGCGCTTCGAGGTCTGCTCGAGGGCGATGGCGGCGGACGGCGGCGTGTAGGTGAGGATGCTGTGCAGGATCTCGTCTGGAAACTGGCTGAGCAGGACTCCTGGCATGGTCACTCTCTCTTCTCTTCTTTTATTCTCCTTTATTCTTCTTTATTCTCTTCTGTGGTGTTGTATGGAGTGCGAAGGAAGAGACGAAGTCGGACGAGAAGCTACTTTAATAGCTTCACCAACTACAACATCTACATCTGCCAATGTATAGATACAACACAACATATACGTACTCTATGCATGTACACCCCGCCATCTCTTAGCATGCATGTGTAGCTTGCTGCGGCCAGGTTTAATCTAACTATTACATCCCTGGCCGTGGCCTCACGGAGCGTTGGCGCATGACTCCGTGTCCATGGCATGGCCTGAGGAGAATACGGGCTGACGGGCTGCTGCGATTCGTCCTTCTGGAACAATCGAACAATATCATTACTTGCTATAGCTACGGGGGGTTTATATGTTGATCTAAATATACATGTACAGCATCTGAAATATGTCGCCGGCCGGCACTATTGTCAGATATCAACGGTAGTGCGCCCATGGCGAGCTGGGGTCTACCCCTGACCAGACGAGGATGACGCCGGCTGCGAGGGCCCATTCGCTGCATCCCATTGCAGCGGCCCGGGGAAGACGGACGGGAGGGAGGCAAAAAAGAGAAAGGGAAAAAAGGCGCATGCGATGTAAGCTTTCCCAGAAAAGAGGGAGTCCTCCTTGCGACGCTGGCTGGGGTCATCCTCGCTTAGGCAGGATAAACAGCTTTTTTTTTGGGAGAATATACATATAGTAAGTGTATAGCGTCATTGCAAGCTGTTTCTCTCGGGCGAAGGCGTCGTCTCTTCTTACTGCTGGGGGGGGGGGGGGGCTGGCTCGTTCAGCTAGATCGATAATTGGCGGCCGGAGACGCTGATTTATCAGGAGCTGAAGGGCGCGAGACGACAGGGTCTTTTGCCCGTCCACCGCTCTTTACCCTCCGTTGAACCTGGGCATTAGAAAACCAAAGAAAGGGGAGAAAGGGGGAAAAGGGCAAGAGAATATATGTGCAGCAATTAAGATATTTCGTGAGCAGGGTGTGTTTTGGTATCATGTTGGCGCCGGCGCTGTTTCTTTTTCTTTTCTTCTTCTTGTCTGATTATGCATAAATAGTCTGGCTCTTGGCTTCGATGTGGATTTCCCGGTGGAACCTGCGGCCAGTCCTGAAGACTTCTGGAGTTATTAGAAGGATGATAAGGGAGGCTAGTGAGAGAGGGCCGAATGGGAGCAACCGAGATGGCTTGCCGGTCCGGATGCTCCCCCTATGCATCTGCCGTGCGAGCTGCATGCTCCGAATAAATATGCGGAAGGGCAGTTCCGTACATGTTATATACACAAAGGTGCTCCGGATATACTCCTCTGCAGGGATGGATGTATATAAAAAGTCGAGCGCATGTGGACTGGCGTTACATCATGCTGCATGCCTCGGCAGGCTCGCCATAGACGTCGACCATCGCGGCGCGCTCGTTCTCCCTCTGCTTGACCTTGGTTTCCTTGGGGAAGGATGACTGCAGGAAGGTAAGCAGCTTGTGGTCCAGGTTTTCTGCTTGACGTTAGGGTCTACTCTTTGGGTACTTTGTATCAGGGGATGCGAAAACGTACTGCTTGTTGCCTCCATGACGACCTCTGCGCGGCACATGGGACAGTGGTTCTGCTGCGCGCGCTGCATGATGACCAGACACCGGATGCAGAAGACGTGCGAGCACTTGAGCCTGACCGGCTTGAAGGAGATGGTGAAGCAGACGGGGCAGAGGTAGTCGTCCAGCTGCGGCACCACGACCAGAATCTGCTCCGAGATCGCCTGGCAGACGGACTTGGACAGGCTCTGTGCAGAGAAGGGTTCGGTCATGGTGAACGCGGATCGGGCGTGCAGGGCGGTCTGCTTATCGAACTTCTTCAGAATCTTGTTCAGCGCCATGCCGTTGATCTCCTGGAACTTTAGATTCTGCAACACCGCGAGGTTGATGTGCATAAACATCTCTAGGGCGCGCCGTCCGCTGCGCCCAAGCTTCTTGGCGTGGTGCTGCTTGACGAGCTGGGTCTGGAAGGCCTCGAGACGCTGGCGGGCGGCCTCTGACGAGCGCTCGCCGCTGTCCGCTTCGCCCGTGGAGAAGAAGACCTGCATCTCCATGTAGATGCGGAAGACCTCGCGCCAGGCGTAGATGGTGGCCTGATCGGCCTTTTTGGACGTCGGGCTCGTGACCTGGACGATGTTTTCTCTGAGCAGGGAGACCTGGCTGTCGAGGTCCTTCTTCTCGTGCGCCTGCAGGTCTTCGAGGTTGGAGAGGCCTGCCCTGAGCAGACGGAAGAACTCAGAGTCGGAGGAGAGGGGGATCTGGATGGACTGGTAGCTCGCTTCAGCGTCGGTTTTCGTGGTGCAGGAGCTGGCGCAGCTACTGGTGCAGGGATGCTCGCTGCTGGTGTCTGTGTGCATGATGGCTCGATAGGTAAGTAGCTCACTGGGTGGCTTGTCGTCCGGGCCCATGGCGAACGTCAGAACGGGACGTAGGGAGGAGGAAGATTTACATTCTGCAGTATGTGTGTATATGTATAAGTACAAGGCTCTAGCAACCAACAAGACATCACCTTGAGCTGATCGCCACACCCAACCGGGGTGAGCGCTGCTTAGGCCATCATATAGATATACATACCCCTGAGAGAATATGCAAAACCCACACGGGCCAGCGCGCCCTCTCCATCACCGTCAGCCAGACCGCCGTCCTCTTCGAGCCAGAAGCGGTTGAGAACGTCCGGACTGAGTCCCAGAGAGAGCAGCTCGCTCTGCACCCGCTTGATGCACTTCTTCAACTGGCGGTACGAGATGGCTGACCGAACCCACTGCGAAGGGAAGCCCTCGTTCTCGAGGGTGCTCACGTAACTGTGGCCGAACTTCATCGTGACAGCGCCTCGTCAACGCAACCATCAGTGGCTCTGTTCCCTCTTTGTAATATTCCGGATCCTCCGTCTCTCTTGTACTTCTTCTTCTTCTTCTCTGCCTGGAGGGAAAAACGACTTCAAGTTAACACTTTTTTTTTCTTTATATCACAAGGAAAAACTTGCCAAAAACGGAAAAAGCAAAAAAGGGGGAAAAAAAGAAAGCACGGACCTCGTCATCAGCTGACCCATGTCAAAACTGACTAAGCAAACTTACATAAGAAAGTCACTTAGATAAGCGTTCTTAACTAAGCAGTTCCTTAAGCTTTCCCTTGCGGGCGAGAAGGCGAGTCCAAGTCTGCACGGCAGGGCCGTAATCATGGCGGCGGCTGTTGGCGTAGTCGAGCTCGCTCTGTCTGTTCTGCTGCTCGTCCCTGACCTGCGCGCGCAGAAGGGCCTGCTGCTGGACGAGGGCCTGGCGTTCGCTCAAGAGGGCGGCACGGTCGTATGCTCTGTTGCTACCCTTGGCTGTCGCTAGTTCGGGCACCAATGCTAGCTCGAGCATGGGTGCGGTTAGGCCGTATAGCTCGTCTGGGCCGTTCAGTACGGCGTCCTCGTGGTCTGCCTCGCCTGTTTCTCCGAGTTCGGCTAAGTGTCGGTTTATTTCCTGGAGAGCCTTCACGTTTGATGCCAGGCCGGCCAGATATCCGATCATCGGGTCCTTGGACAGGCTCAGGATGGAAAACTCGATCTCCCCTTCTTCGTACTCTGCCATCCTCGCCTGGATATCTCTCGTCGCCAGTCCGATCCAGTCTTCCTCCATGCATTCTCCTGTCTGCTGTTAGCTGGGTGTTGTTGGGGTTAAAAGTCGATAAGAGGTGACGAAGGGATGACACACCGAGACTCTGGGGTTGACGTTCTAGCCCGTCGAATTTCCACACCCTCCCCTTGGCCTTGACAAACGCGATGAAATGGAATCCTGCTTCGGAGTCATCTGGCTCCTCTTTACCCTTGCCCTTGGGTTTCCGCCCCTGCTGGGTTTTCAGCAGCAGGTCAGCGTTAAGAATGTCCATTTTCCTGTATTCGTTCGTCAGCATATATACATCAATTTCATTGTCTTTTTTCCCAGTCATTTTTTTACCCACCTGGCGAAGGAGTTGTGCACTTTCTTGACGAATTCAAAGTTGCCAATCGCGTTGCCGCGTAGGGCAGGGCTGAAGTCCTTGGTGAACTCGCGGAACGACCTCAACTCCTCTCCCATCTCGATCCCTTCGATGTTGTTGATTATGTTCAGCAACGCAACAGTGGCACATGCATTCTCCACAGTCTAATATCTATTAGTCCATTGGCCATATATAAAGAAGTTATATGCACGCACGAGTTGCATGTATCAACATACCTGGTTGGCAAACCATAGTGACTCCGGGCAGCTCTGTTCTTGCTTGACCGGGTCATCCTCTCTCCAACGGAAGAGGAAGATCAGGCCGTAAATTGGCTTCCTGCCCGTCTCATCAGCAAGCCTTCTAGTTTGTAGGTAGACCAGGGGGATAGAACACATACGGGAGGAAAGCCAGAATCTCCTCGTCCAATGACACCACTTCCTGCACCTTGACGCCCTTGACGCCAAAGTCTCGTAGCATCGCGTTGAAGAATGCCTGCCGAACAGTTAGCTCCTCTCTTCTTCCATCAGATCATCGCGTAAGACACGTACTGGTTCAGACTCGATCTCGCAGAACCCATTCCATCTATCCTTCTCCTCGCTGGTCAGGGGCATGAGCTTCACCTCCGCGGTGTCTCGTTTCTGACGGGCAGCCATTCTCCTCTCTTTCTCTTCTCCTGGATGAACTATCTTCTTCTCTTCCTCTTCTACCTCTGCTTCTTCTCCCTATCTTTCTCCCTCCATCTCGTTAAACAAAATATTTGTCTTTAAGAATAACTTGAAGCTTTTTAAGCTTTCGCGGAACAAATTTAACCCGCAATGCGCTAAACTTAATCGGTGCTCTATAAAAATAAAACTGAATTTCTGACATCAAAAACAGCTTCGGAGGAAGAAGAAGATAATAATTTGGTATAACGAGATACACGCCGTCTACGACGCTCTTCGACGCTGTATACTCCCTCTCAGGCTGCTCTGACACACGCAGCGTACGGGGTATATACCAATAGATACCCCCTGGCCGTCACCCGAATGGTATCTGGCACGCGTCTGGGCCTTTAACCCTCCTCACCACCACCATTCTACAGAGGCCTGCAAGAGCATAATGCAATGACTGACACTCCCCGACTACGTTCGGCGTTCCCCCGAACTCCTCGCTCCAATCCACGGACCCCTCGCACGTCCGGCGGCTACCGTGACCAGAATGTCACGCCTACCCCCTTTGGTAGGGGAAGCAAGATCAACTTCAACACTGCCAGCGCCGTTGTGAGGTCAGCCAACGCCGCTCAGCCTCAGAATCCGCCTCTGATACCGTTTCACATTGTCGATGCGCCTGCGCAGAGACTCTACGTTGTTGCGTTTTATGTTGCGCTGAATTCATGGCGGTTATACGAATACTGGACGTCCACAGATGAAGGGGATGCCACATGGCTCTTTTTGAAATGGCTGCTCATAGATGCCGTCTACCTGTTTGGTCTACCAATACTACGAATTCCGTGGCTGGAATGGGCGTTTTCCACTACATTGGCGATATTCCTGGTTCATGTGGTGATCAATGTGTTTTTGATGTTTAGGATTCCGGTACGGTAACTGACTTTTAACTTCAATTGTGATATGATGTGCTGATGGAAAGTGATAATAAAACAGTTACCGATGGAAGCATGGGGGGTTGCTCTGTTTAAAATGGCGTATGACAGAGAGCTGTCCATCTCTGGACAGCGAGTCAAACCTTATGATATTTTACACAACTCGTCTTTGATTCTAGGCAAACACATCGTTCATATACTGCCAGAAGGGTATGAATTACAATGAAATCCTTGTTTCCCTGTCTAGCTGCTGACTTTCCTCGCATAGTTCTGCTGTCCTAAACCCGGATAAGGTCCCACTCTGTCTCGGCCATGCGCATACCTCCGTGAACCTCCCGATCCGAGTCAACCAGACAAACCCCATCCTTATAGAAATATTGCGCTTCGATCTCGAAACTGGCGCAAATGAAACGATCGTCATACCTGAAAAACAGGCCAAGGCTCTTAGACGTCAGGCAAGCCAGGCCTCTCGACCAGACTCGCAGAGCTGGCTGGATCTCCTCTATCCCGTACGCAAAACGGGTGTATATCAGATAAAAAGGGTGGTAGATGAGTCCAAGCTTGCCGTCCATCACCGCTCGATGGATACACTCGTTGTCACTTGCCCGAAAGCCTCGGTCCAGACTCGGGGGGCCCACAAGTGCAGAGGCGAGCTATCAGACCTGACTATGTCACTGCACGGAACTCCGCCATTCAAGATAAAATACAGCCGTACAGTCAACGATGTCGATCAGGGAATATCTTTCCAAAGCATTCAGCCAGAGACCCATCATAAGCTGCCGGAGTCAGACGAAGAACCGATCAACCCAACACTGGCCAAGTTTAACTGGGCACGCCCACAGAAAGTTGAAGTCCCGCTAAACGAATCATTGTCTGCGTTTGGTGAATGGGTTTACGCCATAGAGGAAGTCCATGACGGCTGCGGCAACGTCGTTAATTATACCTTGCATCCAGACGTCGACGACAGTCTTTGGTCACAACATCCTCCACACTCTCAGAAATTCTTCGTCCATGAACTGCCCCGGGTCTCTCTGGCTGGCTGTGATACCCAAACATATCTGCAGATTGCGAAGGGGGAGTCAATTGACCTCCCGGTACATTTCCATGACACCGGATATGGCCAGAATAAGGATTTCCCCTTCACTCTCAGCTATTCCTTTGCTGAGTCTGGAGACGATAGTGATAAAAGAATGCCTACATCAGTCCATGAATTCGAGTTTAAAAACTCCAACAATAGACCAAGAATCAAAGCCTCTGGGTGGTACAGCATCACTGGTATTTCTAGCCAGTTCTGTCGGGGTGAGGTTTTTGAGCCTTCGTCCTGCTATCTCCATAACCCTGCTGAGCCGCAACTGGCTATTCGCCACGAAAAGGTGTATGATTCATGTGCCAATAATTCCGTCGGTCTTTTGGTTTATCTCGACCTGATCGGAACACCGCCGTTCAGGGTCCGATATTCCATCGAGCATTCCAAGGGCGTACAAACCAGGGTGCATACGATCAGCGGCCTGCACGGACAACTCGACTTGAAACCTGCCGAGGAAGGTCATTACAAGTACAGATTCTTGGACATATCTGATCGTGTATACGAGACCAGGTCATTGAAAGACAGCGTACCAGCCCTTGAACAGGATGTAAAGCCTCCTGCCTCTGCACACTTCGTCGGGCCACTTACAAGCCGCAAAGCTTGTTTCGGTGAGCCTGTTTCGATGGATGTGATGTTCGTAGGTGAACCGCCGTGGGTTCTGAATTATGAAGTCGTTCACAATGGGAAGAGGAAGAAGCATGAATTGAAGAGTGACACCGATGTTGCATCTCTCTCTACGGTCGACCTTGTTAACGGCGGTGTTTATACTGTTGGCCTTACCAGTGTCAAAGATAGGTCAAACTGTAAGAGGGCCCTGAAAGAGGAGATTCGAATCGAAGCCCGACCGAAGAGACCACGCGTTGCGTTTGGACAGATAGATCAGAAGCGGAATGTCCTCGCATTGGAGGGTAAAGCGGTGGATCTGCCTTTGAGACTGGAGGGTGAGGCTCCATGGAAAGTGAAGTATCGAAACAAGCTTGATCCTTCAGCCGCCCCTGTGGAAAAAACCTTTTGGAACGCGAACAGTGTCCTTCGAGTATCAGATGAAGGACAGTACGAAATCATTGGCCTATCGGATGCAACTTGCCCTGGATCGGTTGACGAAAAGGCGCATATATTTGATGTTTCTTGGATTTCCAGGCCGAAGATTACCGAAATTGACTCTGTCAAATTGGGTACGCAGACCACTTTTGCAAAGGATGAAGTATGCGAGGGAGATGTGAGCTCCTTGGAGTTGAAATTCGGGGGCAACCGTCCATATACTGTTCGGTACGAAGAGAGCTACAAGGCCGGAAACTCAAACCCATCGGCCAGGATGAGGAGTCTTACCGCAGCGCTGAACTCTGCCTCCATTCCTATGCGGACCTCTGTGGCTGGGAACTATACATACAAGTTCTTGGAAATTGGCGATAACCTCTATAGCCCTGAAAAGAAAGCAAAGGACCCAATCGTTGTTACCCAGAGGGTGAACCCGCGTCCATCAGCACGTTTTGAGTCTCCTAGTAAGGTTTACGGATTCTGCAAGGAGGAAGAGCAGGAAGATGAGACGATTCCGATCTTGCTGGAAGGAGTACCTCCATTCACACTTGAACTGGCCGTCAAACATCATTCGAACGCAAAACCGGAACTTCTTTCTATCCCCAACATCAACTCTAACAGATATGCTCTTCCAGTTCCACGTCAATATCTGGATCTCGGACAACACGTGATAAGCATACGCAAAGTTCGAGATTCTCGTGGCTGTCAGAGGGCAACTGAGTTTGATGGATCATCAATCAGGGTTTCGATCTCTGATGTGCCGACTATCCTACCTCTTGAATCTCGAGAGGATTACTGTGTTGGCGAGAGGATATCGTTCTCTCTCTCCGGCCATTCGCCGTTTGAAATCTATTATACCTTTGATGGTGTAGCGAGGAAAGCAAAAAGTCAGGCTACCACCTTCCGTCGTATTGCCGAAATGCCTGGTGAATTCAAGATCACATCTGTTAGTGATGGAGCTAGCGGGAGGTGCAGAGTCCACAAAAATATTACCAAGGTAATACACCAAATGCCCAGCGTGAGGATAAGTCGTGGAGGTGTGTCTGTTGTCGACATACCTGAAGGTGGTGAAGCGGAGATCATGTTTGAATTCTGGGGAACTCCTCCTTTCGAGTTCACGTAAGTTTTGCTGCCCCTTTCTCGACTACGACGCGCCACTTACTGATAATATTCTTTATAGTTATACCCGTAGCACGAATGATGGAAAGGGCAAAAAGCGTGTTGTCCTTGACACTAAGAATGATATTTCTCATGAGCATACGAAGACGATTAAAGCATCAGATGAGGGAACGTATGAAGTTGTGGCCATAAAGGACCGCTACTGTTCTTTCTCAACACAAAATACCGATAAAGGGAGCCGACGAGGCTTCTTTTGAACATGCGATCAAATCTATAATGCCTCAGATTGCATGTAAGATGTGAAAACAAATGGATAGTTAATGCAAGCGGTGTTCATAATTTTACTACCGTTCTTCCCAGGAGGCCTTTTTTTCTATAACACATTATACACCAATTTCATCATCATCCTTTATTTCAGCCTTCAAAGAAAGGAAATAAACTCAGTGGAGTACCTGTACCTTAGAAATGATATCCCCTGCTATAGATGCAATTTCGTTTAGGATTGCTTTTTTGTTCAAGGCTAGTTCTTCCTTTTCATCATTAGTCTTGCGCGGGCAAGATGAAAAGCCTATCTTTAGCCCAAATGGCTGTGTCTTTGTTGACTGGGGGTTCCAAAGCCCTGCGATTACCTTCTCGCTAGCATGGCCGTGGAAAAATAGGATATGCTCTCCATATAGATTAGTGAGCTCCGCAACAAGATCACGAACGATTTCGTATTTGGAGTATTCGGTACTAAGGGCTGATTCGTGAAGATTTTTGAAGGCAGCCTTCTTGGAGCGGTCCGAGACGAATGACGGGCTCAGATGAAGAAGAAAATCATAGTCGTTTACGGGAGATCGAAACAGCTCGCCTACATTTAGATCCACGCCCCTTTCTCGAACGACCTTTGACGCAGCTTTAGCTAACATAGTCATTCGGGACGCAATTATTCTTGGCGGTCGCCTGAACTGCGTCCATGTAACGCCGTCCCGGTCGACATTCGAGGCAGCGAAGAGCGCAACGTTTTTCATTCCAGGGTCAATCGTTCGCCATGCTTCAAATCGAGTGCGAATGTCTGCAAAGTCCTGGCTTTCTAGCTCGTCGCCGAAGTCCACTATGAGTGGCTCATGCTGCCAATCCCATTTGGAGAGCATGTGTATAGTTCGAAGGAACGCCGTGAATGCACTTGATGGTGCATCCCAAGGGTATGAGTTGAGGAAAACTTGGCAGGTTAGGAGCTCAGGTAGTTCTTCACGTACGAATGGAGTTAAAAGATGGGCACCGACCCAAGCTTTAAACATCCTGATTGCAACTGAGAGTAGTGGGAAACGATTTGAAAGACTCTGGAGTACTTGGGCATGGCGGGGGGCTTGGAGGAAGGTTGCTTTGTATGCGGCGAGCGCAACGGCGAGTTCCTCTTTCTGCCTGGCAGGTAATTCCTTGCTCTTCAACCGGCTCTGTATGATCGTCTGCTCACGCTCGTGGTGGATACGCAAGCGGAATACTATAGCTGAAGAGTAATGGACCTCTAGAAATGATGTATTAAGGAGTTTGCTCTCCTGGTTTTCTGTTCCAACTCTGGCTTGAATAACCCCATTGGCTTTGCGGACTGATTCTTCCACTTTAAGGAGTAGTGCCACCTTGGTCATTTGAATGGAGCTCAGGTCGTCAGGCCAGCGGGAAGAGGACTGGAACAGGAGAACTACGTCTATGGGAGCACCGGGAGAGTCAGGAGAGTATCTAAGGAGAGGAGTAGCAATAAGGAGCTGGCTGAAGGCAATGGGAAGACTTTCGTCGGACTGGAAGTGTCTTTCTAGACTCTGGAAAGCTTCCAGAACCGGTTCTGAGGTTGGTACTGAGGATGCCGCGTTCGATATACCTGGAACAGCCTGACTGATATCTGCTGCCATAAAAATAATGTTCTCCGAGGTGACTTTGAAATGGTGGTGGAGGATATAGGTCAGGATCTGTTGGATAGGGGAACCGGATGATGCCTGATCAGACCACACCAAGCTCTCTTTGATGCTTCCGTCCTTAAACCGACGTAATTCAGCTTTAGGACCCCAAAAATCTCGGAAAGCAACTGATTCTTCTTTATTTTCGACAGAAGGTCCGTGGTCTATACTGCGGTCCTGCTGAGCAGCGTCAAGGTTTAAACCTACGGTTACGGTCCATTTCTTACCCTCCTTAGATGGCGAAGTAGATTTGACAGGCCAGGTAGAGGGTTCAGCCGAGGCGAGGTGTATCATTGTTGCTCTATCTCCAAGGGCTTTTGTTAGAACTCGATGAAGGGACTGAAGACGTTCGGCCGCCTGAAGAGTTGGTGGCCGGCGGCCAGGGAGGGTAATAGATATAACTTGGTCAAATCTGTAGAATGCGTCGCTGATCCTTGTGATGAAAATATTGTCGAAATGATCGCGAGCCGAGTCATTCAGCATCTTGAGGGTCAAGGTTGCTTCGCGTTGAAGTAGTTTATATGACCAAGGAGTCATCTTATATAGGACATTTAATCCCCGCTTTCCGTCGAAAAGGGCAGGGAAACCGGCGTCAGCGACTGTCCCCATGCCTTCTGGAACATGAATCAAAAGTGGTTTCGTAAGGTCTCTGCCGGAGAGGAACTGGAGAGTTGCCTTAAAGATCTGATAACTGCTGTAGCTTGGTGCTAGCACGGCTTTTCCGTTAGGTCCACCGCCCTCTAGAAGCAGTGCAAGGAGAGTGGCCCATTCGAAGTGTCCGAATCCACCTAGTGCTAAAGAAGTCCCAAAACCACGTTGACGAAGCCAGGACCGACCCAGAATGCATGAATCTTTAAATGCAGCGCACTTGACTCCGGCAGAGTGATGAAGTTTCAGGTATGCGCTGACCACCGCTTCTGAACGAAGAGATGCATTATAAACGTGCGTCAAGTTGGATTGGACCTCGGTTTCATTCTCAAGTCGAAGGCTATTGTGTGACGGCAAGGTGTGTGAGAGAGAAAATGTCTCCTTTTCAACCGCAGTTATGATACGGATGGCACAGTTTGACCGTGAAAAATCATCATCTGCGCCTTCTGCTGACTGTAAGAGGATGACTGGGCGAAGGGTGTTCCCGTCTTGATAGACATAGCTGATAGCATAGTCGACATCCTGTGCAGACTTAATAGCTGCTGCGATACATGCAAGGTAGTATGCCCTTTTGTAGAAATACCGATAGCTTGTATAATCCTTTTTCTGGAACAATGTAGAGGGTAGCGTGACGGCCAAGTCGATGTACGTAGGTCCTTGTCCCTTCACTATAGTCTTCAACGCAAAGCTCCCCACGACGTTTATATCTGCCGGTTTGGCATATTCAAAGGAATATCGGATATCTTTAGCCGGCGGAGGATCTGGAAACGGAATTGCAATCTTTGATGATTCAAATTCCTTCTTTGCTTCAGCCAGCGTCTTCGGGGTGCCGTTTGGGATCTCTTCAATAACGGTCTTTAGCTTCCGCAGGCTCTTTTCGACGCGGGAAAGGAGTTTATCGTAGTCAGGGCGCAGTTGACCGAGCAGCTCGTCCATCTGAAGCTTGAACATGCTCGACTTGTACTGTCCACGCGCGAGCGCATACTCAGCAGCTGAATTGCTTGGGCGTCCATTGCGCTGGACTGCGGGAGATTTTTGTTTCTTTACCGCATTGGCGTTGTCTTCTTCATCTCCGGCGCTCAATTTCCTCCTTTTAAGTGTAGGACCTGACATTGCGCCGCTGTTGGCTTTTTGATATTGAATATTCAATATCGCATATTTTTTTATTCTTTTTCTTTTTCTTTTTCTTTTTTGATAGAACATGAAAAAAGCGTGATGTATTCGTAATACCCAAGCTTGGCGTAATATATAGTACATTATGTGAAGTTTGTAAATTACGCAGTAATCAGGTTACAAGTGACTAATAACGCCAAAAAACGGCCGAAGTCGGACTTTTTTTCATCTTTTGAATGTTCAAAGAAGTTTTTGTTCTTTTTTTATATTCAAAAGGCATTTGAGAAAACAGTTAATTTACTTCATGTCATGTCTGTTGTCTGTGGAAACATAAAAGACTTGCAGACAGACTCCCATCCTTTTTAGATTCTTCAGGGGTGACCCCTGGTATGCATATTTACTAGGCATAGTTGAACATCTTTCGCTCGATAGGAATAAGAGATCAAGAGGCATATCGAGATAGATATACAGAATGTCTGTCGATCAGCCTGTTGGGGGCTCAGTCCCGCCAAACACTGCCCATGTAAGCGATACCCCCTGAGATATACCCCTAACAAAAGTTGCTAATAGTCTGGATAGGCGATAAGTGTATCGCTCCCAACATGGGAAGCTAATGTGGGATACGAAGAAGGGGATGCAAAGATTATCAATGCTATGACTACTGGCTACCCAAGATTCTTCATCCATAAGAGCATCCAATGCCTGGCCAACGAAGTGATAGCTCGCTTCGGTAGGCAAGGAGAGTCTGCCATGTTATTCCCATCCTCCAAATCTGCTTCCTGCTGCAAGGACTTTCTCCTGTCAAAGGTGGCTGAGGAAGACAAGCCTGAGATCCGTGTCATACGGCTGGCCATGCCGCCGCAGATCACCCCGGCAGAGCTCAATGGCATCTCTTCGGAATTATATGCTGTGCTTTATCCCCAGATATATGCTAGCGTTTCGAAGCAGGTATGGCAACACACTGGATCTGGGATTTCTAGCCGGCGCGGTGAGTTTTGCCTCAAAGCATTGAGAGATGGCTATCTGGTGGAAGAATCTCAGGGGCATGCTAGAGTTTCAAAGGTCGACAGTGTGATTCATAAAGGGCCAAAACGGTACCAGAAGCTTGGATCTTGCGGTTCAGCAAAGAAAGTAGAGCCCACCATGGGAGAAAAGTCAGCAATGCAGGCGTCAGACGGAGGGGAGTTTGGCCAGTTCATCGAAGAGCGATTTGGTCGCAACTTGAACATGTCACTGGCGAACAATGCAAAGTTGGCAGTTAGACGACGGATCGCAGGATCTTTGACGACAGATGCGGACTCCAATGTGCCCCCTGAAGTTACTCCCGAACAGGCTCGTATTTCAGGGCTAAATGAAGAGCATGTCTTTCTATTCCCAACTGGGATGAATTCTATATTTAATGTCCATCAGCTGCTCCTTAGCGCCCGCGGGCCGATGAAGAGCATTTGTTTTGGATTTCCGTACATCGACACCTTGAAGATCTTAGAGAAATGGGGTCCGGGTGTCCAGTTCTACGGTCTTTGTTCGACGGAGGAGCTAGACGATCTTGAAAGACGGCTGGAGTCAGGAGAAAGATATCTTGCATTGTTCACCGAGTTTCCTGGAAACCCGCTTCTCAGGTCACCAGACCTTGAACGAATACACTCCCTTTCGAAGAAATATGAATTTGCTGTCGTCGTGGACGAATCGCTAGGCAACTTTATCAATGTGAATGTTCTGCCCTTCGCGGACGTTGTCGTCAGTAGCCTGACGAAGATCTTTAGCGGAGATAGCAATGTGATGGGCGGCAGCGCAGTCATTAACCCTCACGGCCAATTCTACGGACGGTTAAAACAGGTGCTTGCGAAGGAATATGAGGATGACTACTGGGCAGAGGACGCCGTGTTCCTGGAGAGAAACAGTCGGGATTTCGTCGTTCGTGTTGAACGGATTAATAAATCAGCTGAGATATTGACGTCGTTATTAGAAGTCTCTCCTTTAAGTAAGTCTTCTTTCGGCAAGCAAGGAGGGATGCTTTCTTCTAACTCCCATTGTAGCAAAGGAGGTATACTACCCCAAAAGCAGCCCGACTAAGTGCTTTTACGACAAGTGTCGTAATCAGGATGGCGGCTATGGAGGTCTATTCTCTGTCACTTTCCATACGCCCGAAGCAGCTGCTGCGTTTTTTGATAACCTTTCCGTACTCAAGGGACCCAGTCTAGGGACAAACTTCACCCTAAGGTATGTCTCTCTCTTACCCGACTGCTTACATGAAGAATGGAAGCTAACGTGCCCAAGCTGTCCGTATACTATCCTGGCGCACTATCAAGAACTGGACTGGGTATGTTCAAATGGAAAGTGACTCTTCAAATATCACCATATGCTGACGTATACTAGGCAAAATCCTTGAATGTTCCCTCTGATCTGGTGCGAATCAGCGTTGGCCTTGAAGATGTAGACGACATGAACAAGCGGATCACATATGCCCTTGAGGCAGTAGAGAGACTGGGTAAAGGCACTTGAACGACTCAGTGTTGAGTCTGCTAGATCCCTGTAAGTATGGACTAAAACGCCAACGGGCTGCGTCCAGCGATATCAACTATCGTGCGTGGGCTGGCCATATACAAATGAGAAGGGACGAATAAAATTAACGACAAATGGTAGTAATAATCATAAGATATATGGCTATCGGTATTGCCAGAACCCAAGGGGCTACAAAGCAAAGCAAGACGTATAGATTACAAAGTAGGTAAACCGTAATCGCCAGAAATCGAACTAAAGCAAGAATACCAGTAGACGATAATGGCAGAAGAAGTAGATTCGGCACATATGAAGGGGTGAAAAAAGGTATCGGACATGAATCAACCAAACCGGAAGAGAGAGCGAAAAAAGAAAGAGAGAGAAAAACAGAGATAGAGGGAGAAGAAAACTGGGCCTGCAAGGTCGCATAAGAAATGTAAGAATGTTAAAGAGATAAAAAGTAGGGTGGCAATGTTACTGTTGTTCACTTAAAGGGTCGTTCATAAGCCGTGTCACTTGCAGCTGCACTTAATGGTGGGTTTCTAAAGGAGCCCATGTCTCCGCTCCCAGTGCGGCGCAAGGCCTGTGTCATGGTCTCCACGTTCAGATCGCTGCTGAGCAATCCAGACGGGCTATGGGGATAAGGCGGAGGGCTACGCTGTACATGAGATCCACGGCTCGGAGAGGAATCCAGTCCTCTTGGCTCACCCGGCGAGACACTGGTGGGTGGCGAGCTTGCCGGTCCGTGAGAGGAGGCGGGCGAGCGCATGGGTGAGGGAGACCGGTTGTTGTTCGTAGTTGGGGGCATGGAAAGCGCGGCTAGTCCGCCCATTATTTGGGAGTCCCTGTTTGATGCGTGCTCGTAGGATTCTACCTGCTCACCGTGGACAAGGTCGGCAAAGGAGACGAAGCTTAGACGACGGATATCCGCAGTATCGAGAGCGCCGTTTGTCGAGGCAGTCTCTGGGTCGCAGGGGCTCTGTGGGCAGGCGTGCTCATGAAACGACGAGGCGAGGGAGCGGTCACCATGGGAGGCTGCAGCCCCTGTTCCGGCGACCGCAAACGAGGCTGGCTGATGCAGGTTATGGGTCACTATCTCAACCGAGTCTGGATCAAACTGCTTGTCTGTCAGAGCTGCGGAAGACGCCTCGAGGATAGGGGGTATGTGGTTCTCCGTGACGATGTGGGACGGGATGGAAGGCGACGTCTGGGTAGGGAAATCCTCCTGGACGTCTCTCTCGAAGATCTGGGACGACGCGGGCGAGTGCATCGAGTGTGGACTTAGCTGTCGACTTGGCGAAGTGGGAGTCATGTACGCATTTCTTGCTCTATGAGGAGATACTGATGCTCGACTGGGACTCAACGATCCCAGGGGAAGAGGCGAAACTGGTCTGCCAGCCATGGTCGAGAGTGGTTTTGGTCTGGGGGTGTTGTTGTCATCCTTCTCGCTAGAGAGCGATGGCTTATCTTGACTGTTTATACTGTGTCTCTCCCCTTCGCTTGCACCCCGGTTGTTGCCTGGTTGCTGCGATATCTGCCTGGAAGGCTTCTGCGGCGCAGCGTCTGGCGTAGCATGGTCTCTTGCTGGAGGCTGCCGGGTCTGTAGTATGCCACCAATCATTTTACCCTCTCCGCTGGCTGCCCTCCGGTCACCAGAGGATATCGTAAGGGTCATCGAAGCAGAGAAAAGTGTCTTGGCTGGGTTTTTTTTCTTTCTCTTCCCCCCCTCGCCCCTTGAGGGCGGGTACGGCGTAAAGGATGTGAAGCGAACTTATGCTCCGTCCAGAGAAGGGTCTCGACAAACGTCCACCTGATAACCACCCAGAGAGACGAGCTGGTTCTGTATAGCCTGGGGTGGGTTACGGTCCTCCTTGTCGAGTGCTCATTCAGCTGCTTTCGAAGACTTTCTCGTCTGTTCTTCGAGTTGTTGTTCTTGTTATTTTTTTCTCTCTTGATGTTTTTTTGTTACTTTTTTTACATATGACGTCGTGTATTGTAAATACGTATTTTATCTCTGTTCTCCTTATAACTTTTCAATACTTATGGTAAAGCAAATACACCATATATAAAGTCGTACACGTGACTTTACAATACATCACGTGACTTTTCGAGGTTATTTTTTTTGCTTCGAAAAAAGATGAAAAGAAGAAGAAGAAGAAGAAGAAGAGAAACAATTCATGGCAGAGACTTGTTAATCGGCTTTATCTTCGTATCCTCAGGCTGTCCTTGTCGACGACTTGCCTGGCCGCACTGTTTTCAGCCCCGCCAATCGACCGACTGACTTCTTCGTTGAGCTTTTTCTCTTTGGGCTCTACACGATATCAAAAAGGCCTACGGACCGAGAGCTACCAGTGGACAATGGCTTGCACGGCTGCCCTGACGCGCCGTCCGGCCCTCAACCTCCTGTTCTGCCCCGAATTCCAGTCACAGACCACTCGACGATGGCAGTCATCCTACCGTCGAACCAAGAAACGGCTACGGATAAAGCCTGATGCGTCCTTCTCTCCGTCCAGCTCGACCGAATCACACATAATCCACAACCCGCCATCGAGTGCACCGTCCGTCTACCTCACACCGACCAAGTTTCTGCCTGCAGACGACGTACGGCGGACACTGAGGGGGAACGCGGAGACGACGGCAGATGTCAACGAGCTGCCGTCACTGCTACAGTCGGAGAAGACGAAGAAGTACCTGACCAAGGAGGAGATTGAGGACATGCGTGCGCTGCGGGAGAGTGACCCCATGCTCTGGAGCAGGAACAAGCTGGCCGAGCGGTTTGGATGCAGCACCCTGTTCGTGGGCATGGCGTGCGAGGCCGCCCAGGGGAAGAAGGCCATCCAGAAACAGATCCTGACGGCCGTACAGTCACGGTGGGGAGTTAAGCGGACGATGGCACGGGAGGACAGACAGCTACGCAAGGAGCTCTGGGGGAGAGACAAGTAATTGCCGTCTCTGGTCGTGCTGGCTGATTACGGTGTAAAGGGGCTGTTCAAGAGATACGACTTGGGGAGGACTTGGAGACTGTCGACGAGCCGGGAGGCCATGCTCGATGCATCCCATCCCATGTACAATATCACTATCATCTACCAGTCATTCTCGTCTGTTTTCTTCTTTTTTATATACATGTATTATCAACCATTGGGCTTTTCCACCTGGTGTACTCCGTACTACAACTTATTTATCACAAACCCGATTGGACGAGATGTTTCACGCCTGTTAGCATTCCCAGCCTTCTCATTGCTTGATCATGGACGGATATTTATAACAAATAAACCAGCGGTCGAACGGGAAAAAGCAAAGAATCCTCGTATTAACACATTCTGTAAAAAAACGCCAGTACCTTGCAGCGATGTAGCAGCAAATGCATGGAATATACTTAGATTTATGTATCTTTTTGCCCACTCGTGCGATAATTAGCCGGATCTAACCATAGAAGAGCCCCTCGTTAGCTATTTAGTTAAATAGTTGGGTAATATTTTTCTTCCTGTCCAGATGCTCCCCGCTCGGCTGCGAGTTTTTATACCAAGCCTCGGACGGTCAGGAAGAAGAATCTCACGACCAGCACATAACAGCAACATCAGAACAGCTTGCTTTGCTCTCCAGAGACGCTCGTACTACGGCTATATCACTGACTCCAAGATGGCTCCCCAGTTGGATCCCTTTTTCCAGAAGTGTGTATCTCTTCATCTTGACAGCGGGACTAGCTGACTGACGGTGGTATAGGGTGGATGAGCTCAAGCAGCCCTTCATTGAGCGTTAGTTGCCTGTCTCTAGCATCGTTATATCGTACATATGTATAGATGTATATTGTATAGATGCATAACTGACGAGATGCAGGCTTGAGAGAGGCGGTTGCAATCCAGTCTGTGTCGGCACAGGCAGAGAGCAGACCTGAGGTCGTCAAGGTGAGCCCCCAAGTAACCGATATATGGTAGATAGAGACGAGACTGATGACGGGGTGTAGATGGGACACTGGATCGCCAGCCAGCTCAAGACTCTGGGTGCGGAGGTCGAGCTTCGAGAGCTCGGAAAGGAGCCGGGCAGAGAGCATCTCGATCTGCCTCCGGTGGTGCTCGCACGCTACGGCAGCGACCCCAAGAAGCGTACCGTCCTGGTCTACGGCCACTACGACGTCCAGCCGGCGCAGAAGGAAGACGGCTGGGCCACGGAGCCCTTCGACCTGACCGTCGACGAGCAGGGCCGCATGTTTGGCCGTGGCAGCACCGACGACAAGGGCCCCGTCCTCGGCTGGATCAACATCATCGACGCCCACAAGCAGGCCGGTGTGGAGTTCCCCGTCAACCTGCTCTGCTGCTTCGAGGGCATGGAGGAGTTTGGCTCCCTCGGCCTCGAGGAGTTCGTCAAGGCTGAGGGCCCCAAGTTCTTCAAGGACGCCGACGCCGTCTGCATCTCAGACAACTACTGGCTCGGCACCGAGAAGCCATGTCTTACCTACGGCCTCCGTGGATGCAACTACTACTCCATCACCATCTCTGGCCCCGGCCAGGACCTGCACAGCGGTGTCTTTGGTGGCACCGCACACGAGCCCATGACCGACCTCGTCACCCTCCTCTCCAAGCTGGTCGATTGCCAGGGCAACATCCTCATCCCGGGGATCAAGGAGCTCATCGCTCCCGTCACCGCGGACGAGCAGGGCCTGTACGATGCCATCACCTACTCCATGGACGACTTCCACATCTCCCTCGGCAGCACCACCTCCATCATGCCCACCAAGGAGACCACCCTGATGCGCCGCTGGAGATACCCTTCTCTCTCCATCCACGGCGTCGAGGGCGCCTACTCTGCCCCCGGCTGCAAGACCGTCATCCCGGCCAAGGTTATCGGCAAGTTCTCCATCCGCACCGTCCCCAACATGGGCAGCGAGGAAGTCACCCGCCTCGTCTCCGACTTCATCAACGCAGAGGCCGCTAAGCTCCAGACCAAGAACAAGATCGAGGTCGCCCTCATGCACGACGGAAAGTGGTGGGTCGCCAGCCCCAAGCACTGGAACTTCGCTGCCGCTACCAAGGCCGTCAAGCAGGTCTTTGGTGTCGACCCAGACATGACCCGCGAGGGTGGAAGGTCAGTTCCCGTCTTACTCTTTTGCTTAGTATGTATAGTCTACAGTCCATGCTAACGGCTTGTAGTATCCCCATCACCCTCACCTTCGAGGAGGCCACCGGCAAGAACGTCCTCCTCCTGCCCATGGGAAGCTCTACCGACGCTCCCCACTCCATAAACGAGAAGCTCGACACCCGCAACTACATCGAGGGAACCAAGCTGCTCGGTGCATACCTTCACTACGTTGCCGAGGAGCCAATGAACGAGGCATAAGTTACTTTTGCTACTTCTTGTTTTATATTTTTTTTTAAAAAAAAATACCACACAGCATGCACGCGTAAATGTTGTACATAGCATATATTCGAAAGCAATCATTCGTTTCGTCTCTTCTACTTGATGGATTTAGTGTTATAGCCATGGTCTGCATAGATACCATGTCCAATCATCGTGAATGTATATCCGTTGAATCGAGTTGACCGACATACAATATATACAAGAAGTTGATTTCCTTCTCGCTTTCTGCGGTTCTCGAGTCACGTGCTACATTTCTCAAATGATTAGATAATCCATTGACCGGTATATCACGTGATGGATTACACGTGAGCATTAGTCATCCACACGCTCTATCACCCGATGCGGGTTAGCGCGAGCCGAAAGAAGAAAAAAAGAGTTGAAGGCGAAAGAAAGTCGAACGACGAAGACGAAGAAAAAAGACGAGAAAAAGAACGACCGGCTAGCAAGAAGGCCTTCGGATAAGGGATTTGACATCTCCCCAATTGCTCGATCCAAAGGATGCTGATGCATTGAAACAATGAAGTTCTTCGAGAACACTTTCAGCTACGACTACTCCTTTCCCGCCGTCACTCTCGCATACTTCCTTCGCTATCCCAACCCTTACTCTCGCCATGTCTTGACCTCAGACGTGATTGATCGGTATGTCGACCCGGTCACGCAGCGACTGCACACCACTAGACTGCACTTGAAGAAGTCGAAGGTCCCTTCGGCGATGCTCAAGCTGCTTCCGAAGGGGATCGGTGGCGCGGACAACTCCGGTCAGAGCGTGATCCTCGAGACCAGCGTCATTGATGTCAATGAAGGATGGATGCAGACGGAGTCTCGCAACATGGAATGGACGGGGGTTCTCAGCGTGGTGGAAAAACAAGTCTATCGCCGCTCTCGTGCCGAAAACGCAGATTTCTCTACCGCTTCCCCGCCCGCTTCATCTGGTCTAGGCATTGACGATAACCTGAAAGGCGAATGTACGTCTGTGAAAACTACGGTTACATTCAAGTCTCGCCTCGGGCAGAATATGCTTAGTCGCTCAAAGAAGGATACCACGGTCGAGGACGAGGCTCCGAGGAAGGGATTCTTTTCTTCCTGGTCCACCGCCGGCATTCAGCGAACGATCGAGCTCATTGGAGTGAAGCGGACACGGGATGCCGTCCTCCGCAGCAAGCAGGGCATGAATGTTGTCCTTGAGCGGCTTCGGAACGGCGGCATAGTTGGAGTGGTGGAGGGTATGAGACAAGACCGCGAGGGCATTCCTGCACATGGTGGCCCGTGGAAACAAGTCTGGCTACACGGTGCCCAGAAAGAAGGCCATTACGACGACGAGTGATGCTTCATGACCTCGGATGCATCTTTACGCCCTTCGCGCTGTCTACTGTATTATTTATTTCTTTCTATCTTGGTCTAGCATGGTGTTCTTCGGCGTTTATTACGGACAAATCTCCTGACTCTTCTCGCAGCCGCCTTTTTCCTTTGATATATACAAATCTTTTCTCCCTTCGATTGTTTTTTTTTGGGATACTCGCCTTCTCACGCCTTCTTTTCACGAACGGGGGAAAAAATCGGGTTGCACATAGGCGATGTTTTCATGTACACTAGTCATTATTCGGACGACTACGGCGTAGGTACTCAGCGTACCAAGTTGTTTCATTATGAGTGAGATTTGAGTATAATTCAAGCTGTTATGTTCCACAAGCTAATCTATGTTCATGATATTCTAAGGCTTAATCTTGTGGGAGTTCACATATATCGTGTGTGTTGACATGTTTAAGAAGAGGCTGGGAAGCCAATGCCAACTAGTATTGCAGGCTGGTCGATACTGTGGTGTTCATAGCTTTGGCATGTTAGACCAGCGTTATCAGATGGACATCGAAGCGGCTCTGCACTCACCTGAGGACACCAACACCGCCAGGCTCGAGCATCGTGGTCATAGGAAACTCGATGGGGAATCTCAGCCATCTCTTCACAAAAGCACGAAGGAGGTGGCCGTGTGCAAATAAGACTACATCACAAGCCTTCTCTCCGTTCATGTTTGGGCCTTGGATACGCCGGATCTCCTCGATCAAGCTGTCAATTCTCTCCGACACCTGCCCCGGCGACTCTCCTCCCTCACAGCCATCCTGCCAGATGTCCCAGTCCCTCTCCTTGTCCAGGCCTCGCTCCTTTCTCCTTCTCTGGATGTCAGCCGAAACCATGCCTTCATAATCGCCATAGTCCCACTCCGCCAGCCTGTCAGTCCTCGAAACTCGACCGCTCTCGGCCAGAGCTTGTCTATCAGCTTCCGTGATCGCAAGCTCAAAGGTTTGATGTGCTCTTTTGCGCGAGCTGATGTAGACATGCGCTACCTTGGAGAGGTCTATCAGCTTGTTGGGACCAAAGAGCATGTCCCCTGATGCCCGGACCTGCTGCATGCCTCGCGCCGTGAGCTCGATGTCTGTCTTTCCCGTATGCTGGCCGCTCTTGCTCCACTCAGTCTCTCCTATACATCATGGCCTTTTTTTAATCTCTTGTTCCGCGACATTGAGAGAGTGAAGGGGAAGGGTATATACTACCATGGCGGCATATATATACTCGCGGTGTTCCCGCGGATTTATCAGACATTGCGAGAGGATTGAAGCGTATCGAGAGTATGTTTTTGCTTCCTCGCCAGCCTCCCGAAAGAAGTTGAAGTGATGTTATGATGCTGCGACTGTTGGATCCAACTCCGAGTCGGACTTATGTTGACCCTGTCGATTATAATTATATTTATTAGTCTCGACAGTAATCCATCTATCAACAGTGACTTGAAATGGCTATATCGTATTATTAGGTTATAGCGGAGGCTGAATACTATACCACCCCTGTAGAAAACATAGCCCGGTATCTACTACTAGAAAACATACTCACACACATACATACACATATAGACATTATTCATGTTTATTGTAAGATGTTCTTATATCAACTTTCGACCTTTTTCGTGGCAAAGATAAGCGCGGGGTTAAAGTCATGTGACATATGTAAAATATACAAGATTAGCCTCTAATCATATGACTAAGCATATAATCTTACTTAAAAAGGCAGCTATAACTCCGTCAGCCTTTGAATATAGCGGGGTCCCCTTGCTTTGCCGCCAACCTTTCGACGTCGTCAAGAAGAAAACCGTCTTCAACAACTACCACAATCGCTTGAAAAGAGAGAAGAACACACGGAGAGTACTGTCGAGCTGGTCCACTAACGCGGCGCACTGTCAAGCAGTTTGTCACTGTTTTTTTTTACTTCTGTCTACGATGGCAAGTCGTTGAGCATTCAAGGCTGACCACTTCTACCACCCGCCTGATCGCAACAGCTCAGGCTTCCAAGTAAATGGGAATCGAATATACCCTCGGTGTAGCGGCACCAGTCTAAAACACAACGCCATCTCCCCCTTCGCGAAGGCACCTCACGCGTACTCACTCATTGTTACCATGTCTGCGGCCTTGGATGAAGAGGATCTCTCGATCTCCCTTCCTTCGTACGAGCAGAACAGGAATAGAAACCCCCATGGCCACCCGAGTATACCTCAGCCACCGTCACGCCGTGGCTCCGAACGACTTGACCAGTCTCCGGCCACCGCTCGAGACATGCAGCGTCTGGATCAGTATACCGCAGTTAGGAACCTGGGCGAGGGAACATTTGGAAAGGTCAAGCTCGCTACCCACAGAGCTAGTGGGCGGCCAGTTGCGCTTAAGATCATACCCAGGCGGAAACTACAGTCGAGGGACATGGTCGGGAGGGTCGAGCGGGAGATTCAGTATCTCCAGCTATTAAGACACCCTCATATCATCAAACTGTGAGTCGGAATCACTCGTATGATCGATTATGGCCATATGCTGACGGTTCCACCTCTTTGCCCTCTTTGGTAGGTATACTGTGATTGCTACCAAGACCGACATTGTTATGGTGCTGGAGTATGCGGAGCGGGAGTTATTTGACTACCTGGTAAAGAGAGGAAGATGCAACGACGATGAAGCCCGCATCTTCTTCCAGCAGATTATTTGTGCAGTGGAATATTGCCACCGCCATAAAATCGTGCATCGGGATCTTAAACCGGAGAATCTCCTTATCGACAAGGATAAGAATGTAAAGATTGCTGATTTCGGTCTGAGTAACATTATGACCGACGGGAACTTTCTGAAAACTAGTTGTGGCAGCCCCAACTATGCTGCTCCCGAAGTCATCTCTGGTAAGCTATACGCCGGCCCTGAGGTTGACGTATGGAGCTGCGGAGTCATTCTTTATGTACTTTTGGTGGGGAAATTACCCTTTGACGATGACTACATCCCGTCACTCTTCAAAAAGATATCAGCCGGAAACTTCCATATGCCATCATACATATCGTCCGGCGCTGCCAATCTTATCAAGCACATGCTTCAAGTTCACCCCGTTCATCGAATCTCTATACCGGAGATCAGGCAAGATCCATGGTTTTTAAAGGGCCTTCCGAAATACTTGCAGCCTCCGGTTGAGGACTTTGTTGGTACCGGTGCGGATCCAAATAAAGCAATTGACCCGCGGAAAATCGCCCCAGGCAAGTCTGCTGCTATCCAGGAACGCATCCATGAGAATGCAGTTATCAAACTCGAACGGAGGATGGGCTATGGCAAGGACGATATCCATGATGCCCTGAGAAAACCGGAACCTAGTGCGATTAAAGATGCTTTCTTTATTGTCGTCGAGAATGAGATGATGCAAATGAACTGTGAGACTTGGCCCTACCTTCAGATTATCGTACCTCCTATTCACCATCACACCTGCTAACATGATTTAAGCCCCATCTGAAAATGAGTCTGGTCAAGCTCCCATCACTCCATTTGGGGCCGGCCCATCCCACTCTCATCGCTACGGGCAAATTCCTAACTATGATGTCAATGCTCAGAACTCACCACTTGCCCCGCTAACTCCATTCCAGACGAGGACCTCTTCAAATACGCCCTCCCAGACCCCTTCTGTCAGCGGGACAGAAGATACTCCACGGATTAGCCACGTACGGATTCTACCTACTAGCCTACCTTATGTCCATGACCAAATAATGAAGCAACGGGCGGAGAAATCCGTGCCTGATCTAAATGAAGAGGATGAAACAGCAGAAGAGAACCGGGGTAGATCGTTGCAGCCAGACAATAAAGAATCCGAAGGGGAGGCCAGTAAAGAACTCTCCCCCGAAGAGCAAGCTGCAACTGCTCGGTCGCTTAGACCTCACTCACGGAGCAAAGTCGATTTGGGCAAGCTACAGTACCAAAAGCCCAACCCTACAGCCCAGGCTGCTCCTACGCCGAAACGCTCTCGTAAATGGCAGTTTGGCATACGTTCTAGGAATCAACCATATGAGGCGATGTTATGTCTCTATAAAGCTATTCAGGCGGAGGGAGGCGTTTGGGAGATTCAGCCTGCGGAGTCCGGTAAGTAGCTTCGAATGGATGTAAATGTAAGAATAAAAACGCTAACATTATTTCTAGACATGAACGACTCCGATAGTGGGAGAACTCCGCGAATGACAGCTGAACTTCCTTCGGCACTCCAACACAGATATCCTGATCTACCGGCAGACTACTACATTCCGAAAGATTTATGGTTTATTCGCGCGCGGTTATTAAAGCAAGGAGTCCTCGCTCCCGGTCCATCGAACAGTGCTCACTCTAGCCGCAGTGATCTAGAAGAATTCCGCCGTCGCGTGAGTCTGATTGGCGGCGTATTACACCCAGAGGATAAGGCGTCAGCGTCGGCTGCAGCTCTTGCTACAGCTGCTGGCGTTACTAGTACCGCAATACCATCGGCCCATTCGACGCACCCTGCGCTTCTTGCGTATGGTGTATGGGTTTTCATCGACATTCAGTTGTATCAGATTGAGTCGAAAAACTACATGGTAGATTTCAAATGCGATGGCTATCAAAATGTCATTCAGGTCGCCTATGAAAATAATATCACCTCGGAATGGCGACCGATAAGCAAACGGATACGAAACAAGGAGAAAGAGGTGACAAGTCCTTATCCTTTCTTAGACGTAGCGTCTGATCTTGTTGCACAATTGGCGGTGGTTAGTTGATTTATATACCCTGTACCAGCGCATACCTGCCCATTCCAAATCCCAACTTTCTTGTATCCCTATCAAAATGAACAAAACTTTCGCAACAGCTTCCACGTGATATCACCTGGCTTCTGATGACGTCGATATAAACTCATGGAAAAATAATTGTCCGGAGGCAAAGTGGGGCCATCGGCTTCTCAGCCTCATCGCAATTCGCTCGGAAGCGAAACCGTGGCCATCAGACCAGGTCTAGAGTTGATCATGAACTCATTTCTTGCGTGCAAAATATACAAAGAGCCTGCGGATATGGGGCCATATGACGTCTGTTCGGTGGTGGCCGGAGTGTTCTGCTTTCTTTTCTATCTCGTTGGGAATGGAATTGCGATTTTCTTCTCTTCCTCTTTCATGCTGGCCATTAACTACAGTATTGTGAATCAGGAATTACTATTTCCATATTTTCCATATTTATTTCAGGCCTGCTATCCTCCAACCGCACTATCTACCTGTCTTTGATTACTCGTTAGGCCGAGCTTGAGAGACTATAAACAGTTTCTGGTACTTAGCGGAGCACAATGTCTGGCGCGGCAAAATGGGGCAGCGTCGCCCTTCGGCTCATCCAGGTAAATGGACCCAAAGCTGATAATATGTGCAAGCAATTGCTAACCGGCCATCAATTTCGTAGCTCGCCTTTGCGGTCATCGTCATGGCCCTCATAGGCAACATGATTGATGACGCACTCAACGGCAGCGCATCGGTGGTCAACTACAACATGTTCGTGCCAGCATTCATCATGCTGTCCTTAATATACCTCATTCCAGCATCCATCAGCGATACGGTTATGTTCCATCCCATCCTAATGTTTATCATTGATGCCCTCTGTTGCCTCTTTGCTTTCTGCGGAGCTATTGCCCTTCCTGCCAAACAGCATGTGCATAGTTGTTCCAATAGGGTACGTAAAATATGATACTCGAGCCATGACTTCTATCTCGAATCGACAGCTGATATTGTTAAACAGGCATATACCTCCTCCAACCCAGTAACCAACGGGTCGTATTATCCAGAGAAACGTTGCCGTGAGGGGCAGGCAGCCACCGCCTTCTTGTGGTTCTTGTGGTTTGCCTTCTTGTTGTCCACTCTATATTCCCTCTGGCGCGTGAAAGAGCGTTTCTCTGGAAGTGGAGGTCGTAACGGCCAACGTACTCCGCCCAACCGTTCACAAGTGCCAACAATGTCCCAGGTATAAGGAATGCTACTTACTCCTTGGTTATAGTGGCTTTCGTTATAAGATATACATACCTGAGGCATAAACAAGATAATATGCAGCCTTGGCTTTCTATTTCTTCTCTATTGGACGTGGATTGGAACCAAAAAAAAAAAAAAGAAAAGAAAAGAAATCAGGTATACATAGTCTTCGGGTGGCCATATATGTATTCCCCTTATGCATGTTGTCTACTTTACCAAGATTAACAATGGTATAAAGACATCTTGTCTATTATGGGGAAAGCTTGCCTTGCCCTTTTAGTTGAATCATGTTATAATTCCTAATATTTAGCTTGCAATCGATCCTTTACTATGCTGTATTGTGTTTTAAATCTATCAGCATGTATCTATTAACATCTCTATATAGGATAGCAAAAGCAATCTATATTGGGCCTTATATCATTATATATGGCATGACCCTCGAACTTAACATGCGCCTTCGCGGCCCGCCTAGAAGGTTGTGGTACATACTGTTTGTGTTATGGTTATGTTTAGCATATAAAGCTATATCAAGGGTAATTCCTAGCGGTGCATTTCTTGGGTCACTTTTATTTCGTAATAAAAGCCTACGCCGGCACATTCTCGACATTAGAATGGTAACGTGCCCTAGATGCTCTCCCATGCACAAATAGAGAAGAACGTGGAGGATGAACTCGTACTCAGGCGTAGGTTTGAAAAAGAGACGGAGAGATTTATTATTAGTATTTTATTATTTAAGAAGTGGTTGTGGTTGAAGAGCTACCAATGGCTTCGGGATATTTTCAATGTTTTGGGCGATGCTTTAACATGGCTATATAGGGCTCTAAAGATCCCTTCAATCCCTTGGGATAACTTGCAGGCAGTTTAAATAGTGTCTACTTGAGTAAATGGGTAGAGAAAGTGCCCCAGGGCGTCACAGATATACCTCTTATAAAGATAATAAATAGTCGTGCTACAACGTAGCAAGAGGCTGTTATGGCTCCGTTGTGAGTGGTAGACCGCAATATATATTCGTCCTCAAGAGCTGGTCTGTGAGACAATGAACCTTGGATAATTCTGCCTTGACCAAATTCATCACTCGATATTTCTGATGTTGCCGGGCTATGGTGTTTCAGTATACATTCTCTAGTCACTCAAACAGGGCAAAAACAACGTGCTGAAAACGAGACAAGATAGCCTAACCGGTAGAGAGCCATCCAAGGGGAGTACGACGGAAATAGCGAGGAATGTTAATGTACTCGCCATCATGTAGAATGATAATGCCGTTATTGCCCGTGACTATTATCAAGGCAATATGTTGAACTCAACGAGAGCTGTTCTGTCAACATTAATGGTCTTGTAATATAACTACGTGCAGGATGAGAATCTTGGGGTTATTGCTACTGGGTCGACCATTCTAAGGTAGTTACCGAATTACGACGGTGGAGCTGGAGCACACGGCGTATTCTAAGGCGATGCACAACCAGTATTTTAAATCTTTGGTAGATAAGCTATAGGCAAGTTATTAGGACAGCGATGATGTATGAAGACCACTATTATTAACAGAATATCTCTAGTTCTATTTAACCGTGCCTCCGTTGGGACGGTAACCCAGGAGGCGTAGGTTTAACTAGCACCACGCACGAATAGTTATTGTGCAGGTCAAGGCCTATACCCCTGCAAGTACATATAGTCAATAGCGCGTCACAATAATAATTACCATCGTTGGATAGGCGAGCTGTTTCTTCTCTTTTATCAGGCTGGTGCCCGGCATGGATTGAAAGGATATGAAATTCCAAGAGATCCAAAAGAGCCATCCATGGTAGAGGGTTATCGGGCTCCTTAGGAAAACCAAAGCCTTTTTGCCTTCTTCGCGTTTAGTAGTTAGTAGTTTTACGAGGTAGTAGAGCTTCGGCGCAGATAGTGCGATATAGAGGGCAAGTTCTGCCCGAGAAGCTGGAGGAACGGCACCCCTAGTTAAGTTGGCATAATAGAATAACGCGCCCATGTCGCCAAATTACTCTTACCATTTGCGCACATCCGCCGCCAGGGTCCTATCCAATCGGCTCTGTAGTACCAGCAGCTTCGATGGCAATGAGGTTAAGAAGTGCAAAAAATATGCATGTTGGTTCTAGCCTGGTCACCCTTTACAGAACATCTCTCGTTCTGTTCAACAGTGTCTCCAGAAGATACCCCTTAATCCCCTTATATAGCCCAGGTCAGGGTATATTCCGGTAAATTATGAGTCGTTGCACCGTTTCTTCGATCTGCATGGGACTATAGGTAGTAAGCCCAGGGTATATCTGATCCTTTATCGAATTGGGATAGAGATGTTAGTTCTTTTGACAAGGTTCTCCGATCCTAGGAGGATGGCTTTTCTCGTTTGATAATTTTCTCCGGAGCCCATCATCGTTTCGTAATATCGAGGTAATATAATCCTGTAAGCAATTGCGATATCCGGCTTATACATTAGCCATAGTCTATCGGCCTAGGAGGATGGCTTTCCTTGTTTTATTCTTGGCTTAGGAGAGAACCCGTCATCATTTCGTATTATCGAGGTAATATAATCCTATAAGTAATGGCGATGCGATATCCAGCTTATACATTGGCCATAGTCTGTCGGCCTAGGAGGATAGCTTTCCTTATTATATTGGCTTTGGGATAGAACCCATCTTCGTTTCGTATTATCGAGGTAATGTAATCCTATAAGTAATGGCGATGCGATATCCAGCTTATACATAGTCTGTCGGCCTAGGAGGATGGCTTTTCTCGTTCGAGCGTCTTTTTCGATGTAGGAGAGACCTCATCATCATTTCGGATGGCCAAATCATTATGAATCTCTAATAAGATCTGACCAAAATGACCGATGTTCTGCTGGGCCTGCTCAGCCCCTTCACAGATATCCTGTCATCATTGGTCTTGCGCACACCCGAAGTCTGTAACAGGGTAAGATAAGCCAGCGGCTTAAATGTTGAAATTTTTGAATTTGAGCTGTTATATAATGCTCAGGCATCTGATATCTGGCAATAGTATTCTCAATAAAAAGTACAGCTTGCTCAAGGTGCCAGCTGAGCGCGTTCAATAGGTAATGCCACGGCGTAGGGTAGGTAGTTTAATACTACCGCTAACCATTTGGTGTATGGCATGTTGGAGGTAAGAATGGGTAGACTTTTAACACAAGCCATAGGTAATCCACCCCAGAGGTATGTCATCGAGTGTTGGTAGTCTTTTGGGTGCGGGTTATGCCATTATCACCTGGTAACAGGAGAAACAACCACAATGATGTGGTTAAGTCGGTTTTTCTTGATTCTTTTCTGGTATAATCACTGCTGCCAGGTCGAAAATTCAATGATAAAGCGTACCAATAATTGTATCCTCAATGCATGATACCAGTGTACCATCTAACCCTGAGCGCCGGCAGGAGCCCCAGAGAACGTTATAGACCATTTCTTCAAGTATCTCTTCTGAGCAATCCCAGCTCTGAGGTAAATGTGGAGAAAGGCACCTTGCTACGGTTCGGCTTGCTGGAGTTTCATTGTACTCCTCGATTGGTATGTATGTGTAGTGTAGCAGCCAACCAAGCAGTATTTGACTGTTCAGACAGTGTAAGCGTGAGCATGCACTGAATAGTGCTCGAGCACCATTAGCTCCGTGATAGCTTGGCCTTTATACCATCGTACTAACAAGTAACTAGAAGGCTTAATGGAGACAGCCCTAGCTTAGATTGCTCCTCGCGAGGTAGGCCCAGCTTTGATGTACCGAGCCAAGTATAGCCCCTGATACGGATGCGGAAGCATGACCGCTATCATGAGCAAGTTACAAGTTCTTATCGGTAATATGACCAATATTCCAGACAGGGGAGGACATCGAGAAAGGATATCGAGGGTCAACGCTGCCTTTGTATCAGCAGGTTACCACCAACCAAGAATATAAATGGCAGATATCATATATAATCTGGGAGGAGGCATTGATGGTAAAAAGAAAGGGAAGAAGAAAGAGACACAGAAATCTGGGGGAGAAGAGGGTTTACATACATAGCCAACTGCTGAGCCCGACGCCCGCTTCCTAGTGAAGTAGTCAAGATGCTGGCAGTCTGGATCATGGCTTTGATAGTGAGTATCTCTATCTTATGCTGTATATCCACTGTTCTTCACCTGTCCTTCTTCACCCGTCTTATCTTCACCTGTCTCTATCTTCTCTATCTTCATCTTCATTATCTTCATTATCTTCATCTTCTTCATCATCTTTATATCTTCATCTTCACCTTCTTTATTATCTTCATCTTCTTCATCATCTTCTCCATCTCCATCTTCATCTCCATCTTCATCTCCATCTTCATCTCCATCATCTCCATCATCTCCATCATCTCCATCTCCATCATCTTCATCTTTATCGTCTCATCTCCATCTTATATCAAACGTCCGATCGTCTTACGTCATCCCGTGCGGCTGAACTATGTATCGGTACTTCTTCTGCCATACAAATTACTATGAGAAATAATGTACCAAAACTTCGACTGCGCGCCCGTCGGAGTCCCAAAACGGTTTAGCGTCCCCCGAAAAGCGCCTGACGGCGGACTTCCCTTTTCGGCCATTTCATGGGGCTTTTTTTTCGACTTTCGACTTTCAACTTCAACTTCTTCTTCTTCTTCATCACTTTCAAAGAGTCTCTCATCTTCCTCCTGTCGTCTTCTACTGCGTGTATCCATCACCAAGTCTACTCTCGACGCCTCGGTTCGCCGACTGCAGAGTTCCTCTTGAGTCATAGTCCTGGCTCTGCGGATAGCAAGTCTTGCGCGGGCGATCAATCGAGATTTTGAGCGCAGTTCGCGACGTCAATTGACCAGGACAGAATACCTTCAAAGACCCTGATATACAATACCCAGTGACAGGGAAGAAGCAAAAGAAAAGAAAAAAAAGAAAGGCACGAAGAGGATGTCTCAACCAAGCTATGTTACTTACGCCCGCATGGACGAGCATATGGCCGATATGGTCACTCCGGACGGCCACGGATACGCTGAGCCCATGTTCAACGAGCCAGCCTTGGAGCCGTGGATGGACGGAGTCCTGGACGAGACCCTGATGATGGCTGCTCCCAGCTCGTGGGACAACTTTGACTCTCTCGACGCAACCCTCGCCCAGGCCACTCCCAACGCCTTTGACTCCATGCTTGCTGACTACTCTCTTCCAATCGACGGCCAGGCCAGCAGCGGAAGCAGCAACGATCTGACCG